AATAATAAAAGCATTATTTCGTAAATTTCCCGTTTTTCTTATGTTTTATCCTGGTTTTTCCCAGTTATTATGAAAACCACCTGGAAAATCAAAAAATGACCTCCCAAAAGTACCATCTGGACAACATTCCCTTTCAGAAATATTGCCGCACGTATATATTTGAGCAAGATTTATGGTCGAATTTTTGTACATAGTATAAAAAAATAAATATCTTATCAAACCAATAAATTCTTCGCCACACTTAGAATCTAAAATTAAATGAAGGAATTCATTGAAAAAATTTACAAATTTTTCGTTTTTTCATAGAATATAGAATAATTTTTTTGGGGGTGGTGACATTGTGGTACGAAATATTATTATTATATCATGGTTTACTTAAATAAATATACTAGAGTGTTTGTGTCCTATAAACGGTGCCGGACTGATGACAAGAACTGTATAGTAATATTTTATTATGTCAGACGAAGCCATAATATATATATTATGTCACGATATAAAATATAACTTTTATCGCAAATGGAGACGGGCGATTTTTGTTTTACGATAATATACAGAGTGATCAATATACAATAGAAGACAGTTATTATCTCAAAATTTATGAACTGTTTTCGTAGTTTTTTTTTTGATAAAAATTAAACATTTTAATACTGATATTCTAAAAAAGGTTAATATATTCCGAGATAGTGTCTCATGTTACATTGATATTTGATAACATTGAAATAATTCGAATAATCATTATTTATCATCGTATAATTCGAAAACAGTTAGAGAGACGGAACTATGTAAAGACGCATATATTGGATGACGGATAGTACATACAGAATATTATTAGATTAATATGTAATTATGGTCCGAAAATTAAATTTTGAATTATGGATAAATTGTTTCGTCTGCTGTTCAGATAATATTATTTTATGCAGATTGCAGATATCGTATATTGCTGAGTGATTTATCTATATTATTTTGTCAGATTTTATATTTGTACAACTACTTGTAATTTTTATATATATATATATACAAGGTGTCATATAGTGTTATCATTATGCTAATATTTTCTTACTTTTAGTGGTTTTAATGTTTAAAAAATAGACATGAAAATAATTAATATTCAATAGAAGATAAGGAATTACTAAGCTGATTGTGGTTCCTTATCCCAAAAAAATATAAACATCATTGAACTTTTCTAAAAGGAAATCGGTGTGGGGAGGTACCTTTCAAGAGGTCATTTTTCGATTTTCTCAAGATTTTTCTCAATAAATAAAAAGAACCGAAAAAGAACGGGCAAATTTACGAAGTATAATAAATATAATATTACATTTTTTTTTTCTGTGATAACTTTCCTACTAGCAATTTTGCTCTAGCTTTTAATGACAGCAATGTTTCTGAAAAGAAATTTTACTGTGGAGGTACTTTAGAGAAGTCGTTTTTCGATTTTCCTAAAACTTTTCCCAGCAAATGTGAAAAACTGGTATAAAACATGGGAAAACCAAGAAAAACTTTGAAAAACTGGTAAAATCGGTACAAAATTAAACAAATATTATTAAAGAAAATATGAAAAGCATATTTAATTATTTAATCAATAAGCATCAATAATATGTATGTCATATTGTAGTAAAATTATTAAATAGGTATTATTATGTATTTTTTTTAGTAATATTTGTTTAATATTGTACCGATTTTCCCTTTTTTTCTACGTTTTTCCAAGTTTTTCACATTTTTTGAGAAAACTCCTAGGAAAATTGAAAAATGACCTCTCTAAAGTACCTTCCCAGTCAGATTTCCTTTCAGAAGTTTAGGTTGGAGGAGAGTAGTGATGCATTATTAACACGCCGCGTGCCGTACTGTCACACAAAATGATACTAAACGGATTGACGGAAATCAAATCTTAAACACCAAAATTTATATGAAATAATACTTCATCTATTTATGTAAATTTTAATGTAGGTTGCCATTTGGAAATCAAAGGTAGATAGTGGTTTTACCCCAAAAAATAAAGGTTACAAAAATAACATAAATATAAAATTGTAGATCAGCTTATTTCTTAAATATTGTAGAATACAAAGTTAACACTGTCCGAGATAATGTGTCTTATAATAGATTGATAACCCCGTGTATAAAATATATGAATTGTTCATATAATTTATAATTTTTCCGAAAACTTGTTTTATAGTTGCCATGAAAATGTAGCGCCTCTTAACATATAACAGGGGGGGCTAATGCTCCCCTCAAACCACCCCTTAAATACGGCCGTAATGATAGGGGATTTTTTCGTACATGATATACACTGGAAAAATGTTTACCAAATAACTCAATAATATCTTAACCATTATTAGCCGAAATATTATCGAGGTGCATACAATTTGGTTTGGTATACAATTTGCATACAATTTGGTGATTTTAATTTCTTTGTTTAAAGAACGTCCAAAATTGTTTTGGATTAACTTTAACAATATGCAAGAACACAAAAATAAACGGTGGAAGAGAATCTTAAAAGAGAAATGGGGCATCCTTTTGAAAAACAAATTACCAGATAACAATGGTTAACTTTAGTCTTTAATATGGACGAGGGTGGAAACGTGGAGTAACGGGAAAGCACGGGGAGACCGTCTTTATTTCAGATTCTCAACGAAGCGTATTATTAACTGAGTATCAGCTAATGATTTACTATGATGTATTTTTTGCCTAAAAATTAATTTTCTATCAGAAATCTTACTCAATAAAAAACTTAAAAACAACTTTTTGAAAACATTTTTGATCTAGTTGATGCATTGAGAAGATCATTTTTTGGTTTTTCTTAATTTCTTAATAAACGGGAAAAACTCGCAATTGTTTGTACACTTTTTGTTGATTTCTAGGTTACTAAGGTAAACATGTGAAAATGTCTCATGATAATCTGCTTAGAGTTTCTTTTCGTTGGCTTACCGTTGAACACAGATACATTTGTACCTATATATTAAACTACTTTATATATCCTCCTAACCGACCAAAAAAAAAAAAAAAATGGCACACCCATCAGCATTTTTCCGTTCAATACAGTGCACGCACAAAGCCGTGCGCGACAGCTTTAGTATGTATGTGTTATAATATTATATCAGCGATAATGCGCTACGTTCGCCCGGGGTGGCTACGAGGGTGTTTCTCTTTTGTCTCTTTTCGCTCGGTTTGGCCGCACCGCGCGACCAACGACCGCGACGGCGATGCGTGACGTTACCTATGTCGTTCGGACCGCACGGAATCGATATCGATATTATAGTATAATGAGTGTATGTACTCGTACGACCGCCGACGCCGCGCCCGTGTTGATAATAACGCGTGGTGCGATTTGGTTTTGATGTCGGCGGCGGAGGCCGCGGCCGTTACTTTCCGCGCGCCGAATCAATAAACCGAGGGCGCGCGCACTTATTTGTGTGTTGTGCGCGTGAGCCTGTCGGGCCAGCGGAGAATTGTGCGTGTGTGTGAGCTCATCGAGCCGCGGAGCTTTGTGTGTGCGCGCGACGTACGAGTTTTGCGTGTGTATGGGTGTGTGCGCACAGCTTCGTGTGCGGTGCGTACGTGCGTAAACGAGCGCGAGAGTATTGACGGGGACGGTGAGGCCAAAAGTCGTGGGGGGACGATGTGGGGGAGAGAAGGTTTCGTTGTGCATTTTTCATGAGACCGTGTCGCCGGCGTTCCTTTTGTCACCCGCGCTCTCGTAATTCGCTTGTAGCAGGGAGAAAAATGTAATCAGCGAACGTTTGAAACTACGACTTACACTTGTATAAAATACAAAAAGATTACAAAAAAAAAAAAAAAGGAATTTTTTACTACCTAACTCTTTTTTTTTTGGGTTTTTCTACTGTGTTTTGTATACTACATTATACAGTGCGAGCTAGTTTGCAGCTACAATGGCACTTTGCACGTATACGGTAGTCATGTTATTTATGCCATTGCCGCTGGGGACAGTTATCGCGTTCGTCTGGACGTGATGCAATTCCTACATACACATATTACATCATCCCTACAACGGTCAGGGGCGTGCCTTTTGGGCGGGAGAGGGGGTTGTTAAATCGGTTAAAACAACGTGGATAAAAGATTATATGTATTGTAGGTAGGTATATTTATTCATAGATATCTATTATTTATAGTATTATAATATAAAACTCACGTGGGAATGAGGGATAAAAAAAAATCACCTTTGAATGAAAAGTTTTGCAAAAAATGCACAAGGGGGAAGTTAGGGCTTATCTCCTTCCATTGATTTAAAAATACAAGGTCTATGAGTGCCCACTATATATATCTTATTGGTGCGCCGTAAATGTGCAGAAAATAATCGAACGGATCGACTAATTACGGAATTTTAAAAACCACAAAGCATGTAAAATCTAGGAAATTAATCGATCTGAAAGTAAGATAACAGAATGTAAATCAACAGAACGTAATGTCCCGGACTGTTTAAATACGAAAAATGCGTGAACCGTCATTATATGAAAATGTATATGAGCTAACCATGAAAGTACGGGCCGTCATTATACGGTATTTATTTTATAAATCGATACTAGTGCTCCGCGTTAAGTATTTTTAGTTTATCAAATACAAAATATAATCAATACAAATAGAGCGCGCTATCAGACCTAGGATATTAAGTTGCATAAGCAATATAATCTTAAGGGATTTATAAAATATATTTACAATGTAATATAATTATACAGTGATTCCGCTAAGCGTGCTCACTCCATTATTTTGGTTAAGTTTTGAATATATTTAAATTCTGATTTTTAGAATTTTTAAGTGTAGTTAAAGCCAATATTTTCGGGTACTTAGATTCTTCATAACATTAATGAAGGAGTACCGTGTGAGTAACACCAACATTTGTTTTTCAAATGGGAACCTACATATTTTAACGTAAAAATCAGATTATGTCAATTTTTTGAAAAAAAAAAAAAATAGATAGAAATAAAAAAAGAAAGTGTTTTTATTTTGTAAATACAATTTTTTTAAGTTTTTGTAAGAATTAAAAATAACACAAACTTTTACATTTAATAAAATACTTAGCCTTATGGGGAATTAAAATTTTAAAGCCTATTTCCCAACAATCACAAAATGTGACACCAAGCCACAGAAATGTTATACATAGCTCACTAAAGGTTCGATTCCTTAGAACGCGTCTAGAGATGAGTGGCAACCATGGCGCGATTGAAAATTCGGTAACGTCGATGTTAGTTTAACCATTTTTAAATATAACCGAATCCCTCTACTTCCTTAGTAATACAAGCAAAACTTAAAATATTATTATCAGAAGGTATATTTCAGTTTTTTAAAGTTCAAATTAACTCGATTAAAATCGTTTATATTTATTGCCGATTATACCGATTGATGATTATGAGTATCCAGTATTAAATTATTAGTTTATATACAAAAAAGCTGTCCTAGAATAATGGATATGAAAGCAGCCACTGTTATAGGTAATTTATTGTATATCTGTAAGCAACGATAAGCTATTTCTATAACGAAAAAACAATTCTGAGCGAAGTTTAGTTGATAGTGATGGTTGATCAACAATATATTACATGTAACATTATGGTAAAATAATTAAATAGACATTTTATATTATTTTTAATAATATATGTTTAATGTACTGATTTTCCAGTTTTCCCTGCTTTTCCCATATGTTTTTTCTGGTTCTTCACACTTTCTAGGAAAACTCTTGAAAAATCAAAAAATGATCTTCTTAAAATACCTCTATAGTCAAATTTCCTTTCAGAAACATTGCTATCATTATAAGATGGAGCGAAATTGGTAGAAAAGTTGTTCACAGGACAAAAAAAATCGTAATATTTTATTAATATTTTTGTTACATTTTCCCGTTTTTCCTCAGTTTTTTTTTCGGTTTTTCACATTTATTGGGAAAACTTCTGGGAAAATCAAAAAATAACTTCTTTAGAGTATCTCCCTAGTCAGATTTCCTGTTAAAAAATAGTCTACATCGTATGCATCGGAATAAGCTTCTTGGTAGAAGTGTCAAAAAAAAAAAATAAATAAATAAATAAACAAATGTCTTTGTAAAACCATAAACTTCAATTATTCATGGCCACAATATGAAATGTATAGGTATAAACTATTAATTTGTTAAATGGACAGTAGTGATTGAAATCTGTATCTCATTTTCAGAGCCGAGGAAAATACGGCTACGTGGTCATTATAATATATAATGCGATAAACGTAAATTCCGGGATATAAACTGAACATTCGAGTCGCATAAATAATAAACCAAACTCAACGGGCCTTTTACGCGCTTGCGGCGGTGGTCTTATTAAAATCGGTACCCGTGGACAACTACAGACAACAGTATAATAATAATATAATACGAGTTTTTAATTAGAATGAAACTTGTTGACTAAGCGACCAAGGTGTTTTTATACTTGAGCCTCGAATATCACACCTTTATCCCTGTGATGAGAACATTTTACAAAAATGAAATGTGTTACACTGTATGAAAAATAAACAGATTGTATTCTTAATCAGGATTTTAGCAACTAAGTTTATTATAACTAATGTACCTTAAATTTTAAATTGAGTACACGAAATATCGACTAACAATAATAATTGCATTTCTCCAACAGTGAAATTATGAAATTCGATAATTCGATTAGACGATGTGTGATATTTATACAGAGACTGCAAAGGTATTTTATGTTTTTGAGTAAAAAAGGCTGATAACGATTCTAAGTAGTTTATTATTGATCGTATTTTTTCCCTTGTTTCCAAGATGACCAAAAGATTGCCAGATTTTGCCATTTATTAAGAGACTACAAGAAAAATTAATTCATCAATGCACGAATAAAATCAAAAATTCTACAAGAAAGTTCTTATAAATTTTTCGATTGAAGTCGAATTTATTGTAGAAAAGTTGAAATTTTTGTATACAGTATAAAGAAAGTAAACATGATTGTAAAACCAATACATTCCTCGTTTCACTCAGAATCTAAAACATAATATCGAGTATTTTAATTATAAAAAAGATTCTAGGAGGTTAAATGTGCTGTAAATTTTAAGTACAATCAGGTAGAAATTTCATATATTTTACTGTGGAAGCAAAAGCGAAGCAAAAGTGAAGCTTTTGCTTTTCAAAACAAAAACATAAAAAGACAGCATTTAGAAAAATTATTGGAAATTCCAGACAATTATTCATAGAAAGTATCATCAGACGAATAACTTGCTTATTTTAAGGTATGACGTTAATCAACAAGAATATTTTTACTAATCGAAAAAGTTTTCCAATGAAAAAAAACATATTTTTGTAAAACTAATATATTTTCTTCATTATACTCAAACTTCAAAGGACAAAATCTAAAATATAATTCTCAAAATTAGTTTGAAGCTATTCAAATTTTTTTTTTTCAAACAAATAATTTATTAGTTTTGTTCTTATGGGTAGTAAACCTAGCTATTTAATATAGGTACCTTTAGTTCCCATTAAAATAATAATAAGATTATGTTTCCACTAAAAACCTATTTCGAAACAAATGTGTAGTATTTACGTACCTAAGAACCTATAGATAATGTATATTATAATATATATATATATATTAGAATATATATTATATGCGAATTAAATAACGTATCATTAATATCAGTATAAATGTTTGTAGATTGTAATTATTCCTCTAGAAGTTTTTTCCCATCCTAATTATACAGGTGATTCACTAAGTGTCATCACCCCATTTTTTGGTTAAGTTTTACATGTAATCAAATTCTGATTTTTGAAATTCTTAGTGTAGCTAAAGCCAATATTTTCGAATACTTAGATTTTTACAACATGTAAGTAGAATCTTGTCGTGATACCAACTTTGGTTTTTCAAATGAGAATCTCTATTGAAAATTTCATAAATAGACGGAATATTACTTTAAATAAGTTTTGGTGTTGAAAATTTTTTATTTTCGTTAACTCGTTGACGAGATATTTCACTTTTAAGTTTAGGAAGGGGGAGAGTAGTGGAGTATCATTTGTGCGGCAGTACGGCGTGTGATGTTTTATTAGTGCTCCACTGGTAATTGGCTGTTAATGATAAGATTTGAACAAAAGCTTATAAGTGACTTTATACAAAAACCACATTATTACAGTAGTTTAAGATATATAGCTCAGAAAGGGCCAAGGGGACATTTTCTTGGACTTTTCCCCTTTCTACACTAAACACTAACTTTAGCTGTTGATATTTTCATAACGGTTTGATAGACTAGTCCAATTTTTACGTAAACTATTCAAGGTAAATAAATATAAATCCGATAATAACTCAATTTCGTTAGAAATTGGACTTATACCCTTTCTGCAATTAGTGATTCATATATTCATATATATGTTATACGTATTATAATATAAAATAATATATTTCTACTAATAATATATGTTGTTAACATAACGAATTTATACAAACTGCACTACAGCATTACGAAAAAAAGAAATTTCGGGGGGGGGAAGAAGGGGAGAGCACATTCCCCTAGTGTGCCCCTGGCTATGGCACTAATAATAATATAGATAATTTAGTAGTATGTACATAGGTACATTATACATTTCATAGGGAGATTGACGGAAAATTAGAAAATCTTAGTAAATTACTGTAGAGATAATTTACATCTAATATTAGAACAAAAAAATAAAACCTTCAATTAGTTACACTTGTCACCAATTAATACCATTAAATAAGTATAATATATGATTTATAAAGGGTGTTAAAATGCGCTGTATTGTGCAATTTATATCGTCGTAAAATATGTAAATCTTTATAAAGCGAGGCCAATAAAGTATACGGATAAGATAAAAAAAAAAAAAGGTCAAATGCGTATATATTATATAGTGCAAACACCCCTCTCCCCAAAAACAACGCCCTCGTTTGATGATCACCATCATCGTGTAAATATATAGAGCTTGAAAATTCGAATCGATTGAGTAGGAATAATTTGCATACTATTCTTGAACAAAAAGAGCGCTCTGTATGATGCAGTATAATAGCTATATAGTGGATGGTGGAGGACAAATTTCCTGCATCAGATAGAATTTATAACGATTCTCAAATATTCGTTACTATATCCGTCCAATTTGAGTCATTGATGGCGAATTGGACAAGATTATATTAATAAAACTGATGCGAAAAGCTGCGTTAAATATTCACGCTGAAATGTAGTAGAAATTCCAGAAACAATCCAAATGCTATCATCACTATATTCGTAATTTTTAATAATCGCTTTCAATTTGAGTAGTAAAAGTTTTTTATTACTTTTTTTTTTGTGAGTCTTCTTTTAAAAAAAAAATATTACAGCGGCGCAGCGATTACCTACCTACAATAAAATAAATTGATATAAAGGGAAACATTTTAATATAAGCTATTATTTTGTGTAACGATAAAATACACCGAAATAATCAATAAACAAAAAAATGGTGGGCAATGAATCCCCTCCCCGTGACACTGGTGTCCTATATTTAGAGGAAGTTAAAGTTTGATTGTCACCTACTTCAAAGTGACCAAACCATAAGTGTTATGAGCCAACTTGAAAGGGTCCAGTGAAAGTTATCTAGTTTTGCTGCCTATTTATTAAAAATTGAACACGAAACTCATGATTATGGACCAGTTTCAAGTACGGTATGTTTGCAGTCCTTAGCTGATAGGCGAGTTAACTAAAATAAGGTCTTTCTTTGCAAAATTATTGGGTCAATTGATTATCCTTAGTTTCTCTCCTTGGTTAACTTAAGATAGCTTGTGTCCAGATCTGCTTTGTATATTTTATCTATGCCTTTGTGTTTCGACATACTTTTTCAATAACTGCCCACTTTATGGGATGATGTGTATTGCTAACAAAGATCCGTTTTTTAATTGTAAGTTGTCCTTGTATATTATTTCTCTATTTATTATCTATGTTTATCATGTATTTCATATATCTGTCTTTCTAATTTAATTGCATTTTTGTATCTCATTATGATAATTAATAACATACTTTGGGCCGTGACCCGTATTGAAAATAAATAATAGTCTATGAATAAGTCACAGTGGATTGGTAGAACCAAGAATATTGTTTTGTGGAATTTTCGTGAGACTCAATTCAATAATCAATAATGTGAGTTTTACTAGTCAATAATTATCTGCATGATAACTTATTATTTTTACATTGTGTGGAATTCTTTATACAGAATTGTATTATTGATACTATTAAATTGTAGATCACGAACTACAAGTAAATACTAGAACTATATATTATCTGTGAGCAACATAGCAAAATGTCATTTTTAGTCCTAGCTATAAGTTTATAATAATATATTTAACATTAACAAGTTAATGAATTGCAATTCAATTTAAGCACACTATAAAAAGACTTACATTTTTTTTTTCGAATTTTAAAAATAGAAAAACAAACTTAGAAAATGTGTCAAAAAAAAAAAAAAAAAATGTATAGAGATAATTTGTATTTATCGTGTACAAATTTAATTTACCTAATTGATTAATAACGTTTATTTTATTTTCTTCCAGAAAGCTGACTTCGATGTAGACCTTTTTCTAAAAATAAATCTGATTGGGGAAATACTTTAGAAGTCATTTTTTGCGGAGTTTTCTCAATAAATGTGAATAACTGAAAAAAAAAATGGGAACATGTAAGAAATGTAGGTACTTGCTTTGATCATATAATATACTATTTTATAATCAATAGTATTATTAAAAAAATATTACAGCTTTCTTTTTTTCTGAAGATAACTTTTCTAGCAGCAATTTTACTCAGATTTAAAATGATAGCAATTTTTTTTAAAGGAAATCTTACTGAAAAGGTACTTTGAGAAAATCATTTTTTGATTTTTCCCAGCAAATGTAAAAAACCAGGAAAATCAGTACAATATTAAACAAACATTATTAAAGAAAATGTATAATAACTATTTACCATTTCATATTTTTACTATATATTGTTGACCAAGCATCACTATCAACCGATTTCCGCTCAAAATAGTTTTTTCATAAATAATGGTTGATTACAGATATACATAACATTCCCTTCCGTATCCTACCTCCCAACTTTCCACCTAGAAAAATGGCTGTACCCATCCTTATTATCCTAGGACAGTTTTTTCACATTGGTATCAATTGAGGAACAATTTTTACTTTTTAATATCACAATATATTATCTTATATTTTTCTCTTATATAAAAAAAAAAAAAAATTCTGAATTCGCCTTTCCTATTATTTCAATACAACATCTATGTAATTAATTGATAATAAAATATGAAATATATAATAACAAAATAATAAAAACATCATTAAAAAAAAAAAAAAAAATTTAAAAAATAATTTTTTTTGTCACATATGCAATTTTAATATTGCATATGGGACATTTCCCGGTTTGTAGCCAAATACGTTTAGCACATGAATAGCAACAATAATTATGTGATGTTTTTTCATGATTGAAAAAACCATTTTTTGGCTTTAAAAAGCATATATTACATATATCTTCTTCAAAATAAATCTTATCATTTGTATCCTTAGTCAAGCATAAGCTAGATAGGCCAAATGTACCAGATGTTTCTTGATGAGATTGACTAGGTTCATAATAATTTGATAGGTTAATTTTTTGAAAACTTGATGTGCTGGATTCTTCTTGGGAATTCGTAAAAGGTAAACTATTTTGCTGTACTTCTGTATGAATTTTGTTCAAACGTTTAAGCCTTCTCTTCGTAACTGGATTGGGTTTAAGTTCAACTAGTTGTGTTCGATTCTACAAAAAAAAAGTTTTAATATGAATAATTAGAGAGTTATTTAAAGAATGAAATAGCGTATTTTGATTTTTAATTATTATATTTATTGTACAAATATAACATTGACATACAGTGTCCCATAAAGATATACCCATTGTAATATCTCTAAAGTTTATACAATAATAAAAATAGTAAAGATAATCAAATTCTGGTTTTTTTTTTTTTTTTTTTAATAATATTACTCACAGAAATAAGCAACTACAAATATAATTTTTTATTTGCATATTTTAAAAAAAATTGAAGATAGCCATTTTATAGAATTTAATATTCTTCTAAAAATGTTAACGTATTAACTTAATTTTCATTAAATTTGAGATTTTTAATATAATTTTTTTTAAGTTCAGATAAAAAGTGTGCAATCAATTAGGTATCATAATAATAATCAATTAGCAAATATCATTATAGCTTGTTGCATAATTATAGGTACTTTTATCTGAACTTTAAAAAATCTCCATCCTAAAATACGCGCTTCAATGTAGGTATTAAATTTTAAAACCGTCTAAAACCCAGTTATCTATTTATAAATACAAGAAAACTGTGCAACTACTATAACTGCACAATTTTTTTCAGGTATCGCCAGAACTAGCATATTCCAAAATTTTAAACTGTGCAGTCATATGGTTTCCATTTACACATACAGTTCATTTGCACTGTTTAACTGAGCGTGTAAACCCACCTTTAGATTAAAAATACAACAAAAATAGTTTCGTCATTTATCGATTGAAGCACTATTTATGATAGAAAATATAAGCCATAAAATTTTAAAATAATGAAATCGTTGTTTAATTTGAAAAAAAAGGTATATTTCGTCTTTTTTGATTTTTCTCAATTCTTATGAAAAATACTTTAGATATCAATAAAACAACTTGCACTGTCAGTCACGAAATATTAAAAGAAACAAAATCAATCTGTCATTTTTCGTTTGAAGTAAAATTTCTGGTAGAATACTTAAGTACCTATAACACAATAGAAACGTCAACACAGCAGTGTGCTGTAAATGTTTGCCATTGTACCAATGGTTTTCTTTCTGGTTTTTCACAATTATTTTGAAAACCACTTTAGAAAATTAAAAAATGACCTTCACTAGGATCAGAATCTGAAAAGTGTGCGTGTGTACAAAGGAACTAGTACACATTTTTATGCCTAATAAAAGCGTTAACAAGATAAATAAAATAAATACATTAATTATATAAATACAGGGTGATTCTTTGAAACACTTATTATTTCGCAAATTATTGACTTTTTCAAAAAAAATATTATTTTATGCACTCGTATGATATGCTATCACGTTCAGTGGTTTAGTATGTTATATACTATATAGTATGTATAAACTTCATCATTTTGAAATTAAGAAAAGACTTTTTACAACAAAAATGAAATTAGTTTCATTTTTGTGAGTTATGTCTGTATACTTATGATAACTAATAACTTTGGGTTCTACCATTGCATAACCTCCCTTCTCATGTCACTCAAATAAAACTAAAAAAAAATTGTTCATCTCATTTATTTATTGTGCTAAATTATATTTATAGATTGTAAATATATAATAAAAAAAAACAAACTAATAACTAGTTATTTGTATTACAGTGAAACAAATAGTTACGGAACCATAAAAATGTCTGTTACAGATAGGTGTCTGTAATAGATAGAAACAGGGGATGGCATTACAAAGAATAAAAAGCTGATACTGGGGATGGGAAATTTTACCACGTCTAAGTAAGTCTAAGTCCAATATAAGTATTATTACTAAGTTGCAAGTCTCTAAGTGTACTTAAAACCAAACTACAGCAAAAATACTCCCTAAAATTAAAACTCCTTAAATGTTCAAAAGTGGCTCAATAGTTTTGGCAATGATACCGTAAGAAAGTAAATCAAAAATGCAATAAAAAAGATAGTTTATAATTTTTTGATTAAATCATTTATTTGGTAGAAAACGTCGTTTGTGTTTTTATAAAATAATGAAATTGTGAAATTTTATATTTTCCCACGTTGTTTCCCACTTAAGTGCTTTTATTTAAAAAATGAGATCGAAAATTAAAGAAATGACTTCTCTAAAGTACAATCTAGACAACTTGAGCTTTCAGAAAAGTTGTTATACGTAAAAATCGGTGCAAGTTTACTAGGAAAAAAAGGTGTTCACAGACTAGAACAAAATAAGAAAAAAGAAAAAATAAACATCTTATTAAAACCAATAGTTCTCGCTACCCTCGGAATCTAAAATGTACAACACTAATAGCGAAGCGATACGGAATAAACACTAACTAGTCTTTAAGTTTTATACACGCTTCTGGTTATATTCATCCTTGCAATTAACTTTATCCTTATATTATCAAACATGTAATCTGTCATAATTGGTACCTAAACGATATAGACCGGCGACACTGTTGCGTGGTATGTATGTATACGTTTGCAATACATTTGATTTTGAACTAAGATAGTTGTCCGTTATCGAGGTATTGGGGAAAAATATTACTGTTTGTGTCTATAATAGAAAGAGTCTGCTAAAGATAGGCTGAAATACATTAGAATGCCTATCTTTTTGATGGGACATTATTATTTTGTCAGTTAAGAGAGGTGTCCGTTAAGATAGCTGGCTGAAATGACTACTTTTGATTTTCAAATGGTTACCTATATTGAAAATGCATGAACAGATGAAGTATTAAAATACATTTTTGTGTTGACATTTTTAATTTCCGTCTATCCATTAACGAGATATTTAGCTTTTAAGTTTGGGTAAAAGGAGAGTAGTGTTGCATTATTAAAAGGTTGTGCGCTATGCCGCCACCCAAATTATGATCCACTACTCTACTCCAACCTAAACTTAAAAGTGGAATATCTTGTTAACGGATTGACGAAAATTAAACATTTTAAGACCAGAATTTCTTTCAACTAAAAACACTAATCCTCGGTCAATTTTTGGGATTTTTAATATAGATTGCTACTTGAAAATCATGAGTAGGTAGTCATCAAGTAGTTAGTTTCAACCCAAAAAATTAGGGCGACAAAAAATAATATATAAATGTAAAATTGTAGAGCTGCTTATTTCTTAAATTTTCTACAAAACAGATTCCCAAAAAAGTTAATACTTTTCGAGATAATGAGTGTTTAACGAAAAAATAATCATCCAGTATACACCAACATAAGGCATACATACTCAACTGTAAATGAACACTGATTTATTTACAAAATTGTTATAGTTAATCAATCAAAAATTATATTATTGTAAATACAATTGCCAGTATAAATGCTGTTGAATTGTAAATATATCAAGTAATGCATTACTTGATAAATTTACAACAAAATAATGATAATATATTAAGAAAAAAATGATCAGCAATAAAGTAATGTATACTAATTACATAGGAAATAAATTCTAACAAAAGGGAGATCGACATTTAAATTGTCCGCGGTCTACAGGTCGATCACAATTGACCGTTTAGCTACCCCTGCTATAGTATTATTAAACATTACAATTCTGAACATCTTTTTAAATATGTATTAGTTCATTATTTGTTTGTTAATTTTTATCGGGTTTTAAAATTTTTGTTTAAAATAAATAATTGTATTCATCTTACAAATACTTACTTTAAAACATTTATAACAGCTCTGGTAATGGGGATTGTCATTTACTTTGTTACAATTTAAACAATTTTTAAAAAAAGCAGGAATTGGCCTTGTATATGCAATGAAACTGTCATCAAAATTTCCATCACCTAAATAGCCATTGTCAATACCGAGTATAATTTCCTTTTCTGTATCCTGAAATTAAATAACTAAGATAATTATTAAAGATTTGGTAAAAGTTTAATTTGTCTTATAAGTTATATAGGTATAAGAAGTTTAATAGGACTATTTAACAAATGTATTAACTTTTAGTTTCGAAGCGGAGCAAGCATTTATTGATTTTACTATGAGTTTTTTTTTTTTATATCTTGTGTAAACAACTTTGTAAAGAAAACTAGCTCTGATATTTTAAATGTGTAGTATCTTTTCTGAAAGAAAATTTTATCTAATTGGTAATGTAGAGAGGTAATTTCTTTGATTTTCCAAGGCGGTTTTCAAAATAATTGGGAAAAACAAGAAACAAAATTATAGGTAAAACAGCAAATATTTATAGCGTACCAGGGCTTTGCTGATTTTATTATTTGTAATTTTTGCAAACTTATGTTTTTAACTAGAAATATTGCTTTAATCAAAAAATTGCTGACGAAATATTAAAGTAAGTGGTTTATTGATTTTCTAAATAATTTTCACAATTATGGAAAACTAGAAAAAGACAGAAAGATCAGGAAAATGTATAAAAATAATTCACTTATTATTATTTTTGAGGTAATTCACTTAAAAATATTTATAGAAACTTGACATTTTGATATAGGTACAACTTAGGTTTACTTTTTTCTAGACATGGTAAAATTTTAAAAACATTTGAGCTATTTTTGAGCTATTTATGCATTTAAATTTTCTGTGTTACTTAGATAACTTATATTTGGTAAGTAATCAGTGGATAAAACTATTTGATGGAAATGCTAAAGTGCAATGTAGTATTTTTTTTTTTATTTTAAAAGAATTTTAATTATCAAATTTTGAGGAAAAATGTAAATATTATGGATTTTCAAAATGTCAAAACTAACCGAACTATGCTCTGAATTATTTTTTTATAAAAATAAATTAAATAACTATAAGAATCTTACATTTCCAACTTTCCACCTAGAACAGTGACACCCCGTTTCCAGTATCAGCTCTTTTTATTCTTTGTATTTGTTATTGTCAAAAATTTTAATCCAATCAAAAACTTAATAAGAACTTTATTGTAACATTTTTTTTTTAATTGAATATTTTCAAATTATTATTTTTTTTAATATTATTAAATCTTGGTGCTATAATTTAAATATTTTTTTGTTAAATTTTATTTATTAATTTTAAATAAAAAATATAATTATTTATCATAATATATCTTTTATATTAGGTAATATTTTTATCATATAAAATTAAGCTGTAATTCTGATAAACTCATATCATTTATCATTAGTTAAATATAATCTATACTTAGTAAAATTAACAAGAAAAGAATTTGGATTTTATTGCTTTAAAAATTAATGGCATAAACTAATTGATAGTTTTAAACACCAACATTTTTTTTTTTTTAAATTATTTTATATAATAGTTATCTTGGACTTAAAAAATGCTTATTTTTGTTTCCACCTGTAAAGTAATAAAAATAAATATAAAAATTATAAAACAGTGCTCTGGTAATTATAACAATTTTTTTTTTAAATATTAAAAAAAAAAAAAAAAAAATTTGTTAAATAGTACTGTTATACTCTGTATAAGGGTGTTAATAAGCTTTTATAAAATTATCCTAAAAATATTTTACTAATTTATTAAACATAATATCTAAACTCCCCTAAAATATATTGTAAAGAATCATTGTAGGTAGTCATTATTCAAATTTTATTTATATAAAAACGTTTATTGTTCCATATTGGGTAAAATAAAAATATATAAGTTAATTTACAAAAAAAAATATGATTTCGTAAATTATTGACTTATTTAAAAATTTTTTTTTTAACAATTTAAGAAATAAGTAGCTCTAAAATGTTAACATTTTTTTTTTTAGTCTCATATTTAGGAGGTGAAACAACTACCTACTTTAATTTTCAAATAGCTATCTATATTTTAATAATTTCATAAATAGATTAGAATACAAAGAATAAAATATTAGATTAAATACTATGTTTATAATTATGTAATACGTATAAGACTCATATCTGTAAATTATAAAATTAAAATAAAATATACTATTAGACATGATATCCGCAATCTGTTTTTCTAACTTCAAACTTTTCTGCGAATGCATAAATTCCTATGTTTCTGTTGTTTTTACAGTGGTCTAGTCTTGACTTTTCATGAAGCGACAACCATTTTCATTTTAACGTACTCATTGCATCAAAAACCGGCACTAACTAACAAAATGTACTCATACAAACATCACAAACCATTGATATTTTTGTCACTATTCCACCATTAAGTGAATTTATCATAATCTTATTGTTCCTTAAACAAGTTTGTTATGTAATTTCACTAATACGAGAGTACATACAAATGTAAACACGTTTTGTAACAGTAATTTTGTCATTATTTTTAAATTGAGATTAATATTGTGTCTGCTATTTGGAGGTTTTCCCATTGAAAAGTAGTGAAAATGTCCCCATTCCCAAAAACAAAACGTTATAGTTTGAATAATGGAGGCTTGGATATTTTAGGTTCTACTGTAGTCTAAAATCTTCTCCAGACAATGGGGATCATTTTGCAAAAAAAACCACACACAAATTGGTCTAGTTGTTTCAGAGAACATGCGTAACAAAAAATTGTTTTTCACACATATATATACACACACACATAATATATAGACTAGGGTGGCCCTTATTTTTTGATATTGGATTTTTTTCAGTTTTACCCCCTAAATTGGTTCAAATATGTATATAAATTAAGTATACAAAATTTCATATCGATAGATTAAGTTTAACCCGTGCCCCCTAGCCCTCAGAGTTCAAATATATGGTTCTGTTCAAGTAACCACAGTTTTTTTTAATTGATTGACTGCTATCTCATTGTTATCATTTTTTACAAAAATAAATTTCTGACATTATTTATAGTAAATTAAATTGTCTATAACTTTTGTTCTATATAGTTTTTTGATTAACGTAATATTTATTAATATAACTGATTATGAAACATGCAAGTTTTTAAAAAGCGTAACAATATTACAAAATATCTAAAATATTGTNATTATAATGGTTCTATAACTGTGCTTTTTAAACTGTTCGGGTATTTACGGCGATAATCTTCAACAACTTGAAGCACGTATTGTTTTTGATCTTCATTTTTTGTTAAGACCATATTATACTCCTCCATGAGCTTTACCCCTCTTTCTGCCGTATCGTTTATAACACGAAATGTATTTACAATTTCAAGGCCTTTTTGAAAATCTTCATTTTTATCCCACATTGATGGATGTTGCTATTCCAAATTGCGAAAAAAATGAAGTAGATTCTTTATAAATAAAATCATTTATTTCTTTCTTCATGAATTGAGCTACTTCATTTAGCGACACAATGACTCGTCTATTGATTTCAGAAGTTAAATTATTTAATTTTATAATATCGACCATTTTAATTTTTGTCTCAATTGTTATATTAGGATCAAAAAATGCCAATGCTACTGTTTCAGGTGCTAAATACCACAAATGTCCACATAGTTTTCTTAAAGTTGATTAAGAAATGTTTTTATGTATTTTTTCATAACTGATGAGACTTTTCAAAAATTGTAAGTCTTGAAATGGAGCTAAAGCGGCAATAGGTGCACAAAACCAAGCTTTAATATATAATCGTATAAGAAATATACAAATTGTACGGATTGATTCTTCTTCATAATTTTTTAATTTAAATTGTTTACGGAACATAAATATTTTTAATGAATATATGGCCTTGGACATCCAACGAGCATGATGCATTGCACCAGGACATTGAAAAGATATGCCACGAGTAGGGGTACCACCAAGAAATATCACAGCTAATTCCAACAATTCTCTGTAATCGTCTCCGTTATGAGATTTGCGTAATTGGTCCATATAAAAAAATAACAACATTAGTTACATCATTTAATATTTCACTGACAATTATATCTTCTATTCCGGTGTTATAATTATTAACATTAAGTTTCGGTCAAAATTGTTGGAAACGTTTAAAAATTTGAATATCTGGACCAGATGTAACTCCAAAATTTACTTCAACTTTCAAATGCAGATCTAAGTATAATTTCGTAAATGTGATGCCTGCAAGGAAAGTATAAAATATCACGTTCTAATAGCTGTTCCAAATTATACATGCTCCTTTTAGACGACCTGTATTCGAAGCCGTTATATCGCAACATAAAGCTTGTATATTATCGATAAGGCCACATTCTTTAAGTGCTTTAAACACTGCTTCCGCTTGATTTTGACCAGTTCCGGATATAAGCTTAGGAACACTTAACAACTTTTCAGAATTTTTAAAAGAAACAATTACTGGTAAACGATCAACAAGCTCTTTTCCTGTTAAATCTGGGAGCAGCTTACCATCCCAATGAACAACAACTGGACCTACTTCTGATGAATTGAATTCATTTCGAAGTTGATCTGCTCTGTCCTTACGTAAACACTGGCGTATTTGATTAATAGATGTCCGGTTTAAAATTAAATCACTTACACGTATACCTAACGCTTCTACAGTAGCTGTTAATATATGAACTGCATCGCGATCACTTATTTCCACCTATCCAATGCGATTGCAAGTTTCAATGTTATACAATTTTTATTACCTCTATTTTTAAATGTAGGAAGGTCTGGGAATTCGGAAGTTTTTTCTGCATCTAACGGTTTGTTTGAAATATTTTTTCTAGAATCAGAATCGCTATCAGAACTTGGAGAACAAATAAATTATAAAAATATAACAATATTTTAGACATTTTGTAATATTGTTACGCTTTTTAAAAACTTGCATGTTTCATAATCAGTTATATTAATAAATATTACGTTAATCAAAAAACTATATAGAACAAAAGNCTGGGGGGCACGGGTTAAACTTAATCTATCGATATGAAATTTTGTATACTTCATTTATATACATATTTGAACCAATTTAGGGGGTAAGACTGAATAAAATGTTATAAAAAAAAAATCACCTATATGACGAAGGGCCACCCTAATATAGACATAAAGATAATGATGAAGAAGATATATATATATATATATATATATATGTTACAACCATAAGTGAATTTGTCCAATTCATGATGGGTAATTTTCAGATACTTTTGTGAAATAGTCATATGAGTCACCCAATTTATTAATTAATTATTAATTAATTAAACTATATTAATATTAAAATATTAATTAAACAATAAGTTTATTGTTTTATGAACTGGTATTTTATTAATATGAAATACACTAGCCAAACATATAGTTACAAAGAAAATATATTTTAGAAACATAGATTAATGATTTTTTTTTGATTATTAATGAATCGTTTTTATTTATTATTTATGACAAATTTTTTGTTCAAAACATAATATTATAATAATTAATTTTTATGTTTTCTGAATTCAATTCACTTTAAAAATATTGATTTAACAATTATAAATATTTGTACATTATTAGTTTTGCTCAATTTATTAATCATCTTGGCCATTTTACGAAATGGGCAAAACATGCCCACATCTTAAATTGGACCAATTCACTTCTAGAGTGTTATCAAAATTTTCAAAATAGCGATTTTGTAAAAGATATTACTCTAAAAACTTTAAAATTACATACAATCATATCTGATCAATAGTTTTTTAGTAACAGAAGTTTTAATTTCCATAATTTTCAACTTAAAACACAAAAAAATAAAATTATTCTCTACTGCATTAAGCAGTCTCGTTTATCACACATTGTCTCTATAAATTAAAATAGCTGTTAGTAAGAAACTATTAATCAAATATGAATAAATTATGATACATTAAAATGCTTAGAATAATATATTTTATAAAATAGCTTTATTGAAAATTTTGAGCAGTGAATAGTTTTTTTTTTTTTTTTAGAAATTAGGGGTTAAAAATAAAAATTTAATTTTTCTCTTAATAGATGAATATTTCAAAGAAAATCAAATTGAAAAAAATAGAATATTATTAACAAAAAAATCTGTCAAATAAGGTGGGATACTTGTGTAATAAACTACATATTATTCCTATTTTCCTTGGTCATGCCATAACTCGAAAATAGTTGAACCAGTTGGGCTAATTTTTTTTTTTTGTTGATTTGTAATTGTCAAGAAAATGTTTTTATAACAGACAATTTTTAGAAAATCTGCAGGAAAATTTGTGAATTTGGGTGGTACTTTGGTAAGAAAATCTCAATATTTTTTTTAAATTTCATTCTTATTACCAAGATAACCCATAAATCAACAAAAATAGTTCAATAATTGACATTCAATTCTGCTGTCACATTTTTTCATAACAAAAACAAATTGATTGTAAATAAAAATTAAGGTTTATATGAAAAAAAATGTTGATAAATCTACCAGAAAAGTTAGAAATTTGGTTATTCAAAAGTTATGGTGCTAGAGCATCATCAACAAAATTTGTATTAATTTTTATACATAATACATATAGATTAACAATAGTTATAATTTTGTGTTAATATAAATTGTCTGCAAATACTTATAAAAATAAGTAATAATAAATAATTTATATAAATGTACTATCTGCAAGTGGCGACTATAATACAGTACACTCGCTCTCCCACTGTTGAGCATTGCTACTCCCCGATAGGTTAGATTAGGCTTAATTTTTTTTTTGAAATCTCCTCCTACCCAAAATTTGGTGTTTAGATATTTTTAATATGAAAGTCATGAAAAAACATCACAACAGAATACTTTTAGTTTTCTACTACCTACTTTTCATTCAATACTCACTGGTCAATACCAAAAAGTAACAAGGGTAAAACAAATAATAAAAATTGGCACAGGCAACCATGGGCGGGACGCTAGTAAATAATAAAAATACATTTCATTTAACAGTAAATCTAATATTGAAAAATTACAAGAAAGTACTTCTATGAACATTATATATTATTGATATTGTAATAAGATAATATTACCTCAGTATCAGTATCATCCGATTGACTAGAGGTTTGATAGTTGCAATCACTATCATGTTCACAACTGCAACTGTAAGTGTCAGATGAATAGTTAAATTCTTCTTCTACTTCAACTAAAAAAATGAAAATAGTTCATCAAAGATTAATGTAGTGCAATAAAAATATTGACTAATTTGATGAGCTCTAGTTATGTAAATTTTTGGTGGATCCAGGATTGATGAAAAAAGATTGAATTTTCCAAATGAACAATTTCTTCTTTTTCAAATAAAAACTATGTTTAATTAGATATGATAAAAAATTAAAAAGTAGATAATTCATTTAAAATGTTACACAAAATAGATAATAGAAATATAAATATAAAAATATTATTTATTTTCTTTATAAATGATTATAATTTTTATGTTTTTGTTTAAAATTATTTATAACAATGATCTTTTTCTTTTTCTTTTTTTAACAAATAGGTTATATATTAATTTTAACAATGCCACATGTATTTCTAGTAACAAATTTTAAAAAAGTTAGTAAATAAAATCACTTGTGCTTTTATTTGTATGCACTTTCCATTCCTTCTAAAATAATAATAATATTAATTAATTAATTAATTAAACAATGTTAGCCTCGCTAAAAATACAAATATAGATAATATTTGTATAAATCATATTTTCATAATCCAAATGTGTAGCCAATAAAATATCCTCATAAATAATGTACAGATTCAACATATACAAATATATTAATATATATGCATACATATTATATACCCATACATGTATTAAAATATATTTAAATATTTAATACTAAGCCTATAATACCTATATTATTAATTATACAATTATTATTTATTTCCACAATCATTCAATCAAAAAGTATTACTACATAAGCATATTATGATTATTTATTAATTGCAGTCTTAACAATGACAAATATAAGAAGGGGCCATAGTGTCAAGCAGTTGATGAACTAACTTAAAAGATCAGAAAAGTTAAGACTATCCTTTGCTAGTAGCAATTTTAGTGTTATTTTAATAATATAACAATTGTGAGAATGGTGAGAATATTATCCAAAAATCTTTTGTAAGTATATTAGTTAGGAGAGTGGTCAAAAGAATAAACGGTTTAATGTTCAATAAATATATTCTGTTTTAATAAGATTATATAAGTTTTTATTTTGTGTAACTAAAAATTGGGTATATAAGTATATAATAATTAGGGCACGGATGTTGTTGCATTTGCAACTTTTTTTACTTCTTCAATTTATTGCTAAATAAATTTTAAATACTTTTCATGTAAATACGAATTTACATCTAGAAATTTTAAATGCAATTTTTTTAATTTTATTGCAGTTTTGTTGAATTTATTCATTTATACAACTATTTTAGCTATAGTAAACGCTCGATAGTCGTATAAATTAGATTATAATATATTGCCAGGCATATAATCCAGATATATATATATATAAAAACTTATATATATCTGTGATAAAATCTAATAATTGTATATTCTTATTTTTATTTTGATAATTTTAAGTTGATAGGTATTCAATACAATACAAAAAAAATTTATGAAATGTAACTGTTTGACAGTTATAATCTGTTCTTTGGTCACTCCGTAAATTTTGAGCAATCGTGTTCTATTAATGTTTTGTAAATATGCCAAAAATTTGGCCAACTATTTCCATTGTTGTAAAAAAAATTGTTATTTTTTGGTGCATTTTTTAATATTTTTAGTACAATCAATTTTACTAGTCTGTTACTACTACAACATCCGTGTTTTAATAATAATATAGTAAGTATTTAATCATAGTATATTATATAATTTAAGAACAGGGCTTGCACTAATGAGCAGTTCTAAAAAGACATTTGATTACTATCTAAAAATCGTAATTCTTTTGTAATATTGGCATATTTTGTTCTAGATTCTAGATTCTGAGTGGAGAGTTTAATAATGATATTCATTATTAAATTTTTAAACTTTTCCATCGTCAAATTTTTCTCTGATTTTTAAGTGTAGCACTTTTTCTGAAAGGAAATCTAACTGGGTACTTTAAGAATGTCATTTTTTAATATTCTCGGTAGTTTTCATAATAAATGGGAAAACCCGTAAAAGAAGGTAGGAAAAAAGGGAAAATGTATGAAATGTATTATTTTTGAATTGTAAATTTTACGGCCTTTCAAAACATGTATAACCAAACTCCACTCAGAGTCCTTTGTCATTAGCCAACCATGAAATTGTTAAGAGGCTGCACCTTTACACCACATTTTTTTTTTTTGATATCAAAAATAATGCTCAACTTGTATATTTCAATCATGGTTCTAATTGTCTTGGTCTTACCGACCATAGTTGGGTGCACGGACTAAGATATATTAAGGTATATTTTAATCTGTGGTCGGGTATTCCTAATGTTACTGACCATAGTCGGGCTTATATTATGATAACAACCATGGTCGGGCGTACAGAAACAGCGTTTATTTTATGAAATTGGATTATATAAATAAATTCACAAATGAAAACTGAACTTTAATTACAAAAATCAACATGAATATTTGTATAAAAATTATTACTTGTTGATTCCGACTGGGTAAATACACTTTCAGTCTGGTCTGAATCATTTATATTTGAAAATAAATCAGATTTTAAATCATAATTATAAATAATTCTTGACTTTTTGCTACCCCAAGTGATCTCATTATCATCTAAATCATCTATAATAGTAAATTTAAAATAATTATATTATGCATAAACTAAATAGTTTCAATATTAAATTGAATCTTTGCAAATTAAAATTGTTCTCAGATAGTACAATGCACATACCATTAATAAACTTAATATCAGCTTCAGCTTGTCTTTTTAAAGTTGTTTGGGGAAGCATATTTTAATTCAAATAAACTACTTGAGTTTACTTTAGGATCACAAAAATAATCCACAAAATCACTATAAAATAAAATATTACATACAAATATTTAGATAAATTAACAATTAAAAAAATAATGAAGTACTGGTTAAAAAATAATAACAATAAACAGCAGACTTAAATATGTGTAAAGTATAACAGATGGATAAATAATTTTTAGTTGGTTTTTTACTACCTATACAAAACCTGCTATTATTTTTATGAACCATTAAATTTAAGTACATATTTATCAATAAAATAATAATGAAATTTGAAAAAAGAAAATCTATAATAAACTATACAGATAATTAAACAATCAATTAGATATAGGACCTAAGAATGAAAATTAAAGTGTTATCAGTAGGCGTTCAAGTTTTTGTAAATTTCTATCACTATAAATCAAATAAATATTTATTTAAAAAGGTAACCTAGGTATACAGTATATTTTTTCTGTCTACTTAGAAATAAATTTCTTATTGTGTAATTTGATACACCTGTATTTAAACAAAACTAAGCTGTACTAAAAAACTAGACTCACACTAATACTTGCATATATGTATATTATATATTTATACATGTCGATACATTATTTCAAATATTTTTGGACACAATTTACCTTTTTATACTCATAAATACTATTATATAATAGTTAATTGACCAATAATATTAAAATACCTACTTTGTACATAATTATATTAAAAATTAAAAATAGGTAAACACTTACTGGGAGTAGACTACCTATAATTCAAACCGTAACAAAAATCATTCCGAGAGGTGATTAAGACCAATCATCCAACACTAGCTCATCTTTGGAATAACGCTTCAACGCAATGCAACTTGATGGCATCCTTTGGTGTTGTCCTTTAGATGACTACATCTTGACAGGTATAATGCCGGTAATAAGGTAAAATTATATAAAAGGTAAACTAAACTGAAAACTAAAGTTAAACAATTTTATTTTACCTCTGTAAATAGTGAGCGAGTGACACAGTAAACAGCGGACTACCAAACAAATTACAAAAAAAAATTTATCGGGAATAGGTAAACTGAGTAAAGTGAATAACCAACCAAACACGTTACGTTACTTCATAATATGCAGTCTGTAGTCTATACCCCCTCCTACTTATGTATAATATTATTATGAAAGGTTAAAATCTTATTTTCATCTCCATGAAAATTCTATTATCACAATTAATTATTACTTACCAAGGTTTATAGCAAGGTGTATTTATCATACACCTTGGTTTATAGATAATATATGTAAACCTTAATTACTTACTACATATTCTATTATAATATGTCTATGACTTACCAGTTACCACTAGTTTATTATCCTTTTACCGGATTGGCATGGCGGAATGGCGGATGCCGAATATTCAGAATAAGTATTAGGTACTGTGTATAATTTTGACATAAATAATTTCGAAACGTAAACGAACGAATTTATGGAATTCATTTTTCCTGCGCCCAGTGAAAGCGTAGGATGTAAGCTTACAGATTACAGATTTAATTGGGGTTTTTCAAAGGCCATTATATATTAAACGTGCATCTGAAGCAATGATGTAAAACGTGAAGTTATAATCGAAGATTCGACATGATATAGGAATCATAACTTCATAACTGTTTTGGAGTTCGATATCCATGGTCTGTTCAAAAAGTACCAAGACAAATATTATTACGGCTAATCTATACATGATAACGTTTTAAATTATAATTAGATGTATTCCTAACGTATTAGAGAATATTTTGAACAAAACCCGAAGTCGCTATCTTATCTCAGTTTAATATTATACGTGGTTAAATCTATTCAGTTTGTTTCATTCTCCGTTTTCGTCATGTCCGAAATTAACGAACAACGTGTGTGCATCAAATTTTGTTTGAAACTTGGTAAAAATGCAACTGAAACGTACACAATGATTAAAACTGCTTTTGGAGACGATTCTTTAAGTTGCTCCGTTACTTTCGAGTGGTTTAAACGTTTCAAGGATGGTCAACAGTCAATTAACGATCCACGTTCTGGAAGACCGTCGACATCTAGAAACGATTATGTTGTGGCGAACATTTACAAAAAAGTGCGAAATGACCGCAGATTAACTGTTCGCGAGTTAGCAAATGAAGCAGGAATTTCAATTGGATCTTGTCATAAAATTTTAACGGAAAATTTACAGATGAGAAGGGTAGCTGCTAAATTCGTTCCGCGGTTGTTGACATCGGAACAAAAGGAAAACCGTTTGACGATTTGTCAAGACCTTAAAACTCGATCTGTTGATATAAATTTCATAAAAAACATCATCACAGGGGACGAGACATGGGTTTATGGGTACGATCCGGAAACAAAGTTACAGTCATCTCAGTGGAAAACAAAATTTTCCCCTCAACCAAAAAAAGCTCGCTAAGTGAGATCAAATGTCAAGACAATGCTGATTGTTTTTTTTGATATTGAAGGTATTGTTCATTATGAATTTGTACCCCATGGATAAACAGTTAATCAGGTATTCTATAAAGATGTATTAATACGTTTGCGAAAAAAAATTCGCAAAAAGCGCCCAGAAAAATGGCGAAGTGGAACCTGGTTTCTTCATCACGACAATGCCAGTACATTCAGCGTTGTCAATTCGTGAATTTTATGGCTGAAAAAAAAATACTTGTAGTCCCACACCCTCCCTATTCACCTGATCTAGCCCCGTGCGATTTTTTTCCTTTCCCGAGAATAAAATCTGCGCTTAAAGGACAACGATTTCAAGACTTAGAGGAAATTAAAGCAAATATGGCAACAGAATTCAAAGCTATAACTTTAAAACAATTTCAAAGGACTTTCGAAAACTGGCAAGATCGCTGGAACCACTGCATATTGTCTGGAGGAGAGTATTTTGAAGGCGATATCTTTAAATAATATGTAACTTCATTTTTGTAATTATCAAAAAGAAAATCCTGGTACTTTTTGAACAGACCTTGTACATAAAATGGTGTTTTTTTTATATTTTGTTATGAGAATTGGAAACAAATATATTTGAATATTTTTCTTTTTCAGCGTTCAAGTCCATTGAAGGTTATATGTAAAGTCAAGTTGGGATTATTTATATTTGAATAACTCATAATATGTTAATAAAAGCAGATAAAGTTTGTTTGATATAAATTTTAAACAAGTAAGTCATCAAATATTATAGTTGGGAACAGGGGCATATTAATGGAAGGAGGCTGTGGGCTGCAGCCACCTTCGAAATTTTAAGAAAATATAAAAATTATTTCCATGGACTATGAAAGGCACTATAATAGTCTTGAATTACTTTATAATGACTTTAAATCTTACCTTACGGACATTTTGTACCTAGTAATTAGTTTACATTGTGATAAATGTTATTTTATGATACCTACATTAAAAATAATTTTAGATTCTGAGCAAAGCGAGGAATATATTAGTTTTACAATGATGTTAATTTTTTTTTTCTGTGGACAACTTTTCTACCAATAATTTTGCTCAGATTTATAATAATAGCACTTTTTATTAAAGGACATATGACTGGGAGGTACTTTGGTGAGGGTATTTTTGATTTTCCCAAAAATGTGAAAAACCGAGAAAATCGGCACAATATTAAATACATTTTATTAAAGAAAATACCTGTATAATGCATATTTAATTATTTTACCATGATGTAAAGAATATATATTGTATTGTTGACAAAGTATTACTATCAATTGAACTCCGCTTACAATCGTTTTTTCGTTATCAACGTTTTATTGTTGCTTACAACGAAAGAGCGCTTAAAAAAACTCAAAATAAATAAGCCGAAAAAAATTTGGGCCGAACTGTATTTTAATTTTATCTAAAAATATTACAACCGACTGTAATAAAGAGTTAAGGTTAGATCTTCCAAAAAACGATAACGCGTGATAAGAGATAAATAAAAAGAAATAAATTCAGTAAATACATTATTTTAAAACCTTAAAACAAGTTAACCAGATGCCCCAAGTAACCATCTTCTATGTTTAATCAATGAAGTTAGTTGAAAAATATATTGGTTTAGTTGTGATATTAAATTCAATTTGTGCAATTGTTTATCTACACTTGAATAATTTAAATACTTACACAAATAGTTGAAACTAAAAATAATAGGTAATAATTTAAAACTTAATTAAATATATATACTTTTATCATAGAAAATATTCAAAATGTTGTCGTTTTATTTTTTGTTTGTTCAAGATTGTGTCGGAATTTTAAATTTTTTTTCAAAATATTAACAACAAACTTCAAAGTTTTTTAATTCAACATATTTTTCTAATTAAAAACAGTGATAAAAAGTGTACAAGTTGATAGTTAGTAGATTCGAGAAATTCAGCTGAAATATATTAGGTTGTTTCATTTTCGGCTGAAATATTTTCTGCTAATATACAATTCGCCTATTTTATAGCCCCTCCAAATTAACCCCAGACTTGCATATGCTAATCCCTGGAATAATTCATCTCATTTTATACCCAATTCTTAAAAGGTGTAAATCTTCAAAATTAATTTTAAAAAATCTATCGCATTACATATGTTTCCTCAACCATCTGGAAGAAATGAATATTTGTATCTATAAGAAAAAATTATTATTGTTAGAACATCTTAAAATAAATAAAATCTTTAATACTAACTTTGTTTTTTACAAGTTTATACGGACTTTAAAATAGCAAACACATGAGACGACTGAGACTAAAAAACACAAATTTAACACAATTTAAAACCTTAACATTAAATGCCCAGTTAATTATATCTTATGCGCTAACAATATTAAACTGATTACAATGTGTAGCATACACAATATCTAATTTTTTTTCAATACATTTTTGGCATTTTATTAATTAAATATATAAAATATATAAATAATATACAGAAAATAGTATTCAAGAATAATCAGAATATCAATTCAACACAATAATTATATGATGAATATAATTATTATTAAATTAATATTGATATAGATGATCTATAACAGTAGGTATATTAATAATTAAGTATACTTAATCAATGTTACAATATTATATTATAACCATGCTAAAAATATTAGATTTTGAAATTTACGCAAAGCAAATCGTATATTATTAATAAGTGACACTAGTATGACATTTTTTTTTTTTTGATTTTTGACAAGATTTGGTTGAAGTAAAGGTAATACTGAATATAAAAAAATTAATTATTTAAAAAAAAAACCTTGTCTTATAAATATATACTTTTAATAAAATATTACAAATTAAAACAATTTTTTTCATGACTATGAAAAATGAAAAAAAAAAACAAATACTTTAACAAGAAAAGAAATGGAGTAAAATGATAAATTGCAACATCTCCGTAACAAATAAAAATGCATATACAATATTATAACTAAAATTAAAATCACAAATAAAAAGTATTTTCACAACACAAAAAATGTAATTTACTATTACATTGAAAAATTAAAAACAAAAACTATATCTATCTCACTTTAGAAATTATAAATTTATGACATCAAATTTTTTTTTTTATAGAAGAAAATATAAACCAAATAGGTAGTATTTTATACTTCAATTAGGAAAAATATTTATTTTTATTTTTGACATTGGTAGTAACCACGGACATCTGTATATTATTAAATATGAATACTTATATAAATTTAGTTTGAAAATAACCCTGAAAAATATAAACGTGTTATTTATGTATTTATATTTTTTTAAATGCATAATCAGGTTCTGATTGCATAATACAATCCTACCAGTATTGCATATTAAGAATTCAAAATATTTATGCAAAATAAAAACATTAGTGATAAAATTTAAGAAATACAACATTATTAACTATATATAACTATCAATATCCAATAATGTATATTTTTAACAAAACTAAATTATTTCATATTTATTAAACTTATACCTTTACTCTATTTATTAGGTTCATTTTGTTTTAAGTTGTAAAATAAACATAATATACAAATTGTTTTATATATATATATATATATATAAATAAAAATATAAGTACTCTAGATTATAATATAGGTAAGTAGCAAAAATCATTAAACAATTTTAATGTTTGATGAAATTCAACAAATTCTATGTATATAAATTTATTTTGTAAAATTAATAATCATTTTAATTTAGTACTACAAAAATATATTATTGTCTTATATTCATAAGTATGTAATGATATATAAACTAAAAACAATCAATACAATTAATTTAATTTAAACTAAAATTTTAAAATATTATTAATTTATCACTAATTTAATAGTTTAAAAAAAAACATATATATATATGTGTGTGTGTTATACACATTTAAAATTATTAAAATAATTATTTGTGAATAATATAATTTTCCATTTTAACAATAAGTTGACCCATAGAAAATATTTTGTTTGTTTAAAGTTATTTAGTTAGATTTTTTTTTATTTTAGATTATAATTATTTGATTACCTTTAAAACCTTTGTTATATATTAATTAATTAAGATCTAAATTTTGTGAAAAGGAAACTACTTATCATATAAATACATCCTATATACATATATTAAAATACAATGTATTTCATTCTTTAGTAGCCTTCCAAAAAAATGTAATTTAATATAAATTAGTACTATTTCTAAGCCTATCAAATTTACTGTACTATAGTTTGATACTTTATTTCAAAATCTAAATCAGTTAAATGAAAGAAAAAATAATCAAAAGTAAACAAAAGATGACTAGAAAAAAATAGTTATTTTTTTGTGATAAATAAAAAAATCAAAAAATATTGAAACCATTGCATAATTAATACCTAATGAATTCATAAATAATACATTACTTTATCTAATTTTAAAACTCAAAAGATTAGGTATATTTCATTATTATTTTATGAAACATATTTTCTATATTTATCTTCTTTTTTTTTGTGTTTTATTGCCCATTAAAATTTTACCTAATGTTTATATAAAATAAAGGTATAATCTGCTAAAAGATAAAATTATGCAAATGGTTATTAAAGTTGACTTAAAATTTTAATACTAAATACATAAAATAATATTAAAAACTATTAACATTGATTATAAATAGGATAGTAAATAATCAATCTTATTAACTTAGAGTGAAAAAAATTTTAAGAAAGCTTGTGGCGGTATAGGTACATATAAAGAATTTTTATCCACATCTTCAAGTTTTTCCATAAAATTTGGGTCAGTGTCTGCAATACAAGGATGTCCAATACTATGCCAAAACAAACATCTACAATTTCGGCACAGTTGTATCATTTCAGCATACTCTTCCCGTAATCCATAACACCTAAAAATTAATTTAACAGTACATGAAACAAATCATTAAAATATTATTATCTATTTATTACTTACTTTCTTAACTTATGGTAAATTAACTGCCAGTCTTCACTAGTACTGGGTGAGCTTTCAACCATAGACTGTATTTGACGTGGACTAAAATGAAATTGACATAATTCGCGCCAAATACGTAATTCATCAACTAAACGTGCCATTACGCCCCACGCATGTGCAGAGCGCTCCAGATCTCGATGATCAGCTAATCGTAATAATACTTCACGTACACATTCTTCTGGTAGTTGTTCAAATTGAGGTTCTTCATTATCACCAGGCTTAAAATACAAAATATATAATTTTATTATTATTAATTTGTTCATCATTCAAATTAATATTAAATACTTGATGGATTTCTATGCGATCAGCTATTTCATGAATACGATTTATAGTGTTCAAATGTTGTTCCCATAAAATAGTTGATCCTAATGGTCTACCCCAGCAAGCACATTCAACCACCTCACGAAGTTGTCCTAAAAGATGGTCTAACATATGTTTGTTTTGTTGACTTTGAGAAACTAAAAATGTTTGAATAATTTATACAATTGATTAATATGAAAATAATAATTATTAATCTATACTAACCTTGGCGAGCAACTTCTTCAATTATATTAAATAGAACTCTTTGGGCACAACCAGATAATGTATTTAGCTTATGAGATATAAGAAGATCAAGAAGTTTACATATATAATGAAAACGACGAGCATCATGTACAGCAGAACGGAAATCCAATCGTTTGAGGGCCTCACTTAAACCATTAAACCCTGCAATCTAAAATGTCCAACCATTTTAAAAATGTATTGTTTTAAGATTACTAATAGGTACTAAAATAAAATTAAAGATATATTTTAAGACTTTTAAAAAATAACTGTAGTTATTAATATTATTTATTTATTTATTTATTAAATAAATTATATGTTTATTATTTTTTTCTAATTAAATATTTATCAAATATTATTTACAAAATACAAACTATATGTATGTTAATATTTATAATTAGTTACTATTATATATAATTCATTTTTACCTCCTTTGTACATTTGATTGTAATATGACAATGAGGTTGGATAACACCGTCATCTAAAATAAAATTATTTTACATTAATAAGAAATTCCAAAATGAAAATTAATCTCATGGCATGGATCATAATATAAGAAATTAAATAACTTATACTATTAATTTAGTATATACTACTTTCAGTATATTCTAAAATCAATACTAATACCGAATAAACCTATCTATTCTAAATTAAATGTATGTTTTAAGTTGTAATGTATTTTGAACAATTGTTTTATTTTTATTTTTACAAAAGGTTCGTATTTTTATTTTTATTTTATTTTATTTTAATTAAAAATAATTAAGTCTTGTTTAATAATTAATACCTATTAGTTAATTTTTCAAATTCTTGATCAATTACGTATAATAAATTACAATAATTAATCTTCAGAGAGAATCAATGATTTCAATTTCACAATTATGCATTTCAAAAACAAGCCATACACCCATATTTATTAAATTTATTATCTCTGTAAAATAATTATACAATTTCTATAATAATCTATCTTTTGCATGCTTATTATGATTAGGAAACAGTTATTATCAGGGCTCGGGTTTTATAGCATTTACTAATTATTATAGGATACAGATGAAAACAGGAGAGAAAACTTTAAAGTTGTTTTAAGCACTAAGACTTCAAATATGTAATTTTATATTGCTATTTTTTGCAAATTTGAAGTATCAAAAATTTGTTGTGCTATTTTTTAACATTCATAAATAGTAGAAAAAAATTTGTCATTTATGTGAATATATAAGAAAAATACCAACATTTTCGCTTCATGTTATAATTTAGTTTTAAGTAATTCGGTGTATGACCCATCAAACTGTATACATGTATGACTTTTTATTGGTTGTATTTATGTTTTTAAAAAAATAAATAAATTTTTTTTTCCTATTTTTCATTTTTTTTTAGACATATAGAGCATATTTCTGTTTTCTTCAGTGCTAAAAAACCTGATCTCTGGTTATTATTTTAATAAAATAACAACTATCTCTAACATTTTATTAGACTTTGCACTGTACTATAGTATATTTAATTAATAGATACTACCTATTTAAATTAATTTTTTTATGAAAGGCAAAACAAAAAATATTCTAAGAATACAGCGATTAGGCCATTAACCTAATGAGTCACTTTGCTTTGTGGTTTACAACCACAAATGGTTAAGAAGGTCAAATAGCACGCATCAATTTTTATTTTTCAACATTACACTTGAAAATATTTGGATATTGAAAAATATGTTTCAATTCAAATGTTAACAACATTAAATATCAAAAGTATATATATTAAAAAATTACAAACACTTACATTGACTTTCACTAGTATATTTTGTTCTGGGACGTTTGTAATGATTAATAGAGCCTTTGTTTTCTTTTTCCTCGGTACTTTTAATATCGTTCCTATAAAAAAAATAATGTAAACATAATACACACACACCTACATCATTAAACATAATTGTGTAATGACAAATATATGTGCATTTTTATATATGATATTCTAATCACGGTATAGTTCCGATTAAATAAAACTCCTTATTCCACAACAAGAGATATATACTTTCAGATTTGAAATTACATTTTCATAATTAAATATTAGCCTATAATCAATGACCTTGAATTAAATAACCAAAAATTAGTTTGACAATTGGTATTACTATACAGAAGATAACAAAACAAAAAATACTTTAAGAAACTTTAAAATTAGTAACGGTTTGAAGTTATCTTATTTAGAATAGATACTTGAATTTTTAAGTGTAAAATCTCTGTTTTTGACAAAAAGATTAAATTGCAAAGAAAATTTATGGTATGTAGTATGCATGGTATTAATTATTTACTTCACTTATTTATATACCTGCCTACCTAATAATATAATATGTATTAGGTATACAAGTGTTTTAAATATTTTGATAAATTCAAAACGGTATTTACATTAATTTAAAATGATTTGAACTCAATCAATTATTGATCTATGATGATTCATAATTAGGTATTTTAAAAATGGACTTATTCAAATCTAGTGTCAAAATAGATGTCATATTAAAATGCGGGTTAATGAATTTTCCATAGTTACTGGTGGATCCAGGAAGGATGATCATCTATAATACCTCCCTTCCGTTCCCTCCCAAATATACTTTTAATTCCAATATACTCTAAGCTTGATTTTCATTATAAGTATCTCATATCAATAGTAAAAATCGCCCTCTCCCCGTTTTCTTGTATTGGAATGGTATTTCGGTACTTTCTTTTAATCCCATCAAGAAACCTTACTTTAGTCCAACTATCTAACTTTGAAATTTACTGTAAAAGTAAAATTACATACTCAACACAAATTAATATGAATAGTCTTTTAATGGATCCTTTTATACATTTTATGTCAATTTATCCTTTTCAAAGCTTAATGTTATCATTAAAATTGATATTATTATTATTGTGGTAGTAACTTTTATAACATAATAAGTAAATAAACTTTAAAATATCTAATAATAACTTATAGTTTCATTTAGTTATTAATTATTTAACGTATCTTTTGTTCTAAATTTAAATTCAGAATAAACATTAAATACCTAAATAAATCAAAAGCTTCTTATTGTTTTGTTAAATTGTCTACAACAATAAATATTAGCTTTGTATACAAGCTGGATAGGTTTTGGAAATCTTCCAAATATTTTTATTAAGACTAAAAAATGCCATAGTTCAACTAGTGGCTTAAAGCCAATTATATTTTAAATTGAAAAATGTAACCTGTTATAAACTATACAGGAAGTTATTTTTGGATTCAAATTATTAGTTAATTTTTAGTGACATATTTGCAAAAACAACATACTATACTTTACACACATAAAAAAAGTTAATACTCTATTTTTTGTTCAAAATTTAAAATACATTTCTGTAAACAAAATGTACTACTATGTACGTAAGTACTGTTACTTAGTAACATTATTTTACAAGAAAACGTGCAATTACAATTTACAATATCCTAGTATAATAAATATAAGTAGTAGGTAGGTAATATACCTGGTAATTACCTACATATACTTATATTATGTGCATCTGATTTTGTAATACATTCTAAATATTCTAGTTTTTGCTAATGATTCTTTTACTTTTATTAAAATAAATAAATAGGTTGACTGATTATATAGGACTATTCAACACATTATTTATGTAAGAACATATGGTTTTATATAATTTCATATAAATCCACTTTTTCTCTTTTAAATGTGAGAAATTCAATTGTTATAGTACCTTTTCATATTATATAATTTGTATTAACGTATTTCAAAATGTGCCAACCTAATTAAAAAAATGTTACTCAATAGTAATTTATTATGTAAAACAAAATAAGTTTCTTATTAATCTAATTATAATTTAATGCAATGTATTACACATTTTAAAATAACTCATCCTATAGTTCTGACAGTCTGATTTATCATTGCCAAGTTGAAATCACTATAAAGATATAATAATAATTAATAAGCAACTATGAAATTTGGTTAGTATATTCAATTTACAATGTATAATCTAACAGAGATTATCCAAAATTTAACTTCTAAAATGGGACTAGAGTATGAATTTTGGCTTCACAATACAATTGCAATTTTTTTTTTATTTCTGGCTTTAAATGATGACATAAACAAACAGCAATTATTATTATTTACTATTACTTAAGTTTTTTTTTTTATCATAGCAAGTTAAGTCCTAGGAAAGAAGTAGGGAAAGTACCTAAAAAGAGTAATTTAGTAGAAATCATTGCAAACAAAAACGATTTTGAGTGGAACTCATTAAACTGGTTTAATTTAAGAAGTTTCCTCTTGTTACCAATGTAACCCAGAAATCAATATAAATCAAAAAAACAAAAAAAAATATTAAGTGGGTGAAGTATACAAAAGTATCACTTGTTAAAAATTCAGCATCTAAGGTACCTACTGCATTAAAAACTGAGCATTCAGCTACTTATGGTGTTTTTTTTTTAAAAAAGTAATGGGAAATGTAAAAAATATTAAAATTAACACTACATAAGCTGAACAATTTTTATCGTTTGAAGTATGACATGAAAATATCAAACCATTTTTACTACTTTTAGTGGGTTGTGGTTGAATATGTAACCTACAGAATCATTGTACATAACTATTGTATAGTAATATGTAATCCAATAATAATAAAATTATAAGTGATATTGAGGTAGGTCATTGAAACACAACATCAAAATGTTTTCCCGAGAAAAAACATTGTTGTTTAACTAGTAGCTTTTTATAACACTCAGAATCTAAAAGTAAATAGGTGCTGAGAGTAAGGCACTCATCTTACATAACTCACCTTGGTGAAAACTAGTAAATATCATGATACCATTAAATAAACAATTCACTTATATAAGATATCAATGGCGTATTGAAACATTTTTTTTTCTTAATGCTGGACTGTATAAAGATCTTGCTACTCATCATAGATTCAAGTATATTATCAAAAAAATATGAGTTTTATGAAATTTAAATGATTATAAAATTATAAATATAATTATGATTGACTTTATTAAATATGATTTAATGAGGTTTTAAAAGAAATTTTCACTTAAAAATTGTCTGAAATTGATACATCCAAAAATCAATATTTAGTAAATATTCTATTATTAGTAATTAATTTGCTTTAATAATAATTATGATTTTGAAATTAAAACAACAATTATCTATCCACATTATAAATAATTAATATAGTTAAATATGGAGGTAGATAATTTTAAATCTTAAAATACAAACCTAATATTTGAATACTTAAGTATCTAGCAAGAAGTAATTAAGAAAATAATAAATTATCTCTAAAAAGTATCTAACAAATGACAATACTTTAGAATTTAAATTCCCGTAGATAACCTATATCTAAAATTATAATTAAGAAAATGCCTATATATATGCTTGGGATAAAATCCTAAATAACGATTCTTTATAAATTATAAATGTATGAATACGTAATTTTATTCACAATTTATAGTATTTAGATACATCTCTACACTGAAAATAAAATTATAAATACTACTATTTGTTAATAAATTTCTTACCAGTTATCACTTGTTTCAGACTCTTCTTTATTACAGTGTTTAGTAACAGAATATCTGAAAATAGTTTACAAGAAATATAAAAATTAAAAATTGTTTCATTTAAAGTTCCTATTTAAAATGTCTATTTATTGGTAATTGTACAGATAAAAAGAGTTAATTTAGTGTTATGAAACTTAGGGCTGTCAGAAGGTATCATATATTTTATACGAAAACATGACTTACAAAACAAACTCAAATTCCGTAGTTAAATATGGATTTTTTTATTTGAAAATTTGAATAAAGAAAACTGTATAAATTGTATTGAACTCAAATTTTCGAAATTCAAATTTTTTGAAACTTTGTTATGCATTTGGAAATTTTAAATTTTTGTTATATTTAACCTTTTTTCTGATAAATAAAAAATTAGTTTTCAATATGTCCAATAAAAAATTTTGCTCATTTGATAGAAAAAAAAAAATAATAAAATTGAAAATGGAGCATTTTACTAGGCGTAAGTTTTTCCCACAGTCATTTACATGAGTAAAAACAACCATACCCAATCCTACTAAATATGTATCGGTTAGTTGATAAGTGGAAAAGTGTAAAAACGAAAACTAAAACTTGTTTTTACAAAAACTAAGTCATTTTATAAATATATTTTGAAACAAAATTTTGTTGTTACAAATACCTATATTAATAATAAATTATCTTGTAAATCATTATGTTCTACAATTTGTTGAAGTCATGGATAATTTAAATCATTTTTGTTGCCACAGTTAAATAATAGTATCAATCAAAACACCAATTTCTTCTAAGGTTTTACTATGAAAAATTATTTTTTTAATCATTTTTGTAAACTTCAGAAAATTTTAGAAACTTAATGATTCATCATTATTAAATATTTTTAATACCAACATTTTATTTCAAAATATAAATTGTTATTTAAAAAAATATATACATGTAAAATGGGTAGTGGAATTCTAGTGCAAGGCTCTAATAATTATAACAAGAAAAAAAGGATGCCTGGACTTAAATTTAAATGTTAATAATTCAATAAATGTATATTGTCTATACATTATTTTACCTGGTTAATAAATTATTTTGTTGTCCAAGTAAGAAATTGCAACATTCCAGAATTTTCTTTTTTTCCCATCCTTCTTCTGTTTTAACCCATACTTCCCCTGGAGAACGCCAATCTTTCGATATAAATGGCATTACAATTTTTTTAAATATACAATTATACTTTTAAACGTGTTTAAATGAGTTTTATACTATTTGAAATTAAAATGATCAGGAGAAAACTGCGAATAAACTAAACCATACGGAATGAGAACAAAGACTAAGGAATAAAGAGTGACAACAAAACAAGAGAACTGACAACGGCGCAGTATCAAAATAATAACAAAATATTGTTTTGCACATGCGCAATACACATAATAACAATAATATAAACACGAGACACCCAATGATTCCTAAATTATCCATAACTAAAATTTTGAATAAGTAAGCACATAATTTATTTACTTTAAAATATTATATTATAATATTATAATCTCGTGTATAATACATACAAATTTTTCATTAGGATTCAATTAACATATTGTTATTCTAACGTATTAAATCTAAATAGCCATAATGAAGCATAATAATAAATAATATTTTAACATAAAATCATAAAAGTTTTTAACTTTTTTACATTTTAAATTTGTAATCAAAACTGTTAGATTGAACAGAAATACTTTAAAATTTAACACGAAATTCATAATAAGTCATAATGGTCATTTAAAGGTACTATTTTTAAATAGTATTTTATGACAGATAACACGTAAGTCGTATAACTGTCGTGGTATTTTTGTTTAGTGTTGTTTGACATTATTGACGCCGACCGACCTTCCGAATCGTCACCTTTTCAGTGTATGGGTTTTTGAAAAGTTTGAACAAAATCCACTGTTTTCGATCAAAATTTTGTTCAGAGGTGAGACTCATTTTTGGCCTTAACCACAGTTACGGCTAACATTTAAAAAAGAACTAGGGACGAGCGCGGTCACTGTTATAAATGGGTAGTAGGGAAGGTGAGATTTAACCAACTATTTATGGGTGCCAAGGAGATGGACCTGTAGCAAATGCTATTCGTATCGGAAATCGACATTTTTGAATTTTCGTGCAATAAAACTCGTACCATTCAATAAACTGGACATTACATTTAAATTTCTTAAGAGTAGATATCTACTTAATACCTATAACGATAGTACCTTATTTTTTTGTCAAACTGTGCGGAGGCAAACCACTTAAATGTTAACTCGCGTGTGTAAACGGTGAGCTAAGCCCTGAGCGACTCGGTTTGAATTTTTTCGCTCGCAAAAACCGCGAGCCAACGATTATCGTGCTTAAAGGTTTTTATTAGTAGGTATTTGAGCCAAAATCGTTCATGTTCGAACGGCTTTTTCACGTTTCTGAGCTGACTATAGAGCTGCCTACTGTATTGAATTATTATTTTATTTCTTAAAAACAAACTTTGTCGAGCATATAGCACGTGATTACTGAATTATAGAGATGTATACCTAATGAATTTAAATAAATGACGATGAAAGTATGAAATCAATTAATAGGTCATTACTTATTACCTAGGTATATTATTTTATTGTTATTACATTAAATTAATTAAATAATAAGAAGGTAATAGGTACATTCATTTATAGGTGTTCACTGTACACTAATATTATAATTTATAGTAATTTATTTGATATTTTGATCGAATAATTATTATGGGTAGACATAGGTAGGTATTGTTAATAAATATTTAATATGCCAATTATATTATGAAAATAAACATATTTTTATATAGTTTTATTTTAAAATAATGATTATTTATCATTTGTCCACCTTTTTACTACCTACCTTGGGTAAGTCAAAATTTGACCATCACTCTTAAAAACTGAAATGACTCTACTGACTTGCAGTTTAATTTGGATTTTACGGATATTCTATTTTTATTTATCACTCTTTCATTTCAAAAAAATGCATAGCCCACTACACACCCAGTGAGACTGCAATGCAACCCATTATTGGGACATGCAACTTATTTATTGTACTTATATATTATGATAGCTACAAATTAAAATGTACAATATTACAATATTATTATAATTCATAAATAATATCATGATAAATAAAATTTGTGCAATCATGAATTATGCTATCATAAAAATACGAAAACTAATACATAGTAAGATAGTGTTTACTGTACACTTGTATATTGTTTGATTGCTGTAAAACCGTCACAATTTTTTTCAATTTTTGTCATTTAATTTTCTCCAATGGTAAATTTATTATTTATTCAAACAAATTGTTTACCCTACATCATAAATTATTAAAAAATTAGAAAAAACTTGGAAGGATTTTGTGGAGGCTATTGAAATGTTTAGGAGGCTGAGTCCTCAAAGCCCAGAGTGGAGTTCGGTTAATAGTGTTGCTTTAAACTTTGATATTAAAATTCTTATAAATGAAAAAATTCTACATTACAATTTTTTTTATTTTTATCAAAAAGTATGACTTATAATGAACCTCCTGTTAAATTTCCTAGTATTTCTATTTGTTTTAACAATTGTATAAGAAAAGTACCTACAAAAAAAAAATACACAAAAAAACTTCATAATATTAAAATGTGTAACATAGTTTGAAAATGGTTACAACTTTTTGAAAATTTTACCATATCTAGAAAAAGCAACCTCTTCAAGTCTCTACACATATTCTTAACTGAATTAAAACAAAACAAAAAGTTGAAAATATAATAAATTTCCTAAGTATAATCATAACTTATTATTATATTATTAGTTGATTTTAGAAGAAAAAAATAATGTAATAGAAGTATTAAAAGACCAAATGTTATTTATATAAGATTTATTAACTGACAATGAAGATTTAAGATTTATATAATATATCTAACAATTAATAATTTAGTGTACAATTTGATAACTAATATAATTTTGTATATGGTTTTTATTTTCTTATCTTTTAAATTTAAACACAGAATTGGCAATTTTTTAATATTTCAATTTATTGCAAATAAGTAATAATGTATGTTTAGTTACGTATTATCTCACTTAAAAAAATTATAAAACTATTTCAGTAAAAAAACATGTTGACCCATAAATCTTGTAGTTCTAATTTGTTTGTTTTATAATGGATTACACCTTGAAGCATGCATCTGTAATAATAATTATTAAACAATTTTATATTAAATATTGATTAAAAGTTTTCTTTTCTCTTTGGACCACCCAAGCTAGTTCTAATACATTTAATGTATTTTTTTAGCTTAACACATTTACATTATTAAACAAATTATACATAAACATAATTGTATTTGTATATATTATTATTAATTGTATAATTGTAAATCCCTTATTTTTATTTTTGTCAATAATCATGTTGACTATATGCAATTTAAATTAAAAGTTCTCACAAACAAATAAGATATAAAATAATGGCTCAAAGAAGTACTCCATACCTGAGTACTTAGTAATATACCTATCGGCTATCACCATAAATAACCAACCATCTATTAGAAACAATTAGTTTAATGAAACATTTCACCTTGATTAAAGAATATTCTGTTGAAGTCTGGTTCTTGGGTTCAAAAAAAAAAAATGTCGAAATATCGAAAAACTACCACCAAATTGTCTCTTTTCTTTCCTTAACTGATTTATGTTATGCAGTCAGAATACCCATTTTTCAATTTTCCGTGATAATATATAAGATTTCCTTTCACATTGTATAAAATAATGTAGAATATTAAATTAAAATAAAGATGCATAATATTTTATGTAATAAGCTATGTATAATTGGTCCCTTCGCTACAAACTATTACATAAAATTGTAAATAAAAACAGCGATTGTACAGCTGTAGAATCACACAGTATCACGAAAAGCGGTAAAAAAATTCAAAAATCGAAATTTTAATTATTTACTGACATTTAAGGTGGCTATACAAATTAATAACCTATCTAATGTTTTCGATATTTTGACACCGCTGTATTGATAATGAAAGCATATTGCAGCAGCCATTAGACGTGTGTAAAAATTTCCATGAAAGGAAATCTCGCATATAATGGAAAATGGAAAATGAGTACTCTGATTGCATAACATGAATCGAGTAAGGAAGGGTAAGAGAAAATATGATACTGGTTTTTCGATACTTTGACTTTTTTTTTGAACCCAAAAGCCAAACTTCTACTGTATGTATTAATTTAAATAAATACCTCAATATCTAATGTAGGAAATGTCCCAAAACATATAGGACACTGTGAATTCAATTCATTTTCATTTATTTGGGAAGTAAGAGACACTACAGTATCCAAATTTTGTGTAATTGGTTTTCTTTTATGCTCCTATAAAACAAATTCAAAAAATAATAATTAGGCATTTATAGTAAAATACATTATAAAAAAAATTAAATAAAAAATTGTATGATTAGGAAATATTAATATTTGATTTTTCTGTGTATGGTAAATTATATTTGCAAAATAACAGTACAATTAAGGGACAGTGTAGTGAGCCCAGGGCTTGATGCGACTGTGCTCATACAATTTATTTAATGACGGACCTTTGCCGACATTTGTTGGTGAAAGGAGATGGATGTAGATAATAAACACGGTTAGAAGTTAATACAATTAAAACTTTATTTGGTACAACTCATATAATTAAAAAAAAAAAATGGACCAGAGGTTCGTCCGTAAGTGCATGAACATGGACCAACTTAACGTGAGGTAGTGGTGATGATCCAATTTCTGTAACTGCTTTCCCTTTAGGTGTACATCAGGAGCCATATATATACGGAACCCAAACCGTCGCTATGTGCTTCCTGAAGGTTAGTAGTAAATAAGGAAAACAATAAAGAAAAAGAAGATGGTTAGTGCGTGTTGAGGTCCCCTGCGACTATCGGATAGTATATTATTGAGGTAGATATCGTTCCTGACGTGCTTGTAATAATATATTAAATGGGTTTACTACAACAGTGATATAAAGAAAGTGTATTTGTTGAAAAAAGATAGTATACAATCTTAAGTATATCAGATATTAGAAGTGAATATTAAAAAAAATAATAATACGTAGTAGATAACAGATATAAAGTCAATTATATTTAATAGATATTATTTATGAAAAAACACTTTTATAAGACTGAAATTGAAGAGTGTGAAGAATTCATTAAATTTATTTTATTTAATTAACTAAAATTGGTATATTATATAAAGTATTAAAGAATTACTTGATCTTGCAGGCCATGTAGCAAGTCATCTTCTAACTTATCGTTTTCGTACTGGTCATTAAAATTTATAGAAGCAGAAACATTCAGATCTGTATGTGTTAAGGATTGATTATCAACTGTAGTGTATTTGTTGCTTTCGTTTTTGTTTTGTTTGCTTTTAGGCGACAAACTACATTTATTATCATCGTTTTCTTCTAAAGAATTACAGTGAAACTCATCAGCAGATATAATTTTAGATGGATTAAGTAACTGGTCATCATCTGATTCTTCTGCATTTTCACTGATTGTAATATTATTGAAAATATCAGCTATATTGTCAACTGTATTATTCTCAAACTCACAAATGTCCGTTGCTTGTGCATTTATAGGTAATAAACTATCTTTGGTGTAAAATAAACTGGTTTGTGAGACTTCTAAATTTATTTTGCAATAACCATTAAACACAGATAGTAATAAATCATGTTCAGGAATAGATTCTTCATCAGATGAATTTACTTCCATAGACATTATGATAGTAAACAATCAATATACGTATGAAAAGAGATTGTTAGATTAACAACACATAAAATATGGAATCAATAGGTAATACTTTGCACAAGATTTAGTAATAGATAGTACAACTATTGTTTTAGGTATTTAACTTTATATGTTAATAATATATTCAATGAATCTTAAATACACAGATAATAACCAAAAACCATAGATAGGTAACCTATTCGCTAACAATATTTGATAAAAAATAGGGATTTACAATTTTGTATACAATGTTACCTATCCAGCTCCTGAAATTGTTCAACATGTCTATTTATTGCCTATCTTACTTTCGAAATTTTGTTGCTGTTTAAACAAATTATTTCTATACCAAACAATAATTTAATAAAAATATTGTCAATGTCCAATTCTGAGTCTGAGTTTTCATAAAGATTTATACAATTAATAATAAAATTATATTTTTATTTAATTCATATCGATTCTTGCGCTAACCGTGCAAGCACTGTACTGCCAGCAGTTCTGATATGCGTGATACTATACTTTACTTAATAATATGTAATCCTATCTATGAACTAAGATCCAAGTTCAATCCTTACGAGTCAACACGAAGGTGTACCTTAAATGCAGAGAATTTTTCCAACTTACTCCTTAAAATAGGAAATCGGGACTTATATGAAGACGATGATAGGAAAGTGAACGTTCCAAACAATCTTTGTGAAGTCGTTATAGGGATCTGAAAAGTTTGAATGATTAAATTTATCCAAATTTAAATAATTTCTATTTAGAAAACTTAACTTGGCTTAACGAAAGAGCTATAATTACGATAAAGAATGAAACTGCAGCAGCCATCAACGATTCCTTATTGGACTAACTTTATACTAATATAATGAATATGTGGATTCTATTGTGGAGTTAGAAGATGTAGTTCACTTTCCTATAGAGTTCCTTCACACTTTAAATCCACCAAATATTCCACTTCACAATTTATGTTTGAAAATTGAAACTCCAATAATGATTTTGAGGAATCTCATACCTCCAAAATGTCGTAACGGCACACGGCTTCAGGTTAAAATCGTACATAAAAAGTCGGACATACTTTCACACGGGTGCAGCTACTGTTGTAGATGGGAAGTTGGGAAGGTAGGATACAAACGGAAATTTAATGTATACCCGTAAGCAACGATAAACCATTTCTAACGAAAAAACGATTCTGAGTCGAGTTCAGTTAATAATTTTGATTGTCAATAATACAATATATGGTATTACATCATATTATGGTAAAATGAAACAATGTACGTTTCCATGACAACAATGATTGTTTAAAAAAGATTAAAATAATAAAAATAAATAAAAACTGTTGCTAATGTGTAATGATATGCTATTTAAGCTATTATACATTATGTAAAATAAAATATTATGTAATGTAAGAAATAAATCAAACAATTAATAACAAGAACGAAAATTAAACATATATATTCAATTCCATATTTTTTTTATTAAATAACATATATTTTAATACGATATCTACTCATCGTAAGGATATGCTATCATATATAGTTAAAATAAAATGTAAAATCAATGTTGTAAAATAATTATAATAATTTATAGCCATTAAGTATTAGATTAAGTTGCTAGTGTTAACCAGATTAAGATTACACATTTACACACGCACATACACATAGATCTCTAGTTATAAGGAGGCCGGCCACTTCTAATCACCCACAGTGTATGTATTATTCCCGTTACTTTTGGACAGATGATCACAAGCGAATGTAAAAGACTACGCAGAGATTCTTACAAAAGCACGGGAACCTAGAATAGTGTTTTATATTTAAAAACCTTATTAACAACCTATTTAACAACCTTATTTTTAATCTTTCAATCTTTTTTAACTTAAAGACCGAGTTTTCCCTCATTATTTCGAATATTAATGAAAATTTTAAAAAATTAGCTTTTTAAAGTATCACCAGAGAAAATTTCCTTTCAGAAAAGGTGCTATACTTGATAATCGAAGTATGTTTTCTGATAGAAAAAGTGTTCGCATAAAAAAAAAATAAAAAATAAACATCTTTGTAAAACCAATAAATTCTACGCCACACTCAGAATCTAAAATGTTATTAAACCAACTATCTTTACAGACTATGGTACGGGAGAAATAGTGTTTTTACCAAGAATACCTTTGATTCCATCTGACTACCACTTTCAATTCAAACGCCTCATTGATGCACATTCGGTCTTAAGCAGCGGCGTACACTGGATACGTTCCGTCACGTCACGTCTCTGTATGTCTCACGGACGGTTGGAAACATTACGTGATGGAACGGAGAGAAGGCGCTCACTAGATACATCTTGCTCGTGTTGCCCTACTAAAGAGTCGTTAGTGTGTATGTTTCGTCGTCTTTAAAAGTTAATTTTACTAAATTAAAAGTTATTTTATTATATTGGAATTTCACTATGGACTTTTCTTCCGACGAAGGACTCTTAGTAATGTGTAGTATTGCAGAGGAAGAAGAAAAAGGGAAAGAAAGATGATTATAGATTCATAATATTAATATAAAAAAAGGAGAAGCCTTTTCCGCTATATACTCATTTAAAAAAACTGCATGTCGATCGGATAAATGGTGTAGTAATGCATAAAGGACAAACAGATGTACTTTCGTTTTTTATAAAAGAAAAAAATATAATTTGTGTCATTTTTTGGTAATATAACGAAAGATTTTATTCACTTAAAAAATTACAATCAGAGATTTTAGAGGTTATAGTAAGTATTATAGATGTTTATTCCAAACACATCTTCTAATTCAGTTCTAGAACTTGTATTAAAAATATTTTTTGGCATACAGAGCGGAACAAAGCAAATTCACGTTACAATGCTTAACGGCTGGTGACTAGTAGGGTTTCCGTCGTCCGTCAATTTTGCTCTAATCAGCAACCTATCTGTAGTAACGTCTTCAACATGTTACGTGAGGTAATGTGTCGTAACCGGTGTGCCCGTGCTCATAAGAATAAATATTAATCAAAGCTTTCTGTTTGACGGAAGTCGCGTTTTAACGTGACGTGACGGAACGTAATTCAATTATATCTTTTTCCAATACCAGATGATGGAACGTCTCGTTCTATTTTTTCCAATATTACACGGGATGGATCAGCACGTTCCAAAACTACTAAATTATTTCCGTCTAAACGCTGCTGATGTTATAATGCTAAATACCAAATAATAAATAGTAAACACTTAAAAAGTAAAAACAATAACAATCTAATTTTGGGTATAAATTCAATTTATTTATTTTTGTGTTTTTGAAACTAACTTTTTCTAGAAATCTAATTTCAAGAATACCTACATTTCTTTTAGTTCTATCTTTTATAGAGATAAAATTGTTTTGGATGAGCAAAAATCCTTGATATTTCAACATGAGGTTTATTATACAATGTATTTTATGGTAAATATGTTTAGTTTTATGTAGACACGTAATAATTCTTTTTTACAGGCAATTAAAGTTTAAATGATCTATAATTAGAAAGTATAATTTCAAATTTGTATTTTCTTGGTTTTAGATTCTGAGTGGCGCGAAGAAGTTTATGGTTTTACAAAGATGTTTTTTTTCTGTGGACAACTTTTCTACAAAATCTTGCTCTGATTTATAAGTTTTCTGAAAGAAAAACAGACTGGGGAGATCATTTTTTGATTTTCCCAATGAACAGAAAAAAAAATATGGGGAAACCGGTATAATATTAAGCAAATATTAAATATATGTGTAATTATTTTACTGTAATATGACTTATATTGTTGACAAAACAACACTGAACTTTTGTTAGCAACAATTTATTGTTGTTCACAGATATACATTTAATTTCCTTTTTACTACCTTCCCAACTATAACAGCGGCCCACCCACATGTGAAGTTACCTATGTTCTATATACCCAGATATATTAAGGCTACAATCTAAATTTAGATCAATGTATTTTAGTGTCTGAGGCAATAGGAATGTTAGGTATATAAAGGTTATTACTTAAAAAAAGGTAATTCCTAGTCAGTGGTGCTGAAGTATTTTAAAAATACTCTAGCAAACATTACTATATTGGTCTTCTTTGGGTGCAATATATCAAATTACTTATAGTACTAACAAATTTTTTTACAGTTAAATTTTCTAAAAATATTACTCATATTATATTTCCCACTACTAGCACCACCCTCCACCACCAAAAAATTTAATCGGGTCACCCAATCGGTACCTCAAGGTCGGCGCCACTGCTCCCTGTAATATATGTTTTCATAACAAATTATTTTTTAACATAGTATTCTAGTATCTAGGTATTTGTTTTTAGTCTATCTATTTAAAATTAAATGTAAATCATTGAAAAATATTTTCTAAAAAATGTAAAATCCAATTAAACGTATGGATGTGTAGACATGTAATGTATTGTACTGAAATGTTTCTACAAATGTATTATATCATATTAAAAGAAGTGATACGAAAGAAAATAATTGAAAATTTAATTGAGTTATTATTTATACTTATGCATATATTTCGTTATTAACTGAAAGAATGTATAATGAATAAATTAAACAAAATCTCATTTTATTTTACATGGTAAATTTAATGATTTTTATGTATTTACATAAATATTTTTCTAGAAAATGAATGTGTTTGAGAAAATTTGAATTTATTTACAATGTATAAAGACAATTTTTAATATCATCATACCAATGATTTATGGATTATTTGATAAAGTACTGAATTCATTAACTACTTGGTGAATATCTAAAAAAACAACATATAAATTGATAATATTAATACTATTCATAAAAACTAATAACACTAAATCGCATTAATTAACATTTATACGATTAGTTTTAACATTTCATTAGTGAACACATTTAACTAACTAGTGAAGTAACAACTTTAGAAGAAGGAATGTCAATAAAATATGAAATAAATAAAAAAAAAATGTTAAAAGAGAATCAGTCTATACAAAAATATATTAATTTTTACATATGCGTAAAGCTTTCATTTTTTTCTCATATAAAATACTAGTGTAACAGTAAAACAATGATAAAATACATTTTAATTTAGTATGGTCATCATGATGAATCACTATGAATATTGAAGAGTTTAGCAACTTCATTGAGATCTCTGTAACATCTATCTGATTTAAGCACTTGGCGTGCTATAGACATCCTATTGAACAAATTCCATAACACAATACCGACAACTACATCATTTTTCAAGTAAAAAACGACACCTTTATTATAACCATTTTCAGTTAGAGCTTCACCATTGGATTTCAATTGAACTTCTAAATCTTCATTACTGGTAGGTATGTTCTGATGTGTTTCATTAGCTAATGGAGTTGTATCTTTAGGATTTCCTTTAGCAAATACACCAACTGTATTTAGAGAAGAATCAATAATTCCAACCGCTTCATAACCTACTAAAGGCCCAATATCAGACCAAAACATGGGCTGATGATGGTATGGTTTAGCTGAAAAAAAAAAAATATATTAATAATTGTTTTGATCTTAATAGAAATTATACTGTTGAAAACCACAAATATTAGAAGCCATAAGATAATACAATTTTTTGTATATTTCTTCACATTTGTATACATTATAAAATAAATAAAAAAAAATATATCTATAAAGAAAGTAAATTTAAAAATTCTTGAACTTCAACAAATATTCAATTTATATACTTAATTCAGAGCGATACCAAATCACAGTTAGTCCACTTACCAGCACCAGCCATATTTTCACCAGCTAATCTACCAGAGAAAACGGCATGATCATGATGTTCAATACGTCTCCTACCAAATTGACTATCATAAAAACAGGCACAATCACCAGCCTAAAAATAAAATTTTAATAGTAAATATTTGTTTTAATATTTATATCATGTAAAATTGAAACAATGTATATTTAGAAACTAACAATATATAAATCAGTTCTAGCTTGCAATTCAGAATTTACTAAATAACCATCAAGTTTAGAATCTATTTCTAATCCAGCATCAGTAGCCAGTTCCGTATTAGGTACAGCACCAACTGCCATAATAACATGATCAACAACAATCTGAAAAGTAATTATTAAAAAGAAAATGATTTATTTATTTAAAGTTTAATAATTGTAAAATAATAACAATAATAAACAACAAATTATAAATATTAATAATTATACAATTAATTAAAATATTTACATTTTTCCCAGTATTTAATATTAGATTGACTTGTTTGCCATTATTTTCTAAAGTACAATTTTGTACTTCTGTTTCTGTTATAACTTCAACACCTTCATTTTTAACTTTTTCAGTGGTCCACTGACTAAGGTAATTTGGTAATACTTTTCCCATATTCCCCTTTTCTTTAAATATTTGATATATTTTAACACCATTTTTTTTCCCTTTATTGGCTAATGAGGCAGCAAGTTCACTACCTAAAAATCCACCACCAATAATGGCAATGGATTTGACATTGTTCATTTCTTCCCATAAATCTTCAAAGTCTTTAATTGATCGAAATACTGAAAATTTATCCTTAATTTCTTCACGTGCATCATCATATAATTTTAAAGTTTTTGGATTTGAACCGGTTGCTATCAAACATTTGTTATAACTGATTTCTTTACCATCATTAAGTTTTACTTTTTTTTCAGATACGTTTATTGATTTAACTTTCCAACCTCGAGCTAGTGATATACCGCCATTTTTAGTAGTATTTAGTTCTTCGACTGGTGTATAAAACGGTTCAGGTTCATAAAATAGACTTCTAGCTGTACCATTCCATTGATGAAAGTTTAATGATTTTGCCATTTCAACATCATCACCATACCATAATTCTTTAGATAATGGTGGTCTCATGTAAGGAAGATAACCTTCAGCAGAAATTACTAAAACCTTAAGTTAAAATAATAAAATATTAGGTAATTATTTGAAGAATACTTATTATAATTAGATTGAAAAATATATTAACTAACTCGAGCAGTGGGATCAGCTGACTTGATGGCTCTGAATGCTGCGAAAGAAGCAGTACCTCCACCAATTAATAAATATTGTACATTATCAGGAATTGATTGAGATAATGAAGGAATTTGTACTAATTTATGAGATTTTTTTGCTAAATATAATATAATATAATTAAATATTAGTTATTTTTAAAAATAAATAATTAAATAGTATACATTTTTGAATTACCTTTTTTCGTCTCTTTTATAATATTGCTATCAGTATCTTTTTCTTTAAGTATTTCAGAATTCCAAATCTGTTTAGAAAGAAACAAACAAATGTTATTGTTATAAAATTAATTATACGGATAATGTACCAATCATTGAATACAGAGTGATTGTTTTATAATTTTATTTTAAAGAAATATTATACTACCATTTTATATCATCTATGGCACTGGCAAAGTGAAGTTTTTTTTTCTATGAAGTAGTTGCAATAAAATAATTAAAAAAAACCTTACAATAACCCAAGCCCAGAAAAATAAGGTGCTGTAGGGGCTGATAGACAATCCTGTACATCATTTTATTTCATTAACTTATCTAATGATAAAGTTCCACATATACACCTACCCACCTGTTAAAGTTAAAAAGTTAAATAAATAGCTTGAATACTTACACCATATAAAGTTCCACTCAAAACAATAGCTCCCCCAATTAGACTCCAATTCCTAAAGGATTGTTTATTTCCAGAACCATCTTGCGGATTATCTTTTATTTCAGACACAGAATCTGAAGGCTTAGAAAATTGAGATATTTCTGGTGAGTTTGGATTAGTACAAGATTCAGCCTAAAATATAATACAATAATTTATTAAATATAAATAATAAAATATAATTATTCATAAGTGGTAACTGGTAAGTATACCTTAGTCATTAAATATTTAGTTTTTAAAGGAGGTTCGTTATATTCTGTTTTTAATGATTCTTTATTAGACATATTGATTGATTCATAAATATTTTTTGTCTTTTTTGGTAAGTTGATTTTAACAGGTTTAATAACCTAAAATAGGCATTAGTTAAGCATTTTGTGTTAGTTTTGTTAGAATTTTACTACTGATATTAATTACCGAGGTATATAATAAATGTTTATATTTAAACAAATAAGTCATCTAAAATATCAGATGACTAATACATAGTATAGTAAAAATGATTAAAGAATTAATAAATTAACTAATACCATACACACACTGAAAATAAAACTATTTCATGCATTTCAAATATTAAATAATATGAAAATATTTATAAGCATAAAAATATCAATATAGTTCTATTTTTCTTTAAGTTAGGTTTATACAAATTTAAGTAAAATACAACTTATCAAAAGCTTAAAAAATTATTTCTATTATTTAAATGATTTTTATAAATTTTAATGTCAAATAATGTAAAAACAGCAATTACTACAATGCAATTTTAGATTTAATAGGGAAATTTAATACTTTTGAATACAAAAGTTGATAGTAATAAGACATCAAGAAAAATTTTGTTTGCTTATAATTAAAAATAATATTTACCTGTATCAATGGAGGAGTTTTTTCTTTATTATTTTTTTCACCGCCATTCTTTTTATCACTGTAATTTTTATTTTGTAAGGCACTTATTATTCTAGAACCTGTTAAAACCAAATAAAGGTGAACTCAACTCGAAATGTACATTTCGTCATAGACTTTATATTATACAAACCTGACGAAACTGGTGGTCTGAGAAATCTAAGTTTTGACAACATTGTATCTACCTATTATTTATAGAATTCTTGCAGGTAATTCACACTGTTTTAATCTATTGGCTACAAATTTTAAATAATAATAACATTAGTATGTAGGTACCTAATTAAACGACTAAAAAAAAAAAAAATGGCACACTATAAATATAATTTGTATAGGTATATTATTAATTAGATAAGGAGTACAAAACAAACGATTTGACAACTTCCAAACCTTCAATTGGTTTTAGCTGCTTTAAATGCTCAAATATAGTTTTGGGAAACAAAATGTGTTCGACAGCCGATTGCAAAACATGGGTACCTACAACTGATCCATATGGCATTTCTCATGGAACTATTTGATATCAGATCTCAGAGGGGAGTTTGGTCTGACGACCGTAGATAATGAGGTTTACTCAACTGTGTACAAGTTTTTTCGAATAGAATTTAATTATTCAGTAATATTAGTTGTCCATTACTTTAATACTTAATGTTAGGTAATAGGTAGGTATAATTGACAGCAAATTGGGATAATAATATTCATCTTGGGAGTTACAATATAAATATTAGAACATTTAGAACTACGCAAGGTGCCTACGTGACCAAATTGATATAAATTATAAACTTATCAACAATTATGAAATAATGTAGATACCTATTAGCTACAATATAGTCTACCACTACGGTTAAAAATGTACCAAGGTAGGTAACGATAGTTGATTTAGTTAAGGTCTCACGTGTAAAAACACCAATCGAAGAGTATACCCAAACCTAGTGTAGTTATTCTAATGAAACCGGTTATTGTTATTATAAGAATACATTAAATTATAATTTATTTTCTACTGGTCGTAACCAAAATATATGTAGGCATATTAAAAAGTTTTATTTTGGAATCGAAACGACGAAATGTTTAAATATTTACATAGGAACATAGTTGATGTGGGTTTTGTAATCGCACGTTTGAAATCTATAATATTAATATCATAGATTTCAAATTTAATTTAATTTATTGAAATAAAAAGTTTTAAGTATTGTAGTTATTGAACTTGACAAAAATCGTAGTTTTCAGCTATGGTTTTTATAGCCGTATGGTAAAGGTTGTAAAACTCCTTTTCATATCATAATTATTTTGTTATTTTATGTTATCATGGTATATTATCAATTGAATTTGGTTTAGTTTGTTATTATTTTTTTTATCGGTTTAATGTTTATTGTGAAAGAAAATAATTTTAATTTTAACCATTTTTTCTGTTTTTGTCTATTTGATTTATATTTATTGTAACTTGTAGAATTATTCTGGTTTTTATTAGATATAAGTTTGTGTAACAATATGGACGTTGATACAGATTCGTCTTCATCTTCATCTTCGGATAGTCATGATGAAGAGTTGGAAAAGTTTAAACAAGATGAATTGAAAAAAAAGATTGATGCCTTAGAAAACAAGGTGAACTTTGATTATTAGTTTACCTGATGTAGTGGTGTAATTCGATTTTTACATTTAAATATTAAATTGTTTTATTTATAATACTGAAATTTATATTTTACTGCACAAATTAATTTTCATAGTTAATGATGTGTATATTTTTAGATTATAACTAATCCTTCTGACTATGATGCACATGTGGAACTAATAGGAATACTTCGAAATGCAAATGATTTTGATTCACTGCGTATAGCTAGAAAACGGTTAAATGAGAAGTATCCTTTGAGTCCAGGTATGTTACTTCCACTGTTAATGTTTACTAATTATTATTTATTTTCTTAATATTTTTTTAGATTTATGGTTAGATTGGGTAAAAGATGAAATTGGTATTGCTACTACCGATGAAGAAAAAGCGCACGTAACTGCATTATTCGAAAAAGGAGTGAAAGATTATTTAAGTAATTTCATATTTATAATATTCTCTTACTACAAGTTTTATTTCACTACTTTTAAATATATTGAAAATTATTTAGTATACAATGAAAGGAAAATATTAATTTAGTTAAGTGTTTTTATCTAATCATTATTTATTATATTTAATAGTATAGAAAACTAATATAAGTTATAAAATAATTATTGTTGATTGTAACTGATAGTAAAATGACATTGAAACTCTTTTGAACACAATTACATTTTACTTTAATGGGTTCTATAATTTTTTAATAAGAGAAATTTGGCTGATATAATGTTTATTTTTGATATTTTCAATGGGCATGTTATTTGTCATGAATTATTTTCTTCCCAGATCTTTATGATTAATCAGTAAAATCTCCTATTCATTAGTTTTTTTAAATTCTACACCTGATGATTTTAAAATTAATACTTTATTGTGTCCAAGAAAATCCTTATTAGATTATTCACTTGATTTTATATTATTATTATTGTATGTATCTTGGTTGTTGTCTTTTTTGTATTCTAATATTCTGTAAAGGGCTACTGTTCATTTATCACTCCATAAATAAATAAAAAGGAAATAGGAAATAATGTTTTTGTCACTAAGTAAACTAATTAATAATAACTAATAAATAAATTATAATTAAATTATTAGTCTTGAGTATAAAAAAGTTTTTGTTACAATTAATATGGTTTTTATTAAGTAGTGTATGTCATTTATCTCTCACTTAGTTGCAAATGTTGGATTACTGTTTTCTCTAAACTATTAATTATGCCCTAAAAAATATCCCCATTGATTTTCAATCTAATCAGTGAAAATTGGGGGCTTACAATATTTTGATATCTTGGTTTGAAACAATTTTTTTTTTAATTTTAAAAAAGTGCTAATTTTTAATTTATTGGCTATACATACATTTTTTATTTACAGGTATTGATTTATGGTTAGAATTTCTACAATTCAGTATTGGTTGCATGTCTGATACTACTGGAACTGATAAAGTACGAGAATTAATGGAACGTGCATTACAAGCTGGTAGTCTACATGTAACTAATGGAAATTTTCTTTTTGAAGTATACATTGAATTTGAAAAGTTAATTTTAATGACCCTAAAGGTTAATAAATAACAATATTTTTGTAATTAATGTATTTAATTTGTACAAATAAAATATTGTATGGTATATTATGTTTAGCAAGATACTGATGAAAAAGCTATACAAAATGAAAAAGCTATACAAAATGAAAAAGCTATAAATGATCAAAAATGCTGTATTAATAATTTGTTCCGTCGACAACTTTCTGTGCCTTTATTTAACATGGAAAATACATATGCAGAGTATCAACAATGGTTGGCTTTAGAAAATGTGGAAAAAGATAAATCAGTTGAGAATTGTTATAATAAAGCTCTTAGTAAATTACAAAAAATTCAAGTTTTTGAAGATCGATTAGTAAGTGTCTTACTTATTAAAGAATAATTTTATTTTTGAGTGGACGGGAATAATGTACTATGTAACAATTAGTAAACTGTTCAGTGTCAAACAAAAACAAAAAATATATTATATACATTTATATGGATTATATATGTTTATACATGATGATTATGTATGATAAGAACATTCTGAGAATTTTAAAAATTTGTAAAGATTGTTTTATAACACATTATTTCACAATAAAAACAAAATTCAAAACAATGTTACATACCGCATTACCATCCACCCTTCAATTATTATACTATATTATTTATTAAATTTAACACCTTTTATTATCTCATTTTATGTTTACAATAAAAAAAATAGAACTATAATAATTTATTTTGATTTATTCAGTTATCAAAAGAATCTAAAAATCGACAAGATTTATATGAAGAATATATAAATTGGGAAAAAAATCCTAAAGAAGGTGGAAATAAGCCAAACCGAATTCTGTGCTTGTATGAACGCGCTATTGCCGATATACCTTTGTCAGAATCACTTTGGGTTGATTTTATTGACTACATTGCCAAAACAATAAAAGATGTTGATTATATCTTAGAAACATGTAAGAGATCTGTGGCTAATTGTTCTTGGTCTTTAGAACTTTGGATAACTTATTTAACACAAGCTGAAGCTTATAACCAATCGCATGAAGATATTACAGGTTAATTATAAATTTATATTTAAAAATTATAGATTTCGGTATTAACTAGTAACTACTAGGATTTATATATAATATATATGTACATATCTGATTTGATGCAACCAGATTAATTAAAAAAAAAAAAACTGTTCAATAGTTAAGGATTTAAAGTTTAGACATTTTTGAAAATCAATTTTTTTTTTTCAAATTTTAATCAACAATTTTAAAATTTTATTTTTTTCAATTTCCAATTAAATTTCTTTCAACTTTTTTTCTTAATATTGGTTCTTGTAGATATATACTTCAATAGATATACAAAATGACTAAATGAGAACTATGTTGATTGTTGGAGAAGGACTTTAAGAGATGTTTAATCCTGGGTGCTAACTTACTTATAATTAGACAAAAATTGTAGAATTTTTTAGGTACAAGTGTAAGATTGTAATTTAGTGTTAATAATTTGTAGAATTGTTTCATTGTTTAATTTTCAAAACCCCTTTAATTTTAGCTATTATGGAAAAGGCATTATGTTCGTGGTTCAGTTCACCAACAGAATATCGTTCTCTATATCTTTCATATATTTATTATTTGAGACGACGTCTTAACCATGATTTAGACGCGGAAACTAAAATAAAGCGAATTCAAGATATAAGGTCAATGTTAGAACAGGGACAAAAATTTCTTTTTGGAAGTATGTATAGTACATATTTTAATAAATAAATAATATACTATTAGTTGTTCAATAAATAAATTAAAGTACAATAAAATTAATTTTAAGGTTATGGCTGTTCTGGAGATCCAAATTGTGAGTTACTTTTATGGTGGACTGAATTTGAAGCTATAATAACTGGGGATATGGAACGTGTGCGGACACTATGGAATGAAATTTTAAATTATGGTCTTAATCAATATTCTTCATACTGGATGAAATACATAAATATTGAAATGTATGTATATATTGTGGTAAAACATTAAAATAATGTTATAGCAGAAATTGAAAATCTGTCAAGATTATATATTTTAATTAATTATTAACTCAACATATTAATATTTATTAATTTTTTTAGACAATTTGGAGATCAAAAACATGTGCGTAAAATATTTTCTCGGGCTTTAATGACAAATACAGATTCACCTGAAATAATTGGAACTGAATGGATGAAATATGAAACATTATATGGTGATTTAGACTCTTTTTCAATTTGTAAAGAAAAATATAAAATTAGGTATGTATTTGTTGCTATCTAACTTTTGAGTAATATATTTAAATTGTTAAATTTTTGGTTCTAAATTTAGTTAGGAAGTTACCATATTTTTATTGCTATAAAGTAAATATGATTTAACAGTTGTAAATGTAAAAATCTATCCTAGGATAATGGAGACGGGAACAGTCACTGTTGTAGGTAGGAAGGTAGGATATAGGCTGGAATTAAATGTATATCTGTAAGCATTGATAAACCATTGCTAACAAAAAAATGATTCTGAGAAAAGTAATGTTGATAGAGTTGCTTTGTAAACAATATATACCTATGTCATATTATGGTAAAATAATTACATATGCATTAAACATTTTTTTTTAGTAATATTTGTTTAATATTATCCCTGTTTTCCCGTTTTCCCGTTTTTTCCCATGTTTTTCCCATTTACTAAGAAAACTCCTTGGAAAATCAAAAATGACATTTTTAAAGTACCACCCCAGTCAGATTTCCTTTCAGAAAAAATCCTACACTTGTATATCGGGGTAAGATTTCTTGTAGACAAATTAAAAATTGTTTACAGATTAAAAATAAATATCATTGTAAAACCTCACTCCACTCAGAATCTAAAATATAAGCATATAATTAATTATATTTTGGTAGTTTTGCTAGTATTAAAAAAACACAGAAAATCTTATTTAATAATAGAATTTTAAAGGTTGTGTATAATTATTATTCGTGGTGTAGTGGAGTATTTAAAATGTTTAATTATTTATTTTAATAGTTTGTTAGTCTTGTGTCAATCAGCTTAAATTATTTTTTCTGTCTAGTAATTAATCATTTTTATGATCACATCATTTGGATTGAAGAAAAGGTATATCCATTTACATTGAGCCTCCATCATTGAGCATTCCTATAAGTGTTTTTTCCTGAAAGCTTCCACATTCCTAAAGGTCACTAACTTCGTTTTTTACATTTTACTAAGTATTTATTCTGGCTATCCCTGCTCCCAGCTAATTAAGTGTTTTCTGTGTCTCATATTTTAAATTTTGTCCTGGTGGTAGGCTTTCTATCACCCGTGTCCATATCGGTTTATTAGTTTGTAATAAATATTTCTTTCTTTTCACATATTCTATCTTTCTTGGTATGTAATCAAAAAATCTTCTTTGAAACTCTTGAAACTATCCCAATTTGAGGTGTTTTGCTGCAGCTGCATACTCGTACAGTGGTATCTTGAATCTTGGTTACATTTTTATCTTTTAATTTCGGTTATCGTTGTCTTGCGTATATCAGGGGTTACTGTATAACTTGGGGCAGAGGTCGCTGACCTTTTTCAACATTCAAAATTTTTAGTCTCGATTTAGACTGAGAAGATCAAAATCTATTTTATTATCTGATTACAATGTGATCAATTGATAATTAGAAAAGTAATTTTTATTATGATCAACCTATATTTCTAAAAAAATCAACTGATTAGCAACCCCTGACTTAGTGTGTGAAGTTTACATACTGCTATTAGTCTGAGGTATCCTATTATTATTCTACAGGACTTTTTGAGTGTTATATCAATATTTTTCGCAGTTTACCAAACTGGGCATGTGTATTCGGCGGCTGATTAGCTTAGTGCTATTGCTGAGACACCTTAGAATTTACAAGTTTCCATAATATATTGTTCTTGTTTCTGACTTTGGTTCGAATGTTCTAACAGTGTTTCTTTCTTAAAAGTTAGTGATTTTTCCAGCATTACACCTAGGTACTTAGGACATTTTGATTGTTCTGAATTTATACCTTCCCATCTTTCATTTTTCCCACTCTTTTCTATTTTTTCAAATGTGTCTTGTTGGGAGAAAACTGCTAGGTCATCTGCATACAGGAAATATCTTGTATATTAAGAAGAGTTGGTCTTAACATGCTAACCTTTAGTAGACCACTGTGTTGGTTTCGACATTAATTTTTTTTATCTTGTAGACTATTATAAAAACCTCTTCTATTTAGGAATATTCTAATTATTCTGATGAATTTTATGTTAAAAGTTAGTTTGTTAACCTTTTGTTTCAGTTTCCTGAGATTTATTATGCTATAAGCTGTACTCAGATCTACAAAACAGCTCTTGTAATTTTTTTTTGCCTCAAAATCATCCTCTATGTGATATGTTAAGTGTAATACCTGACTTGTATAACTCTTTCATGGTCTTTCTTTCATTGATTTTGGTGTGCCTTTTAATAGTGGTAATATAGAATACCTTATGTAAAAATTTATAGTAGCTTTTAAATTAAAAATAATAATACAATATTGAAATAAACCTAGGTAAATACAGTGTTAGAGAATCTAAATGTCTCCTGTGCCACTCAATAAATAAATAAAAAAATAAAAAGTTATTTACCCTTTTTTAGATTCTGAACATAGCAAGTAACATAATATTGGTTTTACTATAATATGTGTTTTGGTTTTGTTTCTACCAAAAAGCTTCTCCTGATCATAAATTTCAGGCATGATTTATGGAATCCAATTTTAGAATTTTAGAACTAGTTGGTGTATTAGCAAGGTCATTTTTGGATTTGTATTATAATTTTTACAGTGATTGAAAAAAAAAACCAGGAAGATTCAGTAATAATATTTTCTGTTATTTTGATTTTTTTTTTTTTTTTATTGGTATACAGTTAAAAATAATTGTAGAGATCAGAAATGTTCCCCTAATGCTTTGTAATTAAATTAAGGGGAACTGAATGCCCTAACAATTTTTTTTTTTTATTAATCGTAGAGTAGCCTTACTAATAATTCACAGGTTAGGTTATGGTTAAGTTCAATATAAAAGGTGCTTAAGTTCTCCTTCACTTTTCTGTTCAAACATTGAATAATTATATTAGTCTTTTCTAAATGTGTCATAATTTTAATTACTACTTTATAAAACATGGTGCAATTTGTAATCATTCAGTGGACTTTTGAGCTATTTATAGCTATTTAAAATTGTCAAGTTTTTTTTTAGTTTTTATTTGGTTTTATGTAGATAAATTGTTTTTGCTTCCAAAAAATACTGAACATTTTGTATTATGGGTCATTATAAAATGTTCTTATGGTACCATACAAATTTTGAGAATCCATAAATACTTTTTTTTTTATAAGTTAAAAGTTCAAATTCTGGAAATGCATATTAGTTAAATATATATATATATTTTTTTTATTAGAATAAAGCAAATACAAGAATTACAAGAGAATAAACAAAAATACGAAAATAAGGTAGAAACCAAAGATAAAGAGGCAAAGAAAAGAAAAGTAATTCAATTATTACTTGGTTTGATAATTATTTAATTGTGTAATATTAGTATTATAATTATTAATTTAATTTACTGCTTGTGATTTAATATTAGTGGGAAGAACGTGAATCATCTAATAAATTTAATGAAAAATCAAATGGAAACTTTAAAGTACCTTATGCCAAAAAAGATTTAATAGAAAAAACTGATGCTTCTCCTGTTAAAAAACTTAGAACAAGTAATTATTAGAACAAATTATTTTATTTATTGTTTTGAAGAATGTAAATTAGCATTTTATATAATTTTTATTATACTAGTTATAGTAATAATTTATCATTAATAATATAAATAATCAATATTAGTTTTATTTTAAAATTTATGGATATTTTTATCCTGGTAAACACTAAAATTTAAAAACCCAATCTAATGTCAATATTAATGTTGGCTGATAGTGTTCAAATGTATGATTATTGATAATAGTAGTTAGTTGTATGATTTTCCTGAAAATGTACTAAATTTATCATTTAATATTTTATTTTGTTTCTTATTTTATAATATAAACTTCAAATAAAAGATCTAAACAATTATGGTTAATATGAAAAAAATATATAAAAAAATGGGTAAAATATTATTCTTAACCAATAAATATTTTTCATTGTGTTTTCATTTTTTTTTTCTTACAGCTGAAATGACCCTTGATAAAGGTGGTCGTCATTTAGAAGTTGAAGGTAAAGAAAATCGTTCTATATTTGTGAGTAATCTAGATTTTGCAGTTACTGAATTGGACGTGAAAGATGCTTTATCTTCAGTTGGCCATTGTGAAGTTTTATTAGTAAGAGATTTCAAAGGCCGATCTAAAGGATTTGGTTATGTGCTCTTTGAAAAGCCTGTGAGTACAATAATTTATTAATAATAAATCAATATTATATTTAGTTCTAAATTGTTTCAATATTATTAAAATATCACTTATTACCTGGGTTTAAGAGTTATAACACTTGTAATCATCAAAAAACACTTACAAAAAAATGAATTTGTAAGTCCTTTAAAAGCTTAAAAAGATTAAGTGCTGAAATAAGCACATGATAAATATTTAAAAAGAAAAAAAAATCTATTGAAATAGATAAAAAAAACACTTTCAAATTTATTATTAGAATTTTTTTTTTTTTGTTGTTGTTTACGCTCACAGATTTTTATTACCTCATATTCAATAACCAATGTAGATATGATAATAAAATACATTTAATAAGAGTTGGATAATAGAGTTTTGATTTTAAATTATTTAAAAATCATAGTTTACATAATCACAGTTGAAAAAATGCAAAAATAAAATATCAAGTACCAACAATTTGTTTTAACTATTTAAAAAGCATTTTAAAATTGTAATGCATATATGGTATCAATTTCTATAACACTGTTACTTTAAATTGGTACATAATTTGAACTCCTTTAATATTTTATTTAAACAGTAGCCTATAATTTAAGTTTTAAATTCTTTTAAAAATGATTAACTTCACCAAAACATGATTGAGTCATGAAAAATCAATATTAAATAGGTTGATATGTTTGTTTTATGTTATCAACTTTTACTATACAGGAAATGGTTGCAGAAGCACTAAAGAAAGATCGAGAGTTAGTTAATAATCGACCAATGTTTGTTTCTAAATGTGAGCCAGACAAACAAATCAGAACTTCAGGATTACGATTCCCTACTCAGCTAGAAAAAAACAAATTATTTGTTAAAGGTATATTATTTATACGATTATACATTGTTTTAATTTCATTCAATATTTATACAAATTATATAGATACATTCATTATTATTATTATAGTACGTTATTTAATTATACTACAACATATATTATTTATAATAGGATTACCATATACCTATACAAAAATAGACATTGAAAACATTTTTAAACCATATGGATCTTTGAAAGATGTTCGTGTTGTCACATTCAGGAATGGTCACTCTAAAGGATTAGCATATGTAGATTTTGAAGATGAGGTAACACAATATTAATTCAATCAGTATTATTCTATAAACTTTATATTTTGTTGGATAAATAGATATCGGCTGCTCAAGCATTGTTAAAAACTGACAATATGGTTGTTCATGATAAAACAATATCTGTAGCATTAAGTCAACCACCAGAGCGTAAAAATCCTTCAGAAAATAAAATACCATACCCTCCTGTTGCAAAATTTAGATCACAAGTTCCAAGTTTATTAATAGGACGGTAAGTTTTTTTATTATGATATTTGAAAAAGTATTGTAATATATTTATATATATTTAGTCGTGATCATGCTCGCACAAAACTATCCTTGACACCAAGTGTACTGCAAAAAAAATCTTTGTTAACTGCTCCATCAACATCGACATCTGGTAATGATAAAACTGCATTAAGTAATGATGACTTCAGAAAAATGTTACTGGGTAACAAATAAAACTTAATATATACAAATATATATAAATTAAAAAATTGTTCTTTTATTATTTTTTAAATTATAAAATGAATGCATTTTTTTTTTTTAAATATTATCTTTATATAAGTTGTAATATATTTTTTTAAATATATTTTTTGAAAATGATGATAGTTTAATCTATTTTCTTTATTACGGAATTTGTGTTATTAAAAGACTGGTTGTGAAACTTGAGTAATCTTTCAAATGGCTTTGAAAAGAAAAATATATTTTATTGTAAAAACAATAAAATTGAGTATTATTAATTTTTTTTGGAAAAATGCTTTAATTGTATTATTCATATGATTTTCAATGCACAATATATTTTTAATTATTGAAATGGTTACAAAACAATTTAGTCATATATTTTCATTCACTTAAATTTCAAAATACTTTTTCTTATTTTAGAGATTGGCAATTCATAACTTATTATATATAAATAGGTTTTATTTCTACAATCATTTAATTCAAAAGCAAATGCCATTATCAAAAAATTATTACTTAATAACTTAATACCTTACTACACTAAATCAATTATTAATGCATATCTATTTATTATTAAATCCCTGAACAATTTTTTATTGTATGAATCAATTTTAAAAAAAAAATATATATATATGTGTATACATAATTTACTTATAATAACTATGTCTTATTTTAACATGGGTAGTCTTAGTTATATCATAGTTCATAATAATATATTAAATATATATACAGATTTTTTAAAGTAAACAATGTATTAAGTATTACTTTAATTCAAGTGTAACCACAATACTTGTGTAGTGAAAAAAAAAAATTGATTACATTATAAATTATTATGAGTTATGATTTATACAAGATTGTCAGGTACACCTTTGAAACCTATAGTAGTCTTTTTCACTCTCGGTGGTGGTACTGGTTGTTCGTTCATGCTGTTTTTTTTCTTCTCGTCATTATTGCTTTTGCGTATGCAAGAATAAGAAGATTCAGCCATCCTTCTCCACCACGATTTGATGGTGTCACCGGCATGATAGAAGTACCAATAGACAAATATGAAGACCACTAATACGAAACCCAACGACAAAAATACAATGGATAATATGATGAATATGGATGAGTTAAATCCTGAAGTCTGTGGTTTTGGTTTTTCCAAAACTGAGTCATCTGGTATTTCGTTTTCTTCCTCAGATGCTTCTGTGCTGGTGGTGGCCATTGTTGTTACTGTTATTGGTGTTGGGTATGGTGATGTGTCGATTGTGCCATCTTTGTCAGAAACTGAAATGTCGGCACAAGCCCTGAACTCTTCTTGCGGTCCACAGCCCACAGCTCCAGTGCCGTTCTCGCAAACGCCCCAATTGTTACCAGCAATATACTTCCATTGCAGCACACATTGGCTGCACGTCATTCCTTCTGGCAATGAATACCTCATTTCATACACCTTGTTCTCTGTGCCCGGATAGAACCGCGTTTCATGGAACGATTCATCAGCATCTTTGGTCTTCACCCGCCGCAAAATATATTTATCTAGACAAGACTGACTGGCTACTTGTTTGGGCGCGTTGTTCGGACACACTTTGAACTCAAAATATCCACGGTGGTTGGCCGTCAACTCGACACGTACAATAATTGGCTGTCCAAGTTTATAACGACGTACGATCACTCCTTGGCCGTATTTTCCACCAGCTTCATTTGGTCTTGGCTGAAAACATAAAATTATTGTAAATTTTGTTAGTACCACGGATATTATTTATGGCTTGGATTTTATAGCACTGAAAATAACTGAAATATGCGTTATACTATGACCTAAACAATTTTAAAATAAGCTGTAATATACCATAAAAACAAAAAAATGACAAAAAAAGAAAATATATTAATTTTTTAAATACTAATTTTATAAATACAACTTATGAGAAGTCATAAATGCACTCGTTGACTGTTCAAGGGATCAATATGCCGGGCTACTTAAAAATAGATTATAATATGAAACGAAAATGTAAATATTTTTTTTTTGGATTTATATAAATGACCAATTTTTTCTACATATGAAAAATACATAAAAATTTACAAATTTACATAATATATTTTATTATGCATTATAGCAATAAATAGTACTTAACAGAAATTTAAAAATAACATTGAAAATCTAAAAGACTTCAAATACGCAAAAAAACAACAATATAAAATTATTATTTAGAGTTTCTGATGTATAAAACAAAGCTCACTCTGCTATTTTCATTTGTATCCAATAATAATTACCAAATGCTATAAAATTGGAGTTCTGCTTATTACACTTTAAAATTTAAATATCAATTATTATTATTACTTGTGGGATGTCCCATGGATCACCACATATTCCGCATTTTCCACCATTAGTTTGGTACTGTCTTGTAAATCCTCCGCAGTATAATTCGTGATCATTATAATTTGGCGGTGTATTGAAGCCATATCTATATATTTTTCGACAAGGTTTCGATTTTATTTAATAATATTAAAGTACAGTTTTAGGCATTATAGTGTACACTAAAGTTATTGTTAGTCCACGAAAAGTAGCAAGTAATAATTATTGAAATTTCATACACATTTTCACCATAAACCAATTTCATAATTTTTACTGAAAACACTACAATTACTACAATGTATGATATTTACCTCCACATAGATGCCCTGGAGGGTGGTTCTATCAGTCGCCCATGGCCTTCAGATTCTTTGTATTTGTTTAAGAATAGAATAATTAATACCAATATTTTTGGCCCATAAATCATGGTGATCTGAAAAAGATAAATTGAGTTAACAAGTGAAACAACTATAAAACATTACTATAAATTAAAAATAACATGTCTTAAAGAAGTATGTACACATTCATGATTAGCATTATACAAACTCAGGAGTCAAAATATTTAAAATTGTTAATTAATAAGCTATTTATATTAATCATACGTCTTTCGAATTCATTCAGTTTATGGTTACTAAAAATTATAACGTTTTCTTATTATATTGATTGGCTTTGCTCTCTATACACGAATATAGAAAACTTTCAAACAAATCATTAATAAATATTTTTTTAATAACTCGGAAAAACAAAGAGACGAGAAATATATAATTTTTCTCACATTACTGCACAATTTCAGTATAAATTATTACAGCTTATGTTTTCTACCATAAATAAAGCTTCAATAAATAAACGGCAAGAGATTTCTTTTGATGCATTTTTAATCTAGTTCATGAGTTAGTTTAATGGTTTTTAATTTTCTCTATAGTTTTATTAATAAATAGGAAAAACTTTAAAAAAAAGTAAAATAAAAACTGATAAATTTATGGTGGTACAATTTCATTATTTTAAAATTTTACGGCTAATGTTTTCTACACAAATATTGCTCTAATAAAAAAACATCAAGAGATCTTTTTTTCTGAATTTTTGATCTAGCTGGTGAACAAGAAAGTTGTATTTTTGATTTTCTTTTGAGTTTTTTTTTTAATAATTGAGCAAAACCAAAAAAAAAAAATACAAAAAGTACAGAATAATAAAGGAAAATATTCTTTTATTATTTTCAATTTTATTTTTTAATATTGTGTAATTTAATGTATCCATAAAATCTTGAAATGTTGACAGAAAAATTATATTTGCTTTTTTTTAGACGTGGTAAAATGTTCAAAACATTTAATCTATTTTTGAACTAATTATAGACATTTTATTTTTAAAAGTTTTGTATGTAATTTTTATTTAATAGGTACTCTGTGGCTAAAATTGTTACACCCAATAGAAATTATTAAAAATTTAACAGGTATCCTTATATGTCGCACTTTGTATCTTGTGGTAAAAAAAAAATTGAGCTTTCTGTGGCATTTATTTTTAAAAGGATTTTAAATATCAAATTTTGATGAAAATCGTTTGAGTAAAAAAATATATGGAACAATCTAGCTACTGGTTCTTGAAAATGTTTCAATTTTTTTTTGTTTTGATCATATATACCTATTGCAGATTTAAAAACGATAGTGAAATCAGAATTGAGCTGGCTGACATAGTTTTGAAATCATAGTTTTTGAATTTCTAATACTATGTGAAAAATATATTATGTGTTATGTTAAATAATTCAATGATGTTAATACTAAAGTATGCCTGTCGTAGTCTAGTGGTGGCATGTATCTGTTGTTCAACATTTTTTTGCAAAACCACGTTGGTTGAGTAACGAGGAAAACACTAATGCATTTTGTTTCAAAAAATAAATTTGAGTGTAATGTAGTATTTTTTTTTCTATTGTTAGAGTTAAAATCAAATGTTGATGAAAATCGTAATTATTACGACCTTTCAATATTTGTATAACCGATCTTCACGCCAAATCGTTTTTTGTTATCAATGGTTTATCGTTGGTTATAGGTATAAATTAAATGACTTTATGTATCCCACCTTCTCCACTACCCACTTACAACATTGGCCGCATCCGTCTACTATATAAGCGCTTCTTTTACATTACATAAATCAGTTTTTGGGTCCTGTCAAGCGCGCACGCAATTATCGCAAGATAAAATCCCGCCAGGGACAAAAAGGGAAAACATTTTATTCTAGAAATATTTACATCATTATGGCAAAATGGTATGGCATTATGTGTGATAAAAGTACATACAGTTGAAAATCTTAGAGGAAGTAACGGCCCATTTTGTTCCCCCCTGCAGACGCCCTTAGCCCCTGTATAGAAAGGTCACTGTTAAATTGCAATTTTATTATTATTATTACTAGCAATTATAAATAATATCATCTTCCGTTCAAAAAATAATAATTACACGGCCACCGTACCGTGTAGACCCATATTCCATATTATTATTGTGGTTTGGACGACCACGACTCCGCTATATTATTGTCCTATTTCAATTGAAACGTTTTAGGTATGATTTTTATTTCTTTTTTTACGTAATAATAATATGGTTTACAATATTCAATACAATAGCATCCGTTCTAATTATGCTTTGTAGAACAACATCTAGCCTTATTTCGCATTGTACTGTACCTAGTAGATAGGTATATTGTCTATATAGAAATATATGTATTTATTTTATTCACGTATAATATTTGAACGTTTCAAAACGACGGTATTTAGTAAAGAATAAAAATAATAATTGTCACTTATAAAGCTAATAACTTATTGTGCAATAATTCGTGTTCTCATGCGTGATGATGTTTTTTAATTGGAATGAAAATCGTGATTAAAATTTTTGGTTTCATAAAATAAAAATAGATACTAGTTTTTATTTTTCAAATGCATTTAATTCAAAATTGTATATTATATGTGTTACTCTACTCTAATAAGTGAACTTTTATTTTAAAATCAACTTTTTTCAAATTAATACACTATTATAAAATATATTAATTATTTAATTATAATATATTCTGTTAGTACCTACCATTTTTATTATCTTAGTTAATACCTATCTATTAGATATTATTATAATATTATCTATAAATTATTTATTTATAATATATTATTACGATAGCCGTTCAACATTAGGAAAAATAATGATTTTAATATATTAAACAGTGATGAGTTGGAATGTATTAAATATTTAATTTTGATAATTTTAAAATATTTGACGTGTGGGAAAATAAACTGCATCGGATCGCACGAGATTTTAATAATTGTCTTAGAACAGATCACATTATTTCCAAATGTTATTAATATTTTTTAAACCATTGCGATTAGAACCCATGTCGAATAATCTATTTAATTTATAAAATGTTACACGGCTTAGATGTTTTGTTTAAATCAGTGGTTCCCAATCTCTTTTATTCTACGCCTCCCCAGCAATGTGTTCACGCTCCCCGGGTTGGAGAACACTGGTATAAAATTTATATTTATATTTAATATTATCTAGGGAATTAAAATCTACAATAATTGTATTGTTCGACCAACAACATTATTATAATAATTATAAAAAATAAAAACACCAATTCACTGTACCATAATCGGATATTCGGATGAAGTATAAAAACTATATAGTGGAGGATTTATAGGTTTAGGTATGTATACATAATAATTCGAAAAGAAAAGTAGATTTTGGAGTGCGTGAACTGGAGCGTTATACAAATTTGAAATTTATACAACAAAATAAAATCCAAATAATAGGTCAAAAAAAAATACACGTTTTTTCCATATTAGGTACTGAAACTTTGCATTATTATTGTTCCGCAACAATTAAAAAACACCGTGTATAATATAATATCTTATTCTGTATAATTATATCAAATACTATATTTTTATTTCTATTAATGCTCATTAAACGTTTAATTCTCTAAAACCATAATTATTTTAACCTAATCTCTTACTACTCCACGATTAGCTGCTACGACTGTGTTGGTGACAGTGACGTAACTGGGGGAGAGGATTGATGTGGGTGATATATAACTCCCTAAAACCTTTTTTTCCTACGTAAATAATCATAAACTTTTATTAAGTGCTAATAAAACATATTAAGTATGTATGTTCTTCTTGTTATTAATAACAAATACTCAAATTACCCCCCGAAATAAGGTCTTAGTTACGTCACTGGTTGGTGATAAAAGTGCGACCTCGTCTTGTTGTGCGACATAACATATGTATTTTTTTAATAATATTTACGAGTACTATGCGTTTTATACAAGATGTCCCATGTAGGTAATTATGTTCTTTGTGATATCTTGGAAAGTATTAACTTTTTAATCAATATTTTTTAACTAATAAGTTACTCTAAAAATTGTATATTACCATTATTTTTCATTACCCTTACTTTTAGGAGTGAAACGACTACCTAGTTTTGATTTTAAACAGGCAGCCTTTATAACTAATTCCATAAATATACGGGATATAAATTTAAATATATTTTGGTGTTGACATTTTTGATTTCTGTATAACTGTTGACGAGATATTAGGATTTTTTAATATAAGTTGTCATTTGAAAATCAAAAGTAGCTGTAGTCGGTTTAATTCCAAAAATAAGGGCGAACAAGTATAATAGTAATGTATTTGTTACTTAAATTATTAAAAAAAAAAAAAAGTGAATACTTTCCAATTTCTCGTAACGATCATATCATGGTTATACCATATGGACCGTTCGTAAAATGATTTTAATCAAATTCTCGGGTAGGTATTTTCATTGATTTTATAATATACTATGTTATACAATTATATAATATTATATATAGTATATTATAAAATTAATGGTAATACCTATATTATACCAAACTTCTATTTACCGACCGTCATAATAATATGATATGAAATATATATAATATAATAATATGAGTGCAGTAAAATAACATCATCCTATACTTTACTAATACACAATACTAATATAATATTATTGTGTGTCTGTGTTCTTTACAATTTTACTGAACGTAACTATACATAATATTTTTGTTGTGTAATAAAACGTGTACCTGCGTATAGGTTACACCGATTTTCGACATTATAGTACCATTCGTTCAGTTTATTTTTCACAGTGCCGATGACACTTTTACAGTTTGTCAACTCGCGATTGTGCTGTTTATAAATAATAGTACCTAATACTTATATATACCTCAATAGTAGCTCTGTAGCACCCGTATGCATTAGTGGATCGTGCATTATCCGTCCATATACATTATTATGCGCCATGACTGTTAAAAAAAATATAGAAATATATCTACGCTTAAAAGCGCGTATTCAAACGAAAACTTGTACAATATGTTCTCATATATTATAAAGGTGTAAATCGTTGACATTCAATTTTGAAAATTGTCGTCAACATCGAAACATCCATAGTAATAACTAATAATATAGATACTGCAGCAGAGTGTACCTATACATTACGCATCATATGACAGTAAACAAACTAATTTTTTCGATGTATTTCAATTTTGTTTTTTTTATATGTTTTCGGCTTCGTTTATAAGCCTATATTTAAATTGCAGATAATTATAGATATATTGTTACATGTTAGTATTTATTATTGTTTTGCGTGATAAATAATAAATTATAGATTACATAGAATCATGTTTTTAATTTTAAACATTCCCTGGTCTCTGCATTTTTCGTTTTGTATTCAAATAATTTTTCGTCCGTAATATTTTTATGGAAAATAATACAAATATTATTCTTCATTGTGTACCTACCTGTATAGTATACAGTATGTACGTATGAATGTATGACTATGCGTATTTGAACGTTCCAATTTATTATATTTTGCTTGTATCTATAGTACAGACTATAATCGTTACAAATAATACACAGGTGATATTCTATTATTAATGTCAATTATTATATTTATGCCGGGTTGCATGAAAATAGTTCTTTAAATTGTTGGTTTGCTAATTTATTGGTTTTTAAAATTATAACTTTTAAACAGATTGAGTTTCATGGACATGTTTCTATCCATATTGAATATACTTGTAACTTAACCTAACCTTATACTAATTTTATTGTATTACATATTACAGCATTATAATAGTTTAATATGTACCCGTTAACAAAAAATGAAAATTCAATTCAAAGTTATTACTAAGGTTTGAATGGTTGAATGACAGCTTGAAGTCTGGTCAGAAAATCTTAAAACGATACGCACAAAGTACTCACTTGTATCACTTGTATACTCTTTAAATGTTTACATATTTATTTTTTTATATACTTTTTTATATTTATATATACACATATTTTTTTTTCAATTTAATTTTTTTATTTATAAATACATATAATTTTTATTTTAGTTACAATTATTACTATTTTTAGATTTATAATTTCTCCGTGTAATTTTTTACGCCCTGTATATTCATATAGGTAAGAATTTATTTGGATTTGAAGTTTGAATAAAGAATAATACAGTTTTTCCTCAGAATTTAAATAGTCTTCAAGAGAATGTAATTTTCATTTCTAAAGAGTCTTGGTGATTGATCAACATTTTAAAAATCATCATATCTTCATCAAACTCACCCGATGGAATTGAGATTGAAACTGATATTTTATATATATTTTATAGTTTTTATGTCACGTGTATTACAATGCCTTCTATCATCTTCCGAAAATGAAATTCGAAAATTCAAGATCATCCAGTCGAAGTATTAAGTGTTACCTGGACACCTTATTACATTGCATATCTCCTTGTCTATCAAATCAACAACTGTATCTATCTATAGAGGTTGCTTGGGATATATTATTTGGTCGTTCAAGTAATATAAAATAATACCCAACCCACCGCCATAAATGTACTCCATAAATAATTTATTTAGTATACTTATAATTGTATACTATACTAATTTCTTTTGATAAAACAAAAAAAAAATACTCAAAAGTACAAAATACAATACATAATAATTGATCTAAGGTAAGGAATATTTTAATATTATGATAATTGCCACTTTTTTAATTATAATAAAATTATAGGGTAAAATTAAGAATTAAATTTTCGAATTTTGTATGAATTTATTTCTCGGAATTTATTCAACATTTTAACGACTACAATCACTCTTTCCTAATATTTGGAGTGTGTATAACTTTTATATTCAAACCATCTCTGACTATATACTATAGTAACTGACGAACGATCAGAACGGGGATAAAACTTATGTTTCGAAACTTAAAAGTGACTTTTACGCGGTTACATGTGGCTAGATATTTGTATAACATATGCATACATATACTTAATTTTATGTTTTATTTTTTTTTAAACAAATTATCGTTTTCTAACATTTATAACAAAAAAAAAAAGCAGATACTGTTAATGAGTGTGCCAATATTCTAGTTAAGTAGTTAGGAATGTATAAATACAGTTATTTAAATTATATAGGTACCCAACGATAAATCGGTGCTTTAACGAAAACAATCTTGAGCGAATTTCGGTTAAAAATATTTTGAAATGTTGTAATTTTTATGATTGTCATACAATTTAAACTTTAAACACCTATACATAAATTACTATCTTTATTACATAAATTACTACATAGGACTTAATTTTTTTTTTTTTTACTACTTCAAGGAAAATCAAAAAATAACCTTCCCAATATACCAATTAAACAAAATTGTTGATCAAATCAAGATTTCGGGTAGGAAAGTTGTTTATAGGCAGACAAAAATACACATAGTCATAATTATTATTGTAAATAAATTAATAATTTGTGATATTTGTAAACCGATTGTATTTTTCAAAAATGTATCTATCTATTGTTTAATTCAACTAAAATACCCACACATTTTGTTTTTAAAACAACGAAATTAACACTTGTTCGAATTGTATATAGGTAGTAGGTTTTATTATATAAAATACCTACGTGTTGACGAATTTTTTACCATACATGACGAGGTTAAATTTGATTCAGACACTAGACGAGACACTTAGACGCTTGTAAAGTACTTATGAAACCCACAATTTTTGAATATATTATGTATACTATTATAAATCATACATTTACTGCGTGATGTAGCCTTAATATTATTTAGTATTTACGAAAGAAATAGCAGTTATTTGTAGGTACTCTTTTTGATAGTAGGTATGTTTGTAATAATGGATTTACGGTTGCAGTGCAATTAGTTGGAACTTATAAACGCCAAAGTGTACACATGCAACGTAATAATTATTATAAGAATATTGTTAATGTGTTATTGGTTCTTATTACATGGGTTTAATTATTGGCGAAAGTTATTTTATTATTTTTTTTTTTAGTATTTAATCAGCGAATTGGTTTACAATTAAATGAATGTCCTCGATTTATTCATAAGTAGTCTTTGTTTCCAATTGTTATTTTTTATTCTTGATTTATATTTTTCTCACATTTTCTTATTCTCTTTGACAGTTAAATATTTAACATTTTTAAACGAACGTATACCCTAAAATTGATATACTGAAGAATCATTGATTAGAACGAAAATTTACAATACATTATTATATCTATCGCAAATACCGTGATTTATTTAAAAATGACGAAATAAAAAATAAAAACGATTTCTATTCATAGCAATATAATATTATATAATATAAATAATAGCGTGCGAAGATTATAATATGGGAACTTTTTGATAAATTACAGTAGCTGTAGAGTATCTGATTGCCTATTTTAAGCCCCGTGATAAAATATTCTCTTCTTGTGGGTATGATAAAACAAATAATCAATTTTGACGATCACTAAACTAATTATTGGTGATCATTATAATCTCCATAAAATCTTCAATAAGAATGAATTTGATTAATTTTTCTAACTTATGTGACTTATTTCTTGAATTTTAAATTATAATAATAAGAGAAAACTCGCAATAAATATATAGATAGTCTAGGTATGTATAATATTATAGGTAATATGATCGTTTACAAGAAGTTAAACTAAAATTTAAATGTATGGCAATAAAAAGAATTTCACAAATTAAGAATTTATAATAGTAAATGGATGGTAAAAAGTATATTTGAATAGTTGTAAAATTTAATTATATGTAGATGTATTTATGTTTAATGTTGTTTGTATAGCGCTTGGCCTCTCGTGGTACCTAATACAATTTTTCGTTTTACAAAAAACTAATACTAATAAAAAAAAAAACCATTTGATGTTCGTAATGTATACCAATAAACACTGCAGTAAACAACAGTCTTATTCAGTACTTTATACTTATCAATCTAATCTATCCAATAATACCCTATAATAATTAAATATTTTAGAGGAGTACACGAATATTTAAATAACGCAATTGAAAATGAAATAGTCTGATTAAATCGTTAGGATATTTTCTTATATTCATATACAGTAAAAATATGAAAAAAAAAAAAATACATACATTTTTATTAATATCCACTTAACTGATTTGATTTCGCGTTAAAAAAAATTAACTTGACCAATTATTATTAGTATAATTAATAACAAATGTATCCATTAAGTATATTTTACTATATTTTCAAGTATAGGTAGACATATTAGCTATTTTATGAATCACTTTCGGTTAGATTTTTATCCAATAAAAAATACAAACAAATATTCTTTATAAGACTGCGGCCGGTGAACGACATACCGTTTAATATTATAATACTACCTAACCTAACCGTTGCACTATCGACATACAACTTGTATAATATTTGTACCTATATAATCACACCATTCGTCCCGATGTGTCACATATTTATATTTATATATTATACCTATACCATATTATAATATATAATTATATATATTATTACATTGCGATATATTTTATGCGCGGAAGGTATGATGTGCTCGTATGAATAATGAAATCGACACAGTCCGGCGCGCAAACAACGGTTGCACGTATTGTATAGTTGTTATAATAACATTAATATTAATAATATATCCGATGGTTTAATTCGATCAAAATGTCGGTACCTGCATGTATATTATAATATCATAACGATAATAATGACAAATTATAATACGATACGTAGGTACAATAATAATAATATGTAAAAGTACGGTAGTTATCGTCAATCGACCGCGGGCGCGCGCGCGCGCGCGTGCCTAATCACACGGGTAGAGCCGCTACACGTTGCCGCCGTCGCGTTTAGTAGTTTTCTAGGACTCTCATTATCAACAAAACGTTTTGCAATCCATTCGCCGCCGAGACCGAACGCAGACCGCGCATAATATACAAAATATGTTACAATATTTGTGGACAAACGCGATAGGTATTATACACAATAACAATATCGAAAAATCAAAAATAATCTATGTCCTATCAGTTTTGTTACTGCATGTTTTTTTTTTTTTGTAATAGCTGTCATAACTTTTGCATTTTCCGTGCCCCTACGTACTTATACTGCAACCACCCTATTAAAACATTTCAAAAATATGTATTAATGTTATTGTCATAACAAAATATTCGTGTTCACCGCGACAATTGTTTTATTTTTACGATATCGGTAAAACTAAATGATACTTGAATTGAAAACAATATTATTATCATACCGTGTACCTATACTGGCGTGTATACCTACTGTAAGGGTTAAAACTGTATCAAAAATCGCACGCCTATGCAACTGTAAATGTATCAATTTTAAAATAGTACTACAAACAGATAGTTTAAAATAAACTCTACCTACATACGAGTACAGTGTTTGACTTGAAAAAAATATAGTAGAGATTCTCTAGTTATTTTAAAAAAAGTAGCGCCCCTAGTAGTTTAATATTCCTTATATAACCTTCGCCCCTCCCCCCCTAAAATTCCTTTTTACGGTCTCCTAATAAGCATTACTATAAAACCATTAAAAACGTACCATAACAAAACAGAATAGTATAATAAAAAAATAAAAACAAAATTATTAAATAGTTAATACTCGTAAATAAATACATAAATAAATAAATAAATGCGTCGCCCGGAATATTGAGATATGTGTATTGTACGACCGATTTCGAATTAAAAACGTATCATTAGGTAAATTACAAAGTCAAAAAGTAAAACGCTAGAGTTTGCGTTTATATATTAACACAAAAATTTAAGTTGAACAATTTCATAAAAATAAGTAACCTTAAATAACGACCCGGCCCACGCGTTTCCTTTTAAAAAAGAAGAAGAGGTACGCTAGAATATCCTAAAACTTAGTTGATGTATTGTATAAACTTATATTCATATCATGCATTGAGTAGAAAATGCAAAAATAAATCAACACAATAAATTGTGAATTTGCTGCTCGTATACAATACATATAGTATAAAATGGTGTCAGTTTTCAATACGATCCCGTCTTAAAATAAGCAGTATTGGGATCTCTAGACAAATTGTAAAACGCCACAAGTATATACATATTATTATTATCGTTAGGTTTTAAAGAGAATAACTAACTAAAACATACAGTTTGTTTAAGTATATTTAAGTTTTAATTTTAAATACCCGAATGAAATAAAATTAAAAATATATCGATGTCGAAAACTTAAAATCAATAACTTTCAAAATAATATATATAATATGTTTAATATATTTTAGGTACTTTTTTGAACTGCACTGTTATTTAAGTGTACTGAACATCTTATTTGTGTACTAAAAAAAATACTAAAAATTAAACTAGCGGTATTTTATTGTATCTACCTACACGTAATGCACCTACTGACTGTATTATATTATATTGTATTTTTTAACTCTGACAATGGCCGCAACACGGAATTTATATACATATTGGTCGACCGCGACCGTGGTACATGAAACAGACTAGACAGACCATTATTTACATATTATTCATGTCGACCGAAAGAATTCGCACACGCAAATTCGGCCGTCGACATTATAAAATCGCCAACACACGTGCCGCTTACGGTCGTTATAATATTATTATTATTGTTATTATTAAATTATTAATATCGACTGCATTTTGGTGAAATCGGGCTCGTTTGCTTTTGCGTTACGCAACGATATGACGTGAGTGAAGTTGGCTTTATCCCCCACTTTGACCAATTGTCTCAAAACTTCTACCATTATTTTGAAAATAATTTGAAAACATTTGAAAACCAGTCATCAGAATTTGAAAACACTTATTTTCACCGCAAGAAGTTTTTTAAGTAAAGCGGGCCAAATTTACGCAGCCCCCTTATGTTGTCCGATCAACTTCAAACCTTTGCTAATAATTTGAAAACAATTCGTAACGATATGCCATGATAATCGAGCATTACTATTACTTATTAACAGGGTTCGGGACTTATAACATTTAAAATCCACAAACAAATTCTTAAAAAACCAAAAATAAACTAAAAATATAAAAAAAATAAAAAACATTAGGGAACTTAGTTTTCTGTAACGCGTTATTTTACTCGTCGCCTATCCAATAAGGAGTTTACGAGAGCGAAATGGCGTTCGGAAAATCATAGAGTATTAACACAGAATATCGATAAAGTCACAATGGACATTACTTATATAAACACGACGCTGTCGTTCTCTTCCGGTAAATAGTGTTGACAATTAACAGTCTCTCACTTGCCGGGCGATTGTTCTACCACTAAGCTAATCGGTACCTGACTTTCAACACTTGCACACTCGGACAGGCACAAATCCAAAGCAAAGATCTGGAGGGGAAGGGCAACAATTTGTTTTATAACACAAATACTAATACAATGTCTATGGTTCTAATTATAGTACCATAATAGTTAAATCAACCACAATCTATTTGTGATTGTCCGGGGCCAACTTTGGTGGTGACGTGGCACACTCTTGCGGTGTCAACAACTAACACGTAAAAACAAAACTATAATATTGGAATTGATATGTATAATAATATATGTCTGTGATTGAAATATAGTAATATATCAGGATCTACATAGAATTATAAAAAAAAATTATCTGTCTGGGGGGGGGGGGCTTGGATTCATCCCTGGCTCGGGGGCCGTGCAAAATAAAAACGATGGCCTTTTCTGTGTAGTTGTGTAACTCATACCACAGATTATCTATGTATGCAGTATTCGTTACCCAAGTATCTAATTTAGAAGCGGACGTGGCGAATTTTTTAACGCCGGTCGATACGTGTTCACCGTCCGTATATCGGCATTCGGGTCGCGTAACAGGGAACCGACCGGGACGCCGCAGAGTGCTTTCAGCTCTAATGCTCATTGGTCATATCCGCGGCAATTTGAAATCGATCAATGAGCTAGAACGTGATAAATAGAGACGGCTCTGTGCCGTCCCGGGATTCTTAATACGCGTCCCGACCTCCGGTACACTATGGTGTACCGATACCGGCTATACTTTTTATGCTCCGAGGGAAAATAAACCCGTACGTCTTTGCCGTTTATTTCTGATCGAACCATCGCCGACGGTCGACAGCAGACGAATCGGGACGGGTGACAACACGCGCGGAGGGTAATAGTAATAACAATCGTAATCATACAACGTACGGATAATATTATACGTAAACGAAAAATAAACAAACGGGCCGCAACACTTTCTGTGTGTATACTATATCATTATACGCGTTCGCGTGGGCCGCCCCATCTCACTACAGCCCGATGCAATAACATTACAATAACAATATCGTAATAATCATCGGCAGCTGTTCCGCGTTACAACAGACTGGTGAACTCGCGTAACGCCCGCCGCGCGCGGTGTCGTCTTCCCATGGTCTCCCGCGTGCGAACCCCCGCGATTGTTTCTCCCGGCCGCCGAAACGGATAGTACGCTATTATATATTATAGCACCTAATACTAATATAATAATACACTAGCGATAATAACAATAACAATATAAATAAAGCGGTCACGTTATATTGTATTGTTATTGTACGTAGGCTCGCGCTTTCACCCGACAGCCACCGCCCTGCGGTTTCCGCAAACGATTCTCGCCGTACGCGTTCCGCGTAGGTAACAATATACGGATAATAAGAGTACCTACGCCGCCGTTATTGTACATCATTATTATAGATGCCTATGTATACATACACGCGTATAAATACAACATTATGTATATCCTATTTGTATACAGATAATATACTAATATTATGTACATGTAAATACGAGTATACATTAGGTAGACTTGGTTATTTTTGTAAACCATTTTCGCGTGTTACGTTACGCGCGTACACCTATAATGATTAGCAACACTTTCGTATAAATACGCGCACGCGCGTGTCAAACGAACCGCCCCGGCTATGATATAATATTATATCAAGTCTCCGACACGAACCCCGAAGTTAAAATTGTGATATTATGTCGCCGAGTGTACTCGTATACAGCGAAGAAACTATAACATTATCAGTGATGGTGTTGTTCCCGTAGGCCCTACGGGAACATGGGAACACATACCCTATGGCATAGGGTTTGTGTCGAGTATACCGTATACTCTCAACGTTTTGCTGAAAAACTGCGGATACACTGCGCACTCTCAAATAGTTTTAATAGTCAAATAATAAAAATGCTTTGATTTTATCATCATGTAGTATGTCATTAGAAAAAGCGAAAACATTTTTTGGTATCGTAATATATATATACCTATATAATTCTAATAATAAGTTACAACAAAACATTAATGTACACACACGTTTTTTGAAAAATTAACATAATAGATATTAAATAAAATAAATAAAAAATTAAAATAAGATTACTAAGATATGACAAGAATATTATATTTTAATTGAATAGACGCCATGTAGCTTTTGAAATATAAATAGCAATAAAAAATTAACAGGCCTTATTGAAATTACTCGTATTCAAATTTATGAATGGTTTATTCTGTATTTATTATTCAGTTTTTAATCATACCAATACTAGCATTGGACCAAAAAATACAATGTCCCTTAAGGGTCTTGTAACCGAACCATTAACCAAATTTGCTAAACTACTTGGAAAGGATGGTTACCTAGAATCTCATAGCAGAAATATGTTTTGACATTTAAATTTGTATATAATATTTTATTGTGAAATTTTAAAAAGGTATTTGATAAAAGAAGGGTAATTTTAAATCCTAAATAATTCAATAAAGACATTCAATTCAATTTATGAAAAAAAGTATTCATTATAATTAAATATAATATATATATTAATATACTCGTATTTACCAGTAGGTAAATAGTAAATATGTAAAGATATTTACCTCCCCTTCCGTTAATGTAGGCTGGATCCTCACCTGGCACCCGCATTGATAAGAATGGACTTGGAGATAACAACACCCCAAAATTGTATTTTCCTTTTTGATTTACCACCATGTTGTTAACTAACTTGTTGGTTTTTATAACCGACTTAAAACCAGATGATTATGCCAGATGATTATGCAGATAGTGTAATAGCCAGATAAGTCCAAATTATTAAAATATCCAGGAAAAACTCCTTTTGTTGAATATACCTAACTTAACCTACCTATAACTAAACTAAACAGTCAAATAAGTATTAAATACTGAGGCAAAAATACATGAGTAGTTCACCCCAAATGACGTCACGTTACTGTTGAGCTCAGTATATTTATTATAAATTAAAAACCTATCCATGAGTATGGATTTTAAAATTATAAGTTTAATAAGAACAATAAACCTTATATTGATGAATTCACATTATTATTTTTTGTTTACTATGACTTCTGGTTAGTGACATATTATTATTACATGAAATGGATACAATTATACATAATTAAAATATTTTTTAATAACATCGTTATAAATAAATTATAGGCAAACAATAATAATGATAATATGATGACATGATTCTAAAACCAAATGATGTATACCTGTATAACCTACCTATGACAGAACACAGAAAACATGATGATACCTATATAATAATAATATAATAAAGCGAAATTAATGTACCTCTATTATCTATTGATAACATCCAGTAGTTAGCGTGATGTTATTCAAAAGTATAGTGGTGTTACAAACGAAAATGTTTTGAATTCAAAGAGGTGGGTGGTATAATAAAATAAAAATATGGTGACTCTAGTAATAGAATAATAGATCTTGATGAGATTGCAGATTATATACGTAAACTTATAATAATAATACGTAAACTACTATACTACTAAACATAACATTTGTATTTACTATTAGGTAGGTACTGTATAACAGATATTATGTGTGTTAAATAGCATAATAGACATTTTAAAACTATGTAATTACTATTTTCTGTCTAGAATATGATAACATCGAAATGAACTTGAAATAAATAAAAATACATTCATCTAGAATATAGAATATTTCAAAAGAAATCAAAAAAAAAAAAAAAAACGTTTTAATTGGTCTTTACTTACAATTATTACTCATAATATACTCGATTTGTGGCTTTTTTTGAGTACTTGGCGATATTTTATTTTGAATTTTATCAAGCTATTTTATGACTGTCCAGTTGAATTGCAGGTAATCGTACACCTACAACTTAAAAACGTGTTCACCTTGAATATCGTTGTAACTTGTAGTTCCATAACCTTAATTCGAGTAATGCCATTATTGTAATAATTAAGTAGGTACAAAATATAACTATTGATTGGAGAAAATTGAGTTTTAATATTTAAAAAAATTAGCAGTATACAGGGAGGCTCGGAATTAGTTGTTTATATTCAATAAACCTCGAGTTATCATCATAATTTAAAATGCCTAATATCTTATATCGTTATTGTCACAATATTAATAATACTGAAACTAGATGGCGTTTTGTTTGTTGTTTGTACTGCACAGTGATATTATCATTTATTCCTTTTTATATCGGTAAACAGCAGATTATAGTCGAATGACAAAGTTGACAACGAACATATTGAATTTTAAGTTAGTGAGTATTTCTTTGCGGTTTACAAATTAAATATTATAGCTAACATTGTTGTTGTTCATTTGACAAATAACTAATGTTCTAAATGTTATAAATTATTTTTGCGTGTAATTTTCTACTGTACTGATGAGTAATAAGTATAACAAATAAATATAATTTTGTTGTTAAGAAATAAATGGGGTTTGTTATCATAAATGACGAGAGGTTTGTTTCACATGTTATAATATATTGTTTTAGAAAAATAGCTCATAACTTATAAAAAAAAAAAACAAAAAAACGTAAAATTAACGTTTGGAGAAAATGGAGAAACATATTATTTAAGAAAGTATATAATGCTTTTGCAATTATTTTACCATAATATGACATATAAACTGTTGATGCTTTATCAATATCAACTGAACTCTACTTAGTTTTTTACTCGTTTTTTCGTTAGCAATAGATTATCATTGCTTACAGATGTACAATAAATTCTCTTCTGTATCTTACTTTCCCAACTTTTCACCTACAATAGTGGCTGCAACAGCGTGCAAAGTAAGCCCCCCCCTTTTTTTTTATAGGATATTTTTAATATAGTATTTCGAATACTGTGACAAACGCAACTTGAAAAAAACCAATTGTGTTAAAAAAAATAAAGGTAATGGGGACGGGTGTAGGTGGGAAATTAAGAAGGCAGGATAGGATACAAATGGGAATCCAATGTATATCTTTGAGCAACGATAAATCATTGTTAAACCATGAGTTCAGTTGATATTGATGCTTTGTCAACAATATATAAGCCATATTATAGTAAAATAATTAAATAAGCTCTATATATTTTCTTTAATAATATTTGTTTAATGTTGTACCGATTTTCCCAGTTTTCCTACGTTTATCCCGGTTTTCCCATGTTTTACCCTGGTTTTTCACATTCGTTTGGAAAACTACTGAGAAAATTGAAAAATGACCTCCCTAGATTATATATTTTATAAATATATTTCGAAACAAAATGTTGGTGTTACAAATAAATGTTTACTTATAACAATAAATAGTTAATTTTCTATAATTTGTTTTTAAGTTTACGCGTTAATTTAAATTGTTTTTATTATTCATTAATAACTAAGATGAATTAATTCACTAATATTTCTATGAAAAAAATGTTTGTTAATGATTTTCGTAAATTTTAAAATATTGTAGAAACTTAACGATTTATCGTAAGTAAATATTTGTAACATCAAAAAGGTTGTTTCAAAATATTTATCAAATGGATTATGAATATCTTGGATTTTATAAAAATCTATATTTGTTATTTTTAGTTAAAAAATGTATATTTGGGTGGCCCTTATTTTTGAACTTTCAATTTTTTGATTTCTCATCTTCTTATATTTTTCGTCATAAAAAACTAAGTTATGTAAATTTGGTGATAGTAACTCACCCCTTCACGTACCGCAAGAGAGTTGAAAATTGTCAAACAGGGCAGTTTTAAAGTTGTTTGTACTTAATTAAAAAAATATTGCACTTAACATAGAAATTTATTGAATCTTATTGAAAGAACTAAGACATTTTCTATAAAAAACATTCTTACGATGTTTCTTCTAAATCCAATATTTTTCAACAAAAATAATATAATATTTATTTGTTTTCAAATTTGTATTTTACTGTTTTTTAAATATATCTTAAATATATTAATGAGCGATGTTATTATATCATAACATAAAAAGGTAAACTTAAATAAAATTACACCAGATTATATAATATATTTTTACATATACATAAATTATCAAATAAAGCGTAAGGCTCTAGGAATTATTACAAAAAATTAAAAATTTTTAATAGAACAAAAGTTATTCTATTTGCCAGAACTTCGTGAAACACTGTATACTAAATGATTTTCCCAAAAATATAAAATTGCCAAATCGGTTCGTATGCTTACTTATTTGAAAAATGAGGTACATAAAAAAAAATAATTATTTATTAAATAATAAAATAATAAAAATAATATTTAGTATTATTTAGTTTATTCCCAGGACCAATTAGTCATTTAGAATATAATAACATTACATATAGGTGAAATTATTTTTGGTTACTATCATAACTTGCAGTTATATAGAAATCGGTTAAAGGTTTTAACATTGATTTGTATTAGCAGCGAGCACACACACACGTCCACTATAATGTCTACAATACTTCATAATATTATAATATCTATGTGAAGTGAAATGTAATAATTATATTAACAAATTATTCTATATAGTATTAAATTAAATTCATATACATTCTGTATATAATCTCTCTGTCAACGTAAACTTATATAAACCAGTTTAGAATGTTTGGATAAAACCTGCATACAGGAAACACGATATTTCTTTTTATAATCTTAAGTAGAGCTTTTTCTTACGAGCGTTTCTTAAACCGCTTTTCCCTTTAACCACAAATAGAAGCTATTATATTATTATTATTTGTATACTTACTTTTCAATGATGTATTTAATTCAGTTTGTTCAATCGGTTGTTGCTACTTTCATCCGAGCAATTTCCAAATTGAGAATCGTTAAATATTTTATTTATGCATAAATAACGAACACGAGACTAATATAAAATTATTTTTGTAATTTTGTTGAGAATAGTATCCATTTATGTTTACTAGAAATTAGTAGGAAATTAATAGGCAGTAAACAATATAGGTAAATAATATCTACCTAGTACCTACCTACCTATTAAAAGTGTCCAATTGCTGGTAGGTAAATAAATTACCTCCATTTTCTCAAGATATGAAAGTTATTAAAATTAAATTATCATTTTATAAGTGCCTACCTAAAAATTAAATTTAAATTAAATTTCGTAGTTTTAAAGTAAATATATAGCAATTGCGATTTATAAATTATATTTCCCACGGTATGGTATCCTATTTATCTATTTTGTAATTAAAATATAATATATTTAGAAAATTATAAAAGTATGTAGATGACATCGTGTGAAAGTTTGACTATATAGAAGTATATATTATAATATAATTATTTTCGTCTTAATTTCATATATCATCATGCTAAAAGTGATCAAGTACAAAAAAATGTTTAAATGTTTATTATTTCATCTCTACGAATAAAAAATATATTTTATTGATATAATACATAGTTTAGGAATCATTGATCACGTCATTTTTGATTAAAATCAAAACTGAATAAAGTTTTAACTTACATTTTTAAATCACTCGGTAACTTTCAACATGATAATGCGCATTGCTCATTGTTTTTATTTATTAATACAATTGATCGAACTTATAACATCAATCTTAAACATTGTTTGACGATAATAAATTTAAATGATTACCAACGAAACAATAATATAATATTTGCATCTCGCGTAGTAAAAATATGTTCAACTGTTTTTATATATTTTTTTTTATGGATTTATAACGGACTGTAAATCGACTTCCTCCGTGATTTTTGTTGTGTAGGCGATTTTAATGTTGTTGACCTGTAAGATCTACTCAATTTTTTGTTCAATACTAACTTTACATAGGTATAATAATAATTATTTGAGTTTTATAAATTTTTCGTTTTAAGCAATCGGTAGTTGAATTCATCTAGGACCCTATTTTTAATGTTGAGTTTTAGATATTGTCCTATTGACTTTTGGACTAATAAATTACTATAATTTATGAACAATAATTTTAATTGTAATTCTTATTTATTATAGGTATTTCCGTGATTTATGTATTATTATAAATAGAACTTAGATGTAAAGTTAAAACAATTTACTACCACATATCTATACTTTCAGTGATGTTTTTTTTTTCGAAATTTGTCTAAGAATTCTTTCTCATCTTTCTTTAGTTAAACTACTTTATATAACAATAACAATAATAAATAACAAAAATTGTCACGAAATTCCGTTTTATTTTATTATTACTATATTGGCCTTATGCCTTAGGTAATAATAAAATTGTTACAGGTGTATGTTCTAATTTTTTTCCCATATATGAATAATTTTAATACTTGTTAATGATCCTGTAGCGTATTCTATAAATTAAAATATACAAATTTTTGAAAAATTAGCGTATTAGAGTTTTAAAATAAAAACAAAATATAATAGGTAACATATTTTATAAAGGATATAATTATGATGCATACGTTTGATTGAGTATCTATCTACTTGATCATTAGTGAACTGAAACATAGTTCTATTACTACCTAGCTATTTTATAGTATAGTTGGTAATAAAGTTTTAATAAAAGTAAATTTACGGCTCGATTTAATATGGTCCACTATAGCCATAATATAGAGACCAAACAAACGTTATTGTATTTCATTATAGTTGTCTATGGAAAATACTTAAGGACCTTGACAAAACGAGATTGGCGAAAGGTACACGACATAGTTGTTCGAAGGAACTAAAATATTATGAGGGAATAGAAATAATGCAATAAAGTAAAAAAAATATTCGTGTCCTCAAATACTAAATAAGTACTATATATACTGCAAGTACCTACTTATAATATGACGGTATACACAAGTATTATTTATATTACAAACATTGCAACATTATAATCTATTTGCACTAGTTGTGCATTTATTGTCCAAAAAAATAATAGTGTCTTAGGAGATAACGTTGTTTTATACATGATATTCGAGTATATAAAAAATAATATCAGATATCAATAAAATTATTCTGGAATCTATTTACCTAATGTTTGTTTGTTACATAACTTGTATAGGTTAGAAATATTTAAAAAAAAATCTTAAATTCATCATAATTTCTCATTGTGAATGTCTGAAAAAATTTCAAAAAAGTTTTTTTATAAAAAATATTTTATGTATACACTATAGTGTTAAATTTAAAAATATGTATGATATTATACTTATATAGGTGTTTGATTCTATCTATTATTTTATCAAATACCTAGTCTACTATTCATAAAATATATTCTTGAAATATGCAATCGATAGGCACATATAATTTGTTTTATATATTTATAATAATTATTATACATAATTTATTTTAATTTTATGTTTTTGTAATAACGAATATTACGTTTCAAATCTTATAATACTTTAATAAATATGTATGTGAAACATGATCGTTTGAATCAGTAAAATTATGTATAGTTGCCGATAATAATTATCATCCAAAATGCAAAAGTATACTATATAATAAACGAGTATATACTAAACCAGTTCAATGAAAATCCTAATTTCACTTTACTTTCATTCCTTAGGGCAACTTATATTTTGAATAGAATTATAACGACTTGAATGTGTTTATTACCTGTCAAAGAACTAATTGAATGTTTTGATGAGGGAAACAAAATTATTAACATTACAGATATACAATATAGGTTTACGGAGTATTATAAAAGCCGCATCTTATTTCCTATTCAATACTCAAACAAAAAAACTATTGAAAAAATATCTTGTTTCTGCTTGATTTTTTTTTTTAAAACAAAAATTGTTTGTATTATTTTGTCAGGTTAACGCTCCGGAAACATAGTTATTAGTTACATTCACCCCCTCAGAGAGGCCTCTCCGTATGTACCTTATTAGAGTTATCAATCTAGAAAATACAGTACCGATCTATCTCTTCGTCCGCTGTAAATTCGATACACCTATTTAGTTGTAGTAGGAGCAGTTACAGTGCATCAAATAATAATGATTGGATGTTTTAGGGGGAAAGAATTCAACAATTGTGACTTTGATTTCTATTTATATTTCGAGCAAAATCACCAATTTAATGGTGTATAGTTGAAATTACAAATTGGCGTTCAAAATTGTAAAATACTTTATACTCATCTTTAACCAGAAAAAAAAAAATAAAAATGTACGTATATTAGGCCTGATACCAAACCTAATTTTTAAAAATACTGCACGTTTTGAACACATTTTTTATTGAGTTGTTTTTTTTATTTTTAATAAAATTACGTCCTTAGAATATTTTTTAAAAAACGGTGACAAAAATATTTATAGATATAATAAGCCTAATATTACTATGATTGCCATTAGTATTTTCAATACTAAATTAAATGAATTTATTTATTTATCGAGAATATTACGATAAAATTGAAATAAAATTTCAAAAATATGCAATAGTTGTAGTACCTATCTGTATAGCCTGCAAGGCACAGACAAACGTTTATTGTCAAATTTTAAAGGATGGTAGCAATTTATATTAATTTAAAAAAAAATCTATAACAAAATAAAATCAGTAGTTAAAAAATATTATCAGAACATAAAAATAAAATTATACACGCAAATATATTATAATAAGGACCGTAGAAAAGGCAAATGACCTTTCGTCTACCTCCTACACGTTACGCGGGGTATGCCCGTTTTATGTAATTCATATTGATTCTTAAGTTCAAATACACTATAAATAGATTTTAAATTTAATTAATCTTTTGTTTAATATAGGACTCAATTTTTTTAAATCTCATTATACATTATGCATACCTAATGAATTAAATTATTTTTGAACGTCTCATTAAATCCTAAAATACTTTCTGTCTGAGGATTGATTTTTTTTTTTTTTTACAATTGAAATGATGTTATATGACTTAATTCTAAAAAAACTGAAATTGAGTAAAGAAATTCGTTGATTAATTTATCTACTTAAACATTATAACATAGTTCATAGTAGCATAGTATATTCAGTTCTTTCGTAAATGACATATGGGTTGACAGTTTAGTAAGTATATGTAAGCATTTATCGACTATACATTTTGATAGGTTAAAATTACACATACCGTCTAAGGTCAAGATGACAAATTTAAATTAAACATAAAATATGGTGAGGCATATGCGTGTAAGAGTTCCTTGAAATAATGAAATATATGATTTTATGATTTCGTGGATTACAGGACTGTACCTACTTTTATGTTATGTGTAAATTTCTACAATAGATACACTTTAAATAACAAAATATTAAATGTAGTTGTTTTTAAACAAAAATCACCTAAATAACGACATGTTCAACACAAATGTAGATAGCTATACCTATACTAATAAATTTATTTATTTTTACTTCCTATCTTGTTATAATTAATGCAGTAGAATTATTAGTTCAGTAATAATAAATTTATTAATTAAAAATGTATTTAAATTTTAGATATTTGGAACCAGTGTCGTATTAACGGAGTCCCGAGAGCATAGCCCCCCCCCCGGTTGGTCTTTATCTATTGTACATAATAATACCAAATCGTAGTAGATATATTATATACTCGAAATGTATGATTAGTATGTGTTTTATTTAGTAGTCTCCTCCCCTTAGGAGATTTCTAGCTACGCTACTGTTTGATACAATTATATTTGTTTAATCAAGTAAAAAAAAAAAATGTTTATTTACTATTTTAAAATCTGTGCGTTAATTAAATAAAATAATATAAATATATAGCAATATATTATAACTTATTTCACGATCTGCTAATTAAAACCTATGACAACAAAACAGACGAAAATAAATACAAATTACGTGTTTTGATTTAAGCAATGAACAATCAAAAAAACTAATTAAAATAGAAAAACGTCATCATGATGAGATTTAATTGTTTGTTTAATTTGAATTTTGTATTTCTTAAAAAGTCTTCTTCTTGTTCATCGCCTTTTTTCTTGTACATTTTTAAGGTCAACAACTTAATAGCCTTAATTTAATTTGGGCACAATTAACAAAAACTATATAAATTCATTCATTCATTGTCAATATTATATCGGTATAATAGTTTACTATACTAACAAAAAAATACTGTACTAACTGAATTATCTGGTATTTCCCAAGTTCAGCTTTATCTCTATAACAGTCGTTGTTAGGTAATATTTATATTTTAAAAAGGGTACTTCTTTGTACATGACAAATTAAATAAATATAATAACGGTTTTTTTCCTTATCGCCAGTATAACCTATATATAAATGAAAAAGTTTAATTTTTATTCCAAAAATACTAAAAAACTATATGTCAGTAACTCTATCTTTAGGGTTTTAATTTTAAGATGAAAAGTAAATAATAATCTTACTCTTGTTTTGAATGTAAGGCAGGTTACACACTGAAGAAATTAGTTTAAGAAACCAATTTCATGAAACTAATTTCATATTTGTGTACACCGGTAAAACAATAAAATGTATAGTTTCGACAATGTCGTCTGATGATGAGGATGTGTTAATGTTATATTGGTGGCATCGCAACAAAAAAGGAAACGTAGGTATTGGATTCATACACTTTCAAAAGATAAACAGCATTGTAGCTATGCTGTATATACTACAGTGTATATACATATAATACTAAAATATGATAATTATAACATAAATAACATGAACATGTACTTACAAAATGTATAATAATATAATATAAATTATTTAAACATATTATATTATTATTATTATTTATTTATAACTTATACGAAACTTTATTGTTGAAACCAAAATTACAAATTTCATGAAACTCAGTGTGCGTATCTATTTGATTTTCAATTGAATGGTTTCATGAAACTAGTTTTTTCAGTGTGCAGCCTGCCAAAAATGTATAAGGTTTCATCCAAATTGGATAAAGTTATATATTCGTTTATAATATATATATATTATAATAGGTAAATCGATAATTTGTCAATGCTGGATAGCTTATATTATTATATTTCTGTTTAACATGGCCAATGGAGGAGAGGTTGATGCCTCTTGAGCCCGCCTTGGATACGTTATTTCTGGTATGCATTAGTATATTAAAAAATATAACAAATTTCAACTATTGTACTCTTATTTTATATTAAATAGCTGATCCGCCATGCTTTCCTATTGCTATACGCAACTAAACTAAAAATAAAATAAAACATGTAGGCTCCTAACTTGTTATCTATTGGTTGGATCAAAGAAAGATTTCAATACCTAGCTAAAAACCTACCCCTATCATCGCCGGTCGTTTTGCAAGAAAGAGTGTAAAAACCGGTTCAGTAGTTTTTCAGTCTATTAATCTCTGATAGATTGTATAAGTATGTATTTACTAGGTAAATCGGAAATTTTAGTGAAAAAAAAATTGAATTCTTTCACCCCTTTAGGGGATGTATTTAAAAAAAAATTTAAATCGTAAAAAAAATACGAATTTATTAGGTATTTAGGTATATATTTTTAATAGGTATTTTATTTAATTTCATGATCACTTTGTAAATAGAGTTTAAAATATTTAATTTGATTTTTAACACCTACACAAGTGCAATATAGTTATAAATGTTATAATACGTACGCGTTTATTATGAAATAATATTATATATAAATAATTGAGTAAAATGTGTGTAACAACTGTTTAATTTATATTTGTATTTGATGTTTGTGTCAAATGACCCAAATGAGTATTACGTAGTTTTAAAAATAAATATTAATTCTTCATTAGTATAGTGGTATTATGATATCCAGATCTTGAATAGATTGCATTCCTTAATAAAGTTAGTATACTACTATTTTCGTTAATTTGTTAATAAATCGTACAGCTGAAATATTGTCCACTGGAATATTAATAATAATAAATATCTAATATACCGGTCAAACTATTATACAAATTATATAAATAAAAAACATACAATGTATATTTATTTATTTATCAACATTTAAAAACTGATACTGTTATAGGTGGGAAGTTAGGAAGATAAGATACATAAAGTAATTTAATTTGTATCTCTATGCAACGATAAATCATTTTTGTTAAATATAATTTTGAATGGAGTTTGGTTAATTTTTTTTTGAAATATCACGATTTTTATCAAATTTGAATATCAAATGCTTAAAAACAAAGACGGACATACTTCACACATGGATACAGCTACTGTTGTAGGTGTGAAGTTAGGAAGATTGGGTAAATTCGTAGACGGGAATTTAATGTATATCTGTAAGCATCGATATGCCATTACTAACGAAAAAATGATTTTGAGTGGAGTAATGTTGATAGTGATGCTTTTTCAATAATATATATGTCATGTTATGGTAAAATATTTAAATAGGCCTCATTTATGTTCTTTAATATTGTACCAATTTTTCCGTTTTTCTAACATTTTTCCCGATTTTCCCATGTTTTTCCCCATTGCATTTCACATTTACTGAGAAAACTTTTAAGAAAATCGAAAAATTATCTGCATTTCCTTTCAGAAAAAGTGTTATCACTGTAAATTGGAGCAAAATTGCTGGTAAAAAGTTGTTCACAGGAAAAAAAAAAATTTTAATAATTATATTTCTCATTAACTACTTATAAGTTATAACAATAATATAGAATATTAAATAATATTTCGTCTCTTTGTTCACTATACCTAGTTAGAAAATATTAAAGAAATAAAATGTAAACCACTTAAAGAAACATCATAAATATATTGTGGTATAGTATATATTTCTGAAAATAAAGTACAAGGAAAATGTAGACATATGGGTGTCCACGAAAGAACGTTTTTTTTTTTTTTTAAAGGCGCCATTTCTTTGTTTTTGTATTATTACTACTGTACCCGAAAGCTTTTTTTTTATCTCAAAAACCTAAAGTTTCGTGTGATATCGTTCGTTTTTGTTTTCAAATGTTTTAAGGCGTCCATATTCATGCAAAAATTGTCTATGGAAACGCACGTTTTGGTTTCCGGACAGATTCATCCGTGGGGACCAAAGCTGGCCACCAACGTCTTGTGACCTGACTCCTTACAATTTTTTTTTATGGGGTTACGTTAAGTCAAAAATGTACGGGAACAATCTATATGATCTCACCCAACTTAAACAAGAAATCCGAAGATTGATGGGAAAATTGGACGACAAAATGTGTGAGTGCGTCATCGCAAATTTTGTGGACAAATCAACCGCCAAGTAGGGCTAGTAGGGGAGCGGGCATATTGTATTTCATACGTAAACTTAAGAATCTCCTGAATACAACCATATAAGACTTTTAAAATTCTGATCAAAAATAAAAAAGTTATTACATTTTTAAAAAAACCTTTTATAATGTTTAATATTATACAATTTATAATATGTATGAGTACTAAAAATTTAAATTTAACCAGATTTAGAATACAGTTATTTTAATTTTAAGAACAAACACGTAACATTATAGTAGGTACATTGAAATGCACAGAGAATGCCTAAATAAAGATTAGAGCGGGTTGGCAACACGTCAGGACGCTGCCAACTCGGTTAAAGTATATTTTATAAACCAAATATAATAAAGATCAGGTTATATATAATATACCTAACTGTATTGTTATAAATCGTTAAGGGCAACAAGTAATTTATTAGAGTTATATTTTTTAAATTCGGTGTGTACAAAGGAAACTTTGGTTTTACTATGATGTGTTAAGGTTTTGTGTCTGTGAACAATTTTTCTATCAAAAATCTTGATCCACTAACGTAAGTGTATCACCTTTTCTGAAAGCAAATTTTATCTAGTTGGTGCACCAAGACAGATCATTTTTTGATTTTTCAAGTGGTTTTCATAATAATCGAAAAACCTGGGGAAAATGTACGAAAAGAATACTTTTTTCAGTTTTGTTTTTTTTTTTATGTGATTCAGTTAAAAATATTCGTAGGGATTTGAAATTTGCATAAAAAACTTATATTTGCTTTTATAGAATTTTATTTCCAAAATATTTGAGCTATTTTTAAACTATTTATAAATTTATTTATTATTTATACTTATTTAATTTTGAGAGTTTTTAAGTACTATTTGTGGATAAAATTGTTAGATCAAACAAAAATACTTGAAAATTCAACAGGAGGTTCATTTTAGTTGTATGATTATTTTACCGTTAGAAAAATTAACAACGTAGTTATAATTTAAAATTATTCTTAATTTTTTTTTTTGTTACGGCCTTTTATTAAAACATGTATAATCAAACTCTGTTCAGAATCGTTTTTCGTTAGCTATGATTAATCATTGCGTATAGATATACATTAAATTATTCTCTATATCCTGTACTTTCCCAACTTCTCACCTAAAACAGTGGCCCCCATCCGTGGTGCAAAGTATGTCCGTCTTTTTTAAAACTAAATTCCATTTTTGGTATTGTTCTATGAATTAAATTTTAATTATAACTTTAGTAGTATGTGGTGATATTTTTTTTTTACCAGTTTTAAAAAATATCTTGTGCTCCTTCTCGACCTCTCTAGTATATTAGGTAATGGCCATAATTATGCTACTATATATTATTGGTAGGTAATATTCGCAGATAAATGTATATTTATTATTAATACATTTTTCTCTACGACAAAGTACCTACCCTCTAAAAGATTTAGTTCACTGATCCGTGGAGAGCTAGATAACTACATTTTTTATTTCACTGCATTTTGAATAAATCCCAATTATAATGTTATCATATATAAATACAATAGGCAATTTTTACTGAATTGTTCAATATAGGTATCTGCATACCTTATTGATTCCATAAACTGTGTTTGAAATTGTTGGCTATAATTGATCGCGGGCAAATGTCAATTTCAACCTATGCTTGCCACGACACTGTTATAATGTTATGCCGATAGGTATATGTGTTTTCATTCGTCAGTCTCTGTCTTCTGTAGTTATAATTTCCCCTTGCGCGTGTCGCCGACAAAAAAAAACAATTTTTGAACGTGCAGACGGAATTTAATATACTACATAATATAATAGAATAAAATATTTTTTATTGCAGGTATATTTGGAACAGGTATAACCATATAGCAATGGGGACAACGTACTACCGCACATAATATATATATATATATATAGATGGATTTGTAATGGTTAATACGTTTATAATAGTTCTACGTGACGATTTTTTAGGTTTGAACATTCGGAATTCTAAAACTAGTTAACAGGCGAAAAACTTCGCTTGACATTTTTATATACGACAGCGACAATAAAGTAATTCGTTCTTTATATTATTATATTATATATATATATACATATATATACGATATTTATAATATACAGTAGTCCATGGTTAAATATATATATGAAGCAACACTAAATAATATCTTTGTACAAAAATATTATTACATATTTGATATTTTAATGTGATTTTTATTTTATTAGACGTAAAAACTCAACGTTTTTATCAAAAAACATTATCTAAAAAATGCATTTATTTATTTGTTTTTATATACTTGTGATTATTACATACAATTTATTTTGCGATAGTTTTGTGCTCAAAGTTCTAATGTAGACCTCTACAGGTATTCGTTTACCATGGACAAAAATGATATTGAAATATTACGCGTATGCTTATAGTTTAATATTATTACTTTAACTATGAACATTGAACATACTGTATAAGATGTTTCCCAGCTTTACGTGTTACGTTTAAAATGTTTTACGTTAATTCTTGTATATAATTGTGAAATAAACATTTTATAAAATAATAAATATTACTAATGATTTTACGGTATAAATCATGAACAGTAATTATAAAACAAAAAATTTCAATAGAGGAGGAGGTAGATTTTACAAATCAGCAAAAAGGGCATGGATTCAAAAAGGTTGGGAAACATTGATGCACATGCACTTTAACGAAATTAATGGATTAAGATTCCTTTATTGCAGTTTTTATTATTTTTATAATACTTTAACAAACAAATATAAAATATTCATACTAACAATTGAAGAAATACAATTTTTTATTAAGAATTTATTTTTATTATTAATATAAAAACAACAATAACATGATGAGAAATCGGAGATCAATTATTCTTAATATTTGTACAGACCTCACTCCTATATCGTTTTATTTTTTACCGTATTTAAATAGGTTTGGTTTTATTAATTAATACTTATTTACTGCGATTATACAACTTACTAATATTATATTATACCATTTAATAGTAATTGTAGATGCATAATTATTAATAGGGTTATGTCCAGAAACTTTTTTCCACGAAGAAAAGAAAACCTTCTTTTCGATTGTCCAACGAAAGAATATCATATTATAATTATTTTTATTATAAGGTCAATATTTCAAAATTATTGACCAAACATATTTTCGAGTATATTAGTTGAAACCGATAAAATTAAACAAAACCTATGTTTACTCCAAAGATAGCACATGGTTCGTGATTCGTTATACTTTCGGCAAAAATTTCAATTGCAATTTTAACCCTATTATTTATTGCATTACACATATAATATACCTATACCTAAATATACTACTGCAGATTAATAATGCACCGCATTAATAAATCATGTATATAATATAAATATAGGTATATAAACATTAGATAATAATAATATGAAGAAGGCAATTTTACAAATCCTGATTTCTGAGTAGCGTACCTACATATTATATGCAAAAATTAAACAATAGGAAAATCTAGTTGACACATTAGCACCGTGTAGTGAATGTGACCTTCGTGGTTCGTTACATCTCTGTATAAAAAACAAAGGGGTCTCTGATTTATAGTTTTTTTTTTTCTTTTATAATTTAAAGAACAAAAAAAAAAAATAATAGTAATAAATCAGTTAATCTCTATCCAGTGGGTCTACTTGTATTTTATATAAATATAACTTAAAGGTAGGAAATAATGGTAATATATATATATATATATATTTATAAAGAAAGGAACTACTATTTTCGTATATACGTGATCGCGCCTATTCTATGTTTTTCTCGGTGTACAATGATATGTTTATGATAGTGATGATGATGATGGTGTTTTTTCTTATCTTATTCACGAATTAAAATTAACACACGGGAAATCGAGGTTATAGATACGAAGAGGTTAATGCGGGGAGAGTTTTTAACGGTGTGAGTGTTGACCTAGAATACGGGAAGCAGTAAGAGCTATATAATACAATATAATATGTAAACAGTCAGAGTACTGCAGACAACCGAAATGGTTGTAGGCGCACAAAATAATAGCTCGGAGAGTATAATAATTATAACATCGTGCGTGGATACAGGATTTAATAATTACGATTTGTATCAAATTATTTTTATGTTCGTGTTTTTTTATAAAATTATAACAATATATTATATTATATTATAATTGATCACTTTCCCCGAAGCCGCATCGCAAATATATAAAAAAAGAATGTGCAGGAAACCGGCTTTAAACTACTACATTTTTGTCAACATTAAATTAGTATCTATAGATACTTAATATATAAAATGTATTCTATATTAATATATCAAAAACAACTGTAAGTAGCTATGTACAAGGGATCACAGTCTGTTAAGTTGTAAAGTACAATATATTGTCTGATTATTTGTTAGCTAACAAACTATAACAAATAAAAAATAAAATTAAAATATATTCCAAGTTTTAATTAGCTTTTTGTACTTTTTAAAAATGTTTTCTTTTTGACATTAATAGTTTATAGTAACGTAATATATAATAATATATAATAAATAATAATTGCAAGTCTATTCTATAACCATTCGATACACACGTAGTAACTACGTAAGTAAAATAAAACGTGTATTACACCTAATATTTATTTCATCATTTATCAATTTAGACGATTATAAAATAGATTTATAACCTTAATATATTTTTTAAGATATTCATTTGTTCATGCTCTCACTATTTGGTAAATTTCAATATCGCTATATTTATAGGATAAGTGACATCGATTTTAATTGTGTTCTACAGGAACAATATGATACTAAGAGATAGTTTAATGAAATTTAAGGTTTCTTTCTCCAAAAAAAAAAAATGTTTTTTTACAGTAATTGATTTAGTGATTTATTATAAATGACAACCGTATCGCTCTTAGCTATTATACCTATACATGATATTCGCCAAAAAAAAAATTGTCACTTTATACATGATAATATAGATAGTTTGAACTTATCGGTCCACAATATTATTATTATTTCGTATGGCTCAAATATAATATTCACAATTTAACGTAACACAATATAAAATTTAAACAATTAAAAAATAAATGATAGCAGATTATATAGGTAATATGTTGACAAGAGCAATATATGTTTGATAGGCATAGGTCTTTTTTAAATTTGTGTGTCCAGAGAATTTAGCCATTACATTGCGTCTGCAAATTTAATTTAGTTATTAGGTATTTTATGTGTGTTCGATTATCTAAATCCGGAATCATTGTGTATACATGAAATAATTTTATAACCATGCAGATATATATTGAACAAATTTGTCTTCATCTTATAATACTATGGCAATGTGACACTCATTGAAAACCTGAAGTTATTTTAAGATTTCTAAGCATTATAAGGAATAACCTTTTAGTAGAACTTTTAATTTAAGTGTACAAATCCCCATGGGTATATCAAAAAATCTTTTTGTAGTGTTATCAAATAAAAAAATAGTATACCTTCTCTTATATATTCATCTCATATAGTCACATAATACTCGTTTAATGTTGAGTCAGATACGCCATTAGTGAGTGTTAAAAAAAAAAAAACACTAACGAAATTTCAAAATCTGCATAATTGTACTCGAACAAAACTAAATATGTGTATTGTCTTTGACGAATAATCGATTACAAGGAAGTGATCATATCGCGTAATCTAACCCTTAATGATTAAACATAGTTAACATATTATTGTAATATAATTTATAAACCGTTTTAATCTATAAAAAATAGTCAGAAATAATAGAAGTATACTCTTAGTCAAGGACATAATGACGTAAGTATACAGTGATTTTTTTTAATTTCAAATTTAGTAAATATACATTATATCGCTTATCTATACGTAAAATCTGTACTTAGGTCTCAAATAAATAGGCAAGTCTTGCTTGATGTTCTAACAACACTTCTATATACGTACTATTAGTTTGTACTTTCCATTTTACGAAAAAGTCTTTAAAATTGCACACAAAAATTATTATTAATAGATTAGGTATTAACTCGTGGGATATAGATAATAAGAGAAGGGCTATTTGAGCGACAATTTTAAACTAAAAAAAAAAAAAAACCATTGCAGCAATTTTATAATAATGATTTCTTTTCTTTATAATGGTTAAATCGTGACTGTAATAATTATTATAATAATATACGTATATAGTAACATTGCGAGTTAACATTTTTTTCGAGGACATTTCATATATATTACTGTAGAATTGGAACTTTAAGGTTTAAGTTATGTTAATCAAATTTTTTTGATCTATTTTACAAGTAAACGATGTTTTGTTTTGTTCTTATATGTTTTGTTCTAAATTTAAAAAAAAAAAATTTTATTTTCTCTGTAAAACATAACTCAGTTTTTGAATTAATAAAAAACAAAATAGTTGGTACTTATTTTTGTTTGACCAAGGGCATTAATAATACTTATACTCAATCATTTATCATATCATGTAAATAATATAATCAGATAGCGAAAATAAATGAAGTTGACATTCAAACATTTTTAAAAATAGACCTTTACTTACCTTTTTAGGTATCTTCGATTTAAGCACCAGAAAATGAAGTCATCGTGATTGCATAGAAACCAAAATCCAAATTTTTGAAGCACAACTGTAATAATAAAACTAATCACTGGCGTATTTTTTTGTTTTTATTTATTATTAGAAAATACAACTAAATATTAACTTTAAATATTTAAATATATATTTTCGAATATAATAAATCGATATCAATATCTACGGTAAGTTGACCGCACGTCTACCTGTCGGTGGTCTCGGACACGTTACTAAGGCACGCATTTTAGTTAACCGGCTTCGGTTATAACGGTAACATCTACCTGGCTAACGATTCTTTCACTTTACCCCCACCATATAAAATATGTATTTGGATTTTGCTTTAGCGCGTGTGGTTTTATGGTTTCCGTTTGCAGTTTTCCTATATTATAAAAGTATACTTATAAATATTATAATATTATAATGCCAATTTCCCGATTCGTTCTACAAAAAAATCGTGTAATATTGAACTCAATTCACCTATTTTATTTTTACGAACCATAAAAAAATGTATTTCAGATTAAACTTTTTTTTTCTAATTATAATGCAGTCTTAAATCAGCTTTTAGAATAAGCGTGGAGTATCGTATGTTAAGGTATAGGTTTTATTTTTTTATTTCCAATCCTGTTATCCTTAAATTAGTTCCTTGATATCGACGGACCTCTATCGGCTATATCCATCATGACTTTCCTCAAGAACAAATCAATGGATAAGCTTTCCCTTGCATTCTACATCGCAGTTAATGAGCCAGTTCTTAAATAGTCCTCAGCCATTACAATTTAACCCTTCCATTGACGTTAGAGCCACTGCTAAAATCACCTTTGGTCGATACTAGCGGTCATTGTTGCTCTCCGCTACCTCCGTTTAATCGCCTCGATAATCAAGAGTTACTGTGCTCCTAACCCCGAACTATATAGATCTAGGTATAAGTAACACTATTTTATTAAATTTTTTAAATAATTAATAAATTCTTCTTAAATTATACTAATTATCTAATAAAACCTATATCCAATAATAATTTAAACACCAATTTTAATCATAAAATATGAGTATCTGTGTTAAATTAGTGGCGTATACATAACTTTTGTATTGGGAGGGGGGATCAGTTGTTTTCACAAGTCACTTGTTTGTCACAAATTTTCCTTGTGAGGAAATTTTTAAATATAACAATAGGGAGAGGGGCAGACCCTCTCAAGACCTCATGAATAGATGTATTTTAATACTTTTTCTATTTGTTCAAGCAGTTATTTAAAAAAATTAATTGTTTGGCATTTGATAGTATTGACGAATTAGGATTCAATTCAATTTCTTTTCGTATTAAATTTCCCCCTTCTCCGTAACATAGTAACTGTATTTTTTGGTTATTTTCGTTATCATTATCGTTGTTGTATCTATGATACTAATGCAGAATTTACCACTGTTTATCTTAGTCTTAGTTGTACATAATTTCAAATAAAAATCCGACCGTTTATTATAAAGTATAATATAATAAAATATTGTTAATCGTTAAGTGTAAACAATTTTCAAAAAATGACTTTTTTAAAGATTCTAGGAGAGTACAAATGCTACAAAAAAGCTCCAATGAGATCTTTGATTTGAGCATGCCTTAGATCTATAAGTGACCTTTTTATGTAAATTTTGTATTCAATTATTTAAATAGTTGACAATATCATATATGTCTATCTTATATGGGTTAAAATATATTTTGATTATTATTTTTTAAATAAGAAATAAATACCTACGTATATTTATGTATGTTTAAATACCATAACCTATAACTATATTTTAATTTTTTTTTTGAAAGCAAATTAATTTTACAAAAGTGGTTCAGACGAAATTCAGTGAACCTTGACGAAACTTAGGTAGCTAGGCATAGGCGGATCTACGAGGTGTGCCAGGTATGCCGTGGCATACTATAATGTAAAAATAAAACTAATAAATAACAAATAATAATAAACATTATGTATACACATTAAATGACATTGTTTAGTGTTCAAAATAAGTTTCCGAAGTAATTATTACTTGTATTTTAGATTCTGAGTGTTGCAAAGACTGTATTGATTACACTAAGATGTTTATTATTTTTATTTTTTTATATTGTGTACAAAAATTCTACTAGAAATCTTGCTCAGATATAAATGCACGGCACCATTTCTGAAAGGGAATATTCTCCAGATGGTACTTTTAGGAGGTCATTTTTTGATTTTCCAAGTTGTTTTCATAATATCTAGGAAAAATCAGGATAAAACGTAAGAAAAACAGGAAATTTACGAAAATAATGCTTTTATTATTTTTAAATTTTGTTATTTGTTGTAATTCAGTTAAAAATATTCATAAAGACTTGAAATTTGGACAGAAAACTTATATTTGCATTTTCTAGACTATCAATTTTGATAAAATTTTCCAAAAATGTATACCATTTTTGAGCCATTTGTAGACATTTTAATTTTGCGAGTTCTGTACGTAATTTTTATTCAGTAGATACTCTGTGGTAAATTGTTAGACTTAACAGTAATGCTTGAACAATTATCAGGAGATTCATTAAGAGTCTTACTTTGTGGTCAAAAAAAAAAAAAAATTGGATTTAATGTAGTATTTTTTTTATAAAGGAATTTTAATATCAAATTTTAACAAAAATCGTTTGAGTAAAACATTATGTGAAACAAAAATAATATTCTACTTTTTGTTTTGAACATATGTATTTTGCCGATTTAAGAACGATGGTGTAGTCAGAATTGAACGAATTAACTAAGTTTTGAAATTATAGCTTTTTGAATTTCTGGTATTATGCGGATATTATAATATGTTATGTTAAATAAGTCTATATTGTGAACTCTTTAATATGTTTGTCATAGCCGAATGATTGAACATACTTCTTATCATCCTTGGGGTTGCGAGTCAAACCCGTGTTTCAAAAACAAATTTTTGCCCTTACTTTTTGCACTTTTAATTAAAAAAGGAAAAAACAAATGTCGCTTGCTCGGACTATTTTAATCGCAAAATACCCCTCGATTTGTTGGGTAATCTTTTCTAACTGAGAATCTGAAATCTGCCTGATAAGGTATTTTAGGGTGGTCATTTTTCGATTTTCCAAACAGCTTTCTCAGAAAGTGTGAAAAACCGGGAAAAATATGGGAAAACTAGGAAAAACGAAAAAATCGGTACGATATTAAACAAATATTATTATAGAAAATATATAATGTCTATTTAATTATTTTACTATAATATAACATATATATATATTATATATTGTTGAAAAAGCATCACTATCCACTGAATTGCGCTCAGAATCGTTTTTTCATTAGCAATGTTTTATCATTACTTACAGATATACACTAAATTACTGATAACAGTGGCTGCACCTTTCTTCATTATCCCAGGACGTCTTTTTTACTAATCGTTATTTTATATTTTTAACGAAGTATGGATTTTTAAATTTTAAATCACTGTATCGTATTTTTTAGGCCTGTTTCATATGAACGCGTATCTTACGCACACATATCATACGCTGCATTTTGGATTACACTACTTAAATTAACCATTTCACATGCACGCGTACAATACGCACCGCGTTTCATACCTGCTAAACTACTTCCGCTTAAGCCGGAATCAATTCAAAGAAGTTCTTAATTTAATACGAGATATTCATCTGGGTATAATGCTCAAAAACCTATTGATTCAGAAGAAACAATCTTTTCCCATATTACATTTTTCAATTTGGTCTCCATGTAGTTGACATGACTAGTGCCATATAAGATATTGTAAATATTCAATTAGAGTCTCTCTATCGCAAAAGTGGAAAATATAGAATTAAAATTAAAAAGTTAAAAATTATGTTAAGTCTACGTCTAAAACGTATATTTTTCGTATTTTATATATCCTCTAATGAAAGAAAAATGTATAAAGCGAGTGAATTTGTTTATATTCTCCCCTCTATATTATAAAAAAATAACTACATAAAAGGCCGTGAACACTCAAATGTAAAACTCTAGGTCCGCTTATGTAGCTAGGTATTTGGTCAAATCCTTTGTACACCCAATACAAATAATCCCAACAACAATAAATAGTAATATATATTTTACACGTTGCAATAAGTGACTCATCACATAATATTATTTAGTGCAGTATTTTAGGAAAGATATTTCATGAATCAGAAACTACAAATATCATATACACAATCAATAGGTATAGGTACGAGTTTTTATTTAATACCATAGTCATATTTATTATATAACGCTAGTTTTTCCTACAAACATGTATACTATGTACTAGTGCATTGTATATAAGTAAACAATATTCACTCAGTTCGTGTTATCATGGTGGTACGGAAGAGTTGGAAGAGTTTTTGGACAAATAGATAAATACGAAAATAAATTGATCGCGGTGATCGTCGACTGTGACTTAATATCCTATACGTTTATAACCGGAACCATCAAACTAAACCTATGATAAACATTTTACCATCACGATGAAAAAAAAAACAGACTAGTTTATCGATTATATAGGTATTGTTCGTTTGTGGATATTATGAATTATGAGTTATGAGTCATGCTATTATAATAGGAACGTAAAATATGAGAAAACGTACCTATATTATATATTAAATGTTTTCTAGTTTATCAATACCTATGATTTTTCTGTTTAAATTTGATCAGTATAAACCCTAACGTTATTTATCATAAATTTAAATCATTTTTAATTTAAGAAACATGAAAAATAAACACTTAATAATGATTTTTATTCAATCTTGAATTTTATTTAGGATTTTTATGATTTTACAGAAAACACTACTAAATTTAATATTATTATTTAGCCACAACCGTTCATGCTTAAAATAGTTACCCAATTTCATTGTGGATGTTCCATCTGTATGTGTTTTATTTAGGGTAACTCACTAAAATTGCGTTCAATCCACACAAAAATCAAGGTTATTACCAGAATTACCGGAAACGTCATACTGGCAAAAATTATTCCAATAATTGAAAATATAATATACTTAATAGTATCTAGATTTTATAACCGTAGTGAGCTATTATGGATAATAATCTGGATCAAAATGTGTTTGCTGTCTATTAAATGATAAGGAAATCATTATTATATCCCTATATTAGTTCATGCTAAAAATATTTATTTCGCGTAGGTAATCTGAAAACGCAGTTGTGATTTTCATCAAATACCTACCAGATATAATTTTTGAAGAAAATGATTTTGAAACGATTTAAAATAAACACGGGGAATGGTAGTGTTACGGATATGG